AAGCGAAGAATTGCCGAGTTGGTTCACCAGACTGTCGAGCGCATTCTCTAGAGACGCCGTGGCGGCGCATGCATCGTTAAAAGCGCTGGCTGCAGCTGCAGGAGAGGCCACCTGCGTTGGGGCTTCCTTTGCCCTCTCAGGACGAGTCTTTGGGAATTCCTCTTGCATGATATCCTGCTGCTCCTGCACCGAGGAGGAGTCTCCGGGAGCCTGTTGCTGCTGCTGCTGCTGCAAGTTGGGGAAGCCTACTGGAGAGCTCCCGACGCAGTCCCTTCCTCCCACAGCAGATTCAGCCTCGAACGCTTGAGGGGGGGGGGGTGAACGAACAAGCCAGCAGCGGACGACGCTGGAGGCCCCTGCGGCTCGTGGCCAGGTGCAGCTGCCGCTGGAGAAAATCCCATCATTCAACAAACACGGCGCAGGGAATCACCGGTTTGAGAGACTCGGGGCGGGAGAGCGACATGCAGCTGCCGCCTCCGTTTCTGCATGCGCTCCTTAGCGGCGGCGGCGACGACCAGCGTGGCCAGTGCACTCCGGAAGGATCAGGCGGAGGAGGGTGGGGAGGGGGTATGTATCCTGACTCGCCGGAGACGCAGATGGAGTTCGTCACACGGGGACGGGGGCGAGCGGATTCGAAGGCTCAGACGGCGCGACGAGACTGGAACGAGATCAGCTACGGAATTCAGAGCCAGGGAGAAGACCATGCTCGCCGCGAGGACACGCAGCTGCGCACTGGAGGGAGTTTCTGGCAAGCGTAAAATACCGCGGGGGAGAGCGGAGAGGGGGGAAGGAATGCCTCTGCAGTTGTGGTGGCAGGCAGACCTGTTGGAAGGTCAGACTGAAGACCCCCCTCTCATCATGACGGCTGGAAACTGGAAGGAACTGGTCAACGTGAGAGGCGGCTGCGCGGCGGCAGAACTTGCATGATCCGCTGCCTCTGCAGCGTAGAGAGCCGTCTCACGAGTGCGAAGTAGGAGGACGGCGTCTTTCTTGGGAGAATTCGAAGAGTCTACAGCTGAGAGGTGACCATTTGGCCGCAAAGTTCACCCCTCGCTTCGCGTTCAGGAACACAGAGCGCTGCCCTCTTGCTCCTCGGCGCTGTGCAGAGGGCTATGTTGTGTGGCTGGGCGATGGCAGTGGGAGGTTTAAGGCCTTAATGACTTCAATGCAAATTGCCAAGTCAGCAACGGAGCTGCGTCTTTGCGGACGAGGAAGCGCTGGGAAAAGAGGGCTGCAACAAAGAGCACTCTGCACGCCTCGCGTGCATGCTCAGCCTACCACTACTTCTCTGCCTACTGCCACCCTACCGACTTGACAGCCGACCCCATAAAACATAAACAAAAAACCACCTCTTTGCACTTGTTCGAATAAGAGCTTTTCTCTATTTAAGGCTTAGTAATCAACACTTCAGTGTGTCTTGTTCCATCATCCCTTGCGCCACTTGCATTCATGGACCCCTGGCAGCCGACCTCCCTCTGCGCCCTTCTCTCTGTGTGTCTGCCTGCACCTTGAACATGGCAGCGCTGCATCGCTTGTTTCAAGTTACGTTTAATCTATATTGCTAGAAGAATAATTGCCTTTCAGAAATAGAGATCCAGAGTGAGGGTGAATCCAGCTATTGCTACTGTCGCCATTGTACGCTGCTGCCGTGGCTCCAAGTAAAAGTGAGCCTCATGCTTTTGCGGCACACCATCTTTCGGAGTCACTGCTTATTTGAACAACAAGCTCATTATTTGCTGTGCAAGCAATTGGCAATCACGTGCTGTCATGTTGATTTGGCACATCAAAATTCGACAGGGAGCGACTCCAGACAATGGGTGAAGTGTTGCACTGACGCCCCATTGACCGAATTATGCGCTTTTGACCACCTTTAGGGCAGCATATTCCTAGCAGACAAGCGAACGAGGGCAGGGAGGCGATACTGAATCAAGATCCTCCCGCATGACCACGGGTGTATACGTGTCTTTGCATTTTGAGCGAGTCTGGGGCCAGTGCGTTACACCTGAGCTTCCGGGGTTGCCGCCATTCTCTGTCCGGAGGCTCGCTCTTGCTTTTTCGCTTATTAGTATTTAGCCTTTGTCAACGGCCAGTGTGTCCCTATTTTGGTAGCTGCTTGGGCACCTCGCCTTCCCCATGGTGTCTTGAATTGTTTCATGGGAAAATTCCAGCTGTCCCTTAGCAGACTTCTGAGCGCTATCGCTTCCGCACCCCAGTTTGCAGTTCTTGTTACCAGATGTAAAATGTCATCAAAAGCCTTCCGAGAGGGCGGTTTTGATCAGACTCGAAACAAACTTGTCTAAAAGTTGTTCGGGTTCCTTTCCCGAAGTATTCCTCTTTCGCCTGCCTGAGCCCCTCAGAGTTGCTGACGTGAGAGGAGAGGGGCAACTAAGGTGCACGTTTCTGGACTCTTCAAGCACTGCGGGCGCTTACAGCTAGCTGCACAGGGCAGCTAGAGTAGGAACATCGACCCTGCGCCGTTTTGTGTCGAGTTAACATTTTTCTGCAACGTGTAAGACACATAAACAAGGCAGTGAGTCGATTGCTCCTCAGTACTTTCGTACTGATATAGAGCTTGTGTAGTAGAACGAGTCGAAGTAGAGTTTCGCCCGCTGCACCGGGCGGCTACAGGGAAGCTCATGCATGGGTGGCTGATGCCCTAGATATCTTGGCTGCTACCCCGACTGCTGCATGATTGTTTCAACTTCGGGCCTGATTGTTGCGACAGTAAATCCAGTCTAACTAGCTCCTTTTGTAGGGACTGTTGCTGTGTCCTCGCTACTTTTTAATTCCCCGTGCGTCTCCTCGGCCAGTGGCAACTCCATCAATATTTTCAGATTTTGATCTTGGAATTACGGTTCATTGAACTTTTAAGAAATGTACTAAAGAGCGAAGTTATTTTATGCAGTTCACCTCATGGCGCTGGTGCCACATATTACCCTGCTTGCAGGGTGGTATTCTGTAGGACTTGATGTGTGCACAAATTTTTGCTCTTCGAAAATGACTGGGTGTTGGGAGGAAGGGTGAACAGAAGCCATGACTAACTCCAAGTAATCCAAAGTCAGGCCAGGTTTAAATTGGTGGTGCGAGCGTCAAGTAGAATCTCAAGTCGCCTAACCCCGTGGTGGTGGTGGGTTTCTTGAATAAGGCAAAATGAGAGGAACAAAGCGAGAGGGGACACCTGGGATTTCTTTATCAGCACTACATTTTTTTGGACGCTGCTTTATGCGATATGTGAACTATGCCCCCAAATCGAATTTTCGACCATTTATTACAAATGACACAACACGCTAGAAGGGACAACACACGAAACCTGGGGGTCCGCTGAAATGCAAAAGTGTTGTATGGGCCTAAGGGTAGACTGTAGAGCCCAGATGATGCACAGCTTGCTGTGATTAAGATGAAATCATCCCGTGGTCCAGCTGCGGTGCACCTGTTGTACTGCATGAAGCCTTGGTAAGAAATCAAAGCCAAACGGACTTTTTACATTCACCAGTCAAAGTTTACTACCTAAAGTATGTTTTAAGCGTTGTGGGAGGCTCCCTGGCGTGTCTGATATGCCAAGAAAGGGTACTAAAACCATTGCGGTGATGGTCAGAACTCAAGCAGCCAGCGATCCCATGTATGTCCCGTATCAGAAGCACACGAGAAATGTCGGCAGTGGACGCATGCGGGGTTCTATGCGAAAGCCCACACATATTCAAAAGCGTGCACCTGCCTACATTGCTGGGTAAATGGTATGGAAGGAGATAAGGTGATGTCAGGTGCATGCGAGGCAGATATGCAGCGGGCTAGGCTATACTTAGACATTCTTTGCTAAACCACTTATATTTAGTGAAGGATGAAGGATTTGGCTTGAAGGCGTTTGCATGTTACTCGTCGCAAAATGCCACTCGCTCAGCACGATGAGGCATTGTGAGATATATAATATGTATATTTGTGCTTGATGTTATATGCAACTAGCGATGAATGTGAGCAATGCTACAAAAGGTGCAGCAAAGCGCAGCGTAGCTATCCCTCTCCCCGTGCTGGAGCCTGCGGGGGAAGGCAAAAAAGGCAGTATTTCTTCTAAAACAACATCCAACACCTTTTCCTCATGCTTTGTAGAGTCTGAGTGTCTCTAAGGAAGCCTTCGATGGAGGAGCATTACGATACGGAAAATGCTGTGCCGTTTTCTGATTCTTCACGGTCCAGGAGATTTTTGACCACTGAAAGAAGGAGCTTCTGCCACCTATGCCGAAAGGGCCGCCGAAGAGTGGCCATGAGCGTTAGCGTCTAGGTGTTCTTTACCGCCACAGGCAGAGTTGAGGGCTCGAGTACTTGCACATCGCAGGGCATCCTGCAAGTATTGCCACTAAAAAGCTGTACTGCCGTGTAATTCATGTGAGAATAGACCACTTCAATGGCGCACGAGATATTGTGGGAAAACACAACGATTTTCCCGGTCGGGGTATTGTTTGTACTCTTGGTCAGATACAGCCAGTGACCCTCTGCAGCCGGTAGGCACCCCACGCGCAACCCTGCAGTGGGCATTTGTGGCATTATGGGCTCCATAGGACAATATACAAAATGCAACTACACATTTGAATATGAATTCTGCTGGTTTATATAGTACATACGTCGCCAGCCTCAGTCATTCTTTTCTCTTGCCGTAACGTGGTCCAGTTGAGCAGCGCGTCGTCAGCCGATCTACTCGTGAATTCTATCCGGCTAGCCTCCATATTGTTTCCCACTGTAGATCTTTGTATTTCAGGATTGCGATAGCATTTTTATTGCTTTTTCCCATTCGACGCTAGCAGACAGAGTTTTGCAGACCCAGAATCAAGGCCACCGGGCTGGCATCCCGCCATGAACAGAACTCGTGTGACGTTTCGGATCTGCAGTTTGCATATTCCTGTCTGAAACGAGGGGCCTTTGCCACATGTGCAGACCTCAAACTGAAACAGCTGCAGCGTAAATATATACGGCGGAGCCCTTTGGAAAGCCACCGTTGATATGACACCATGGGCATACTCCAGAGTCACGAAGCCGCAAGAGGTCACCTTTGGCCCTCCCAGGGGCGGCAGGATCACTATGGCTCTTCTTCAAAAGCCTCCGCTACTCACTGCCATGTGGGTCAAGGCAAGGCAAAGGGATTTCTTCCCGCATTTCGCATTGGAGAGATGAAGCTCAAGGACGCCACTACCAGCAACACCACGGCTTCCAGCTGCTGCACAACGCGGTGTGGCAGCAGTCGTAGTGGAACAAGCATCGCTCCTGACTTGGAATCCTGGGTAGCGAGTGGGAGGGGGGGGAAAGGCACTGCCCGGACGGCAGTGACAATGACGAGGTGTACAGACAGCTCCTGGGAACGCAGCGAGAGTGCGCAGGCCGTCAGCGGCAAAGAAGACGTAAGCCCCATAGCGTTCGATCCGGCTGGCAGCTTATCTGCGCAACAGGAAGCCTCCCTGCGTGACGCAGAGAGGTCTGTAGGAGGGAAATCTCGCCACACTCGCGGCATGCGGAGTCTGTTGGTACCTCTCAAGCTACGCGGATCTGGCCGATGCCACTCCCAGCCCCCAGAGACCAACCATTCCGAAGGAAGCACTGCCTCTTGTGGTGGCGACTTGCTGGCAGATTGCCGAAGCGTCTCAGCTGCAGCCGCCGCCGCCGCTCTGCGCGCGCATGTCGAGCGAGAAGAGCAAGAGCACCGTCGCAGGCGGCACAGCGACCTTTTCTTTCTCCCCTCTTCTTCGTCTGCTTCCCCGAGTTCTGCCTTGCAAAAGAGAGGCGAGTTTCCACTGGCTCAGGAGCGCTGCCTAGCAGACGCGAAGCCTGCGGGCAGCAGCATCCCCCCTCACTTGCCGCTGTCTGCCGAGAACGTCGACGCAGCTGAGGCTTCGCAGTCCTGTGAGACGGCAGACACTGCGACAAGTTCCGAGCTACCGCAGCCCAGTGTACGAACGCCGCAAAGGCCCTTTCCTCCCCCCCGAGGGCAGCAGCGCCAGGGGGCAAAGCAGCCTTGCAGCTGGATAGCAGACACCCCTCCAGACGGCCAGTGGGAAATTGAACGGGGGGTTTGGAATCGGCAGGGGGTGCACTTGAACCACACGTTTGTCGTAGACGAGCGGTACAAGGCAATGCAGGCTACGCTGCCGCGGCGTGGGAGCAGGCAAGACAGCAGCGCAGCGGCTTGCTTGCAAAGCCACTTCCCGTGCTCCCATGGCCCTTCCAAGCCAGCCATCATTACCCCCTTCGCAAGCCGCTTGCAGAAGCAGCTGCAGCAGCAGCAGCAGCAGCGGCTGCATGCGAGTGCAGAGACGCCCTTAGTGCCAATGACGCACAGAGGCGTCGCTGCAGCGACCACCATTGAAATTGCACGAAAGCGGCAAGCGAAGGAAGCGCTGCGCAGGCTGCAGCAGCACCGTCTCATTACCGACCAAGAGGCACAGCAAGCTCCCCCTGCCGCAGCTCCCGCCTTCGCCACACCCGAAGCAAAATCAGCATGCAGCGACTCAGAAAAAAGCGAAGCAGCACGCTGGAAAACACAAAAGGCAACGCGAAACGGGGGGGTCCCACCTGCTGTCTGCGGTGCTGCCCATGGGGACGCTGCAGGCCTTACCCCGGGGTGTACAGACAGTGTAAGCGCTTCTCCGAGAGGCAGCCTCGCTGCCTCCGCAGGGATGCCTACGCCGCTGAGCGAGGCGCGTTTGCGAGGCTGGGAGGAAGCCTCTCAAGAGACACGCGCTTGTCGTGGGAACGCGACGCATGCGCAGGGGGGGAGACTACCAGCCGTCACGGTGATCCCCTGCTCACAAGGAGGTCATGCACAACACACACCTGCTCTGCAGGAAGAAGTGCTCTCTTCTGCTACAACAGCTACTCACAAAATGCGATACGATGCTATTTCTTCTTCCTCTCCAAATGGACGCGTCGAAAACGACAATCAAGCGGTGCGGGAAGCTGCCCCTTAACCCCTGAGCACGGGAGTGGAGGGGTCCTTAAGAGCCTCTTCAAGGCCTTTAGAAGCGTTGAAAAATGCGCAAGCACCCTCTAACACTCAGACCTAACCACTAGCTTCTCTGCTGCAAAGCTCAACTCTATAGCGCGTTCGATCAAACTTTCCTCGTCTCTCTCTCTCCCTCTCTCTCGGTGTATCTATATGTGTATACATATGTGTGTATATGCATATATGAGTGTCCATAGGTGTGTATCGGTGTATTCATATGCCTTTATATGCATATATACACATGTGTATGCAAATATTTGTACGCCTATATATGTATGTAGGTAGGTAAGTATTGATGTGTATAGAGGAGTGTATATATATACGTTCGTTCGAGTGCGTTTGGTGAAAATACGAATGTATGTATATGTGTATATAGCTGTACCAATATCCAGATATGCGGATATTCATATATGCGCTTGCTCCATGCTTCGCTTGCTCGTTCCCTGGTGTGGACGTGGCATGCCCCCCCTCTGCCTTGCCGGCTGTATGTACACTCAACGGCCACACCCGGAGAGCTTCTGGTGCTTGCGTTGGGCAACGTGCAGGAAGAGCAGCAATTGTCAAGCGCCCTTGTCCCGACGCTGGAGGTGCCTGTACACCAGGTAAGTCGTGGCGTGCGCGTGTGAGGAGTCTAGACAGCTTCTGCAGGGGCAGAACGAGATAGTTTTAGCACACCGTGGGTGGTGGGAAGGCAGGGGAGGCATGCGTTAGGAGAGGGTGGTGCCTCGGTTCTTTATTGCCGCGTGAAAGCATGCAGCATGCAGCATGTTGCATGCTGCATGCATGGAGGCACAGCAACGGGCTGCTGCTGCGGGCGTCGCAGTGTTGTAGAATTTTTGGGGTGGTTGTTGGAGTGGTATTTTGAGGGGGAAGTTTAGTGTCGAGGAGGGTGCTTCCACACGGCGTCGGTGCACATACACCCCCTGCTGGGGTGTACATACACGCCCCCTCCAAAGCAGCGCTTCGTCCTCCCCTGCCTTTTTCTGTTGGTGTGTCTGTTGCCTCGCGTGATGCAGAATCTCGCAGGCTTGCGCTTCTTAGCGACGCCTTCCAAGATTCGACCCTCTTCTTCGCGATATCACCAACAAAAAAACGCTTTTGTCGCGAAGCCACGCACAAACATGGGGGGGGCCACCGGTAGGCTGCAGCGGTGATCGCTGCCAGCTCCGAGCGCCCCCTTTCTTTCTTTCCCTAGTCCAGTTCCCCTCCCGCAGTGTGCAGGCACGCTGGCTGCGTGCTTGAGAGGCTGGCGGAAGAAAGGCACGCTTTTCCCTTGCCCCGCAGGTGTGTCTTTTTCGCGAGGCCGTTCGCCAGCAGCAAGCGTTTTCGCGAGAGACTTTGTAGCAAGGCGCATCCCCGCACGACTCACCCTCGTGCGGGTGCTTCCGCGCGAGCTGCTTTTTGGGAGGGTTGGTTGTGTTAGAGCTGTGAAGCCGCACAGCGCGAGCAGTAGTAGCGAGGAAGCGCGGGTTGGCCAGTTGGCGCTTAGTGCGCTTTAGCTGCCTTAGCTGCCGCTGCGAGGTGCAGCGGCGCGATGCGATGCGCTTTTTTCTCCGACTGCAGCGGGCAGAGGCCCTCTGCGCACTGCAGCCAAAAAGCGCATCCCTTCGCACTGCACTGCCTTTCACGCCCAAAAGCCTGGCTGCATGCTGCACAGTGCCAACGCAGATACGTCAGAGAGAATTGCCATCATGCTCCTCCTTCGCGGCGCGTCGCCGAGGCAGCGGCACGCGTTGTTCTTGTTGTTGCGGCTGCTGCACGGGGTAGCCTCCTCCAAGGTTCGGCATGAGGCATGAGGCAATCCCCTAAACTGTTGCGCTTCTAGGGAAGGAGGCTTTGGAGGGTACTTGGGGAAGGCCTGCGTGGGCGGCGCTTCGTGAGACGCCGGGAAGGCGTGCTTGCGCGGCAGCCTCCGAGCAGCACCACTCGTTCAAACCCTCCCCTCGTCTCCTAAATAGGGCAATAAGTAGAGGCAGAGCGTCTTTCTGGCACTCCTCCTGCGGTGCGCCCCAGGAGGCGAGGCTCGCCTCTTGCCTGCCTACCCTGCTGCAACGCTGTGAAGGACTCGCTCAGCAGGCTGTGAGAAAATTTCGCTCTAATGCTAAATCTGAAGCGCGCGAAGCGACCAGGCCTGCGTGTTTCCGCCTGCTGCAACCGAACCGAACCCACTGCTCCCAAATTGACAGCAACGCTTGGTGCAGCGCCGTTCGCAGCCACGAACAGAATGCGTGTGGTTTCTCGGCAGCAGCAAAGCCGCCATAACAATGACAAAGCCAACAGCCAAGGGGCAACTGGAAGGGCCCACACAGGATGAGGCGGCCTTCCCTAATCTGCCTTACCCCTCCCTTTTCCTTACCCCTCCCTTTTCCTTACCCCTCCCTTTTCCTTACCCCTCCCTTTTCCTTACCCCTCCCTTTTCCTTACCCCTCCCTTTTCCATCCCTTATGTGCGCGCGTGCGTTGCGCCGCTGCTAACAGTAAGGGCCAGATATTGACACCAGCCACGGCGGCGCAGCGGCCGCTGCCCTCTGGCACTGTGTTGTGCTGCTGAGGGGAGAAGCGACACCCCTAGCACACCCCTCGGAAGGACGGATCCTCCTCAAGGCAGCTTCTCGCTGCCACTGATCAGAAAGCCAAATAACCGCCAGCTAACCGCAGAAATTGCGGCATGGATTTCAAGGAACGCGCCCCCGAAGCTCTTGCCCCACTGTGCATAAAAAGACTCGTTCCCGCCTCCTAGCCATGTGTTCGTGTGTCGTGCTTCCCGTACGCCAAGCAAGCTTCTGCACGTTCCACGACGAGAAGAGCACACGCCTTGAAAGCCTCTCCCCGCTCACCGCAGAGCCGCAGAGTCATGCAGCAGCTCAGAGGGCGATGCAGAGGCGGCAGTCGGAGAGGATCCGCTGGCAGGGAGAAAGCGAGACCACAGCGACACGGGCGCTGCCCTTTGCTGCTGCTGTTGCTGCTGCTGCTGCAGCTCTTCGTACTCCTTCATCTGCTGGAACTGTTTGCGCGGCGTCATGGAGGGTGCGCCACGCAGAAACATCTGCAGCAGCACGACGCAAAAACGGCACCGACCTCAAACGCGCGAAAGAGCGAAACACACTCGAGACACCCAACGCACAAAAAACACGTGCCGGCTAGCTGTCTCTCCTCCACACGAAAGCAGCTGCACGAGATCTCGCACCACGGCCAGAAAACGGGAATGCACACATGCGAAGACAACGAAGAGAGAAAAAAGAGGAGGAGAAAAAACAAGAGCATTTTCTGCTTGCGCATTCTGAGTTGTATGCATGTGGGGAGGTGGGCCCCCTAACAGGCACTGAAGAGAGGCATCTATCCATGCATCTACCGAACGCCGCGCATATGTACGGCATCTATAAGTATATCTCTACATAGTTGTATGTAACATTAGCAACACTGGCGCGGTCGCGTGCGACTGCCCAAAGGTGCTGTGTGTACTATCACGCCTATTAGAAAGGCAGCCTTTAGCCTACAATCTGCACGACTTCAATGATGCCTAGAAGAATACCACCAACGGCAGCGTTCCTCGCGCAGCTTCTCCACCCCGATCTCATGGAGAGGACCCCTCCCGTAGCAGCTCCTGCCAACACTGGATTCCAGCTGTCTTCCTTGCCGCCTCGTGCGTAGGCCAGTGTGCAGTCGAAGGCGCAAAAGATGCCACCCCACGTTGCAAAGGCAGACCCCACTGTCGGAGATTTGAGCGATCCCGAAAACAATGCGCCTCTCCACTTTTCATACTTTGGAGAATTACGCCAGCCCTTCGCAAAATGCCACAAAAATCCCCCCAAGGCACCCATGCCAAAAGCGCCTCCTAAGTCATCGAGGATGCGATCTGGGCAAGGCTCCCTATTCAAGTCACGGCTTCCCGCCATAGTTCAAGAATATTGCGTCAAAAGACTCTTTCAGAGACGGCCTACACAAATACACAGCGCTCTTGCTGCAGCAGTTGCTCTTGCTATTGCAGTTGCGGATGCTCATGCAGTTGCTCTTGCTACTCCAGTTGCTCTTACGGCTTGCGGATGCTCCAGTTGCTCTTGCTACTGCAGTTGCTCTTACGGCTTGCGGATGCTCCAGTTGCTCTTGCTACTGCAGTTGCTCTTACGGCTTGCGGTGCGGGAGAGCAACAGTTTCCACATCCACAGCACGTAGACACCCCGCCGTTATGTGCAAAAAGCGCTGAGTTCAAACTCTAGAAGGTATATCCCGTGTCGTGCTGAAGCAAGGGGGGGGGGGCCCTTTTAAGCGAGGGCTCCCAAAATACACTCACAAACACGTACACTCACTCCAAACTTCCTTCACAACCCCAGTGCCAAGTCTCCTTAATTGTAAAAATCCCGCTGCCGCTTGTTTACTTCGTTCAAGATGGCTGTGCGTATTGCCGGTGCATTGAACTTGAGCCACGAGACAGCGAGTTCCCCCACAAACACAACTGGTACGTGAGCACGCAGAGCCTCTTCTTCGCGAGGGGTTAGTCTCAACTGGGCAACAGTGGAAGTATCGTCAAGACTCAGTTTATGCAGCTCCACAGACACCTTGGAAGCGGAGGGGTCAACTGGGGAGAAAGCAGCTTCCGCACTTGGGGGGGTATCCGAGAGGCGTTGCTTGCTGCTTTTGTTGGTGTCGCTGCTTTTGTTGGTGTTGTTGCTTCTGTTGGGTGCAGCGAAGAACACAGGGAAAGGTGCGATGGCTGGAAGGCTGTTGGATTCAGCAGCCTCGTCAGCGAAACTCTCGCATGCAGACGGATGGGCTGCGCAGTCGCTAGGGGCCTTTATTGCCGTGGGGGAGTCGTGGCAGGAGAGAAGGAGGGGCTTAGCGTTCGCTTGGTGCACCTGCGGGGGAAATTCTTGCACGGAGGTTTGGAAGGCTTTTAAGGCTGCCGCAAGGGCTGCTGGGGAGGGGAAGGCGGGGGCAGTAGCCGCGCTTGTGTGGCAGAGGAGCGGCAAACTCAAAGCCGAGGCGATCCGCTGCACAGACAGAGCTGCCTTGGTGCAAAGGCTGCAGCTGTCTGTACCGATGAGGAGCACGCAAACGTTCGGCTGCTGTGCTCGCTGGAGGAGCTGCCCCGTAGGCGATCTTCCCGCCTCTTCTTCGTTTCTGTGGTGGTGGTGCTGCGAATTCGTTGAAAACGGCCGCCAGTTTCGCGTTGATGAGGCTTCGATGCCTTGGGGGAGGAAGGGGGGGGAAGCCTGCTGCTGCTGTTGCTGCTGCTGCCCAGTCAGGCGACGAGAGACTTCGAAGGCAGTCTTTGCGCGGCAGTACCTCCGCCTGCTGCCGCGGATGGCAGGAACACGAAAAGGGGGATTAAAGTCGAAGATTGGCGAAGCAGAAGCACGGAATCGACGAGAAGCGGCGAAGAAGCAGAAGTTCAACAAGGGCTGTGCCCCACTGCTGCGGAGGGAGGCGGGCGCCGGACGGAAGCCGCACATGCGTTTTTGCTCGCGAGCCGTGGAGGGTTGGTAGGCACGCTTTTTACAATGTCAACAAAGCTGCATTTGGGTGCATGCAAAGGGTGCAAATAGTCCGTTTGGCCGTCTCGGAGACACCCGGCGAGGCAGCCGGAGCCCAAGAGCCAGCGACAGCCCCGACGTAGTAGCAGCCAGCAACATTGCCCAGCAGGCCGTTATGAAGAAAGCTTGCGTTCAGGATGTAGAAAGCACAATGATTCGAGATAAGTTAATCAGATTTGAGAACTTGGGGATGCCTGAGTGAGTGCGCCGTCCGGTGCGTGTATTTTTACAGCCAGTTTCGAGGGACGCTCTCCCGCACAGACGGCAGTGGGTGTCTCGGAGGGCGCGAAACTGCGAGACGGAGGCTCCTTCTCGCCCGAAAAACGAGACACCGAGGCTTGAAACGCAGTGGAAAACGGTCCAAGGAAGAGCAGAGAAAGGGGTGTTCATGGCATGCATGCGCCGTCGTGAGCGCGGTTCCTCTGTCAGTCCACAGGGCTCTTACCAGAGGAACGGAAGAAGCCAAACGGCACTGCTGGCGCTGTGCTGCTGGGGACGTCTTGCAGCCTTTTGCGACGATGGGGATCTTCTTCCGGGATAGGGAGGCGGACCAGGCGGATCCAGATCTCCGCGCCTCGCGATATTTCCTGTTCAAAAATAAGCAGTCCGCAGAAAACAAGCTGAGAACCGCAGAAAAGAAGTACGGGTACACCCTGGGCGAGCTGCATGCGTATAAGCACGTCATGAGGCTCCCGAAGATGCCGGAAGCCATGGAAATGGAAAGGCAAGACCTCCAGCACACGTATCAGCAGGTTGAGAAACTCGTGGCGTTCGAGGAATACGAGCAGCAAACGGAGAATCACTTTGCAACGAAACAGCGAAGAAATCCATTCAGCAGGGAGGCAGCAGCAGCTGACACACCAGAAGGGTGCGGGATTAGCAGCAACAGATCCAGCAGCAGCAGCAGCTGCGAGAAAAGTAGTAATGCAGATGGCGGCGAGGCTGGCGCTTTGGGGGGACCCACCGATGCAGCTGTAGATGAATCTTGCGTCAAGTGCTTGGGGTACTATCTGGCATTGGATAGATGTGTCAGAACCGTGTCCAAGGAGGACGAAAAAAACAGAATCTACAAGCATACCCGTCTTCACGCCTGCAAGCCCCATTGGGTATGATACGCCAGACGCTTTTTTTAGCTACACGCACATGACGGTGTACAGACAGACAGATACCTGAACAGGCAAACTGATCACAAGACAGGCAGGCCTACAGACAGACATGCAAAATATGCATGCATACAGAAAATACATGCATACAGAAAATACGTACATACAGAAAATACATGCATACAGAAAATACGTACGTACAGAAAATACATGCATACAGAAAATACGTACATGCAGAAAATACATACATACAGAATATATATACATACAGATATGCATACAGAACATACATGCAGAATATATATGCACACAGATATGCATACAGAACGTATATACATAAAGACATGCATACCGACATACGTGCATGAACATTTGCATGGAACGTGGGCGCTCATCGCAGTGCCCTGAACGAGCGACTTGAATGTTTCGTCTTGGTTTTTTCGTGCAACTCTGCTTGCAGGTTTGGTTTAATAGATGCGTTGGATATCGGGATCAGCAGCTTTTGAAGGAAATATCATCATGGGAAGCAGAGCACATGAAGACACTCGACAATCAACAGCGGTGGGCATGTGCTAGAAGCTCCTTGCGGCCACCCGCTGCCTGGCACATGTGTAAAAGTTTTGGCAGAAAATCAGTCTCCTGCCCTTTAGAGGCGCCAGCGAGAAGGGGGGGAAAAGGGAGGGGTTAGGGGAGGACAGGAAAAGCTGGCGTCTGAGAGAAGTTAGATTGCCTTTCGTGTCTGTGGGGGTGTACAGCCCCAAAGGAGTGCTGTGCGAGTTGCGTGTGCATGCGGTCTGTCTAAATGCGCAGGCAGGCGTACATGGATAAGCTGCTCGGTGCAAAGCGTTACTTAGAGGTAGGGCCTTGTAGTCGCGCGCTCAGCTTAGAAATGGATAGGTGTACAGATGCTTGAAATATGGAAGTTTCACAGGGGAGAGTCTCTAGTGTAGGCCTTTTTAGTAGGTGTTCCGTTGTGGGGGTTTGTGTGCGTGTAAGAAAGCCACGTGGCCAGGACGGGAGGATTCAGTGTGCTGAGGGGCAGTAGGGGTGTGTCTCTTTACTGCGCAGTATACCTCCGCGCGCTCTCGAGATGACGTCGAGATTGTCAAGTCAGCCCCTACTGCCTCATGCTGCTGTTGCTCCTGCTGTGTCAGTCAGCGGCGAGTGGCACCTGTACTAGTGCAGATCCTGCGCTTGCCCGGGGCACGCGTTCATGTAGGCATTTTCTGCGCTGTGTCTGCCGTGTCTGCAGGATGCAGCGGGAGGCTCGACATCTATCAGCACGACTAGAGAAGTTGCGCAGCAGCAGCAACAGCAGCAACAGCAACAGCAGCAGCAGCGCTTAGGCGTCAGCTTCAGTTGGTTTGTGCGGGTTCACATGCAGCTTGGAGGCTGCTCTTGGCACTGCCTTCAGTTGGCCACTTGATTGTTCAATTGCTCGTCTTGTGTTTCAAACGCAGCCCTTGCCGCTCTTAGAGGCGGTAGGATGGGACACCTATTACACCTCCAGCGGGATACATATATAGATATATAGATATTATACATATAAATTATATGTAAGGATATGTAGGCATATAGTATATATATATATATATATTACCGAGACTCGACTTTTGACAGCACGAGTGGAGAAGGTGCGCAGCAGCAGCAGCAACAACAGCGCCTGAGGGCCAGTGTTGCAGGACCTTTATGGCCTCTGGTGAAATGCAGATAGGTCTCTTTCAAGAGATATTTACGTCGTGTATATGTAGATTTGAGCTGAGAGAGCTTTTTACAAGGTTTGCGGATGAAGGTGGCTCTGTGGCTGCCGTTTGGCCTTGGAGAGCAGCGGCCTCATGAGTCTTTAAAGAAGGGTGTGCGCAGGCGGTCTGCAACGGTATTGCGTCGACTCTTGCCGTTTGTTGAGTGGGTGCAACACTGCCCCAATAAAATCCCCCGTGCAGCTGAGTGTGAGCTAACCGCACTGTGCGGCAGCGGCAAGAGAAACGCTGCTGCAGGTGCTTGCCGGCCTGCCCTGGATGGCCTCCCGCTATGCACCAATTAGGAGTGAAGGGGGGCCTCTGCGGAGAGGCTGTATTCTCCGCTTTCGCACCTGCTTGAAAATGCCACAACGCAGCAAGAAGCGGGAGCGACAGGCAACCCTAAAGGCGAATATATCCTCCTTGGGTTGATGGATGTGCGCTTGTGGGGCCGCGGATGCGAGTTGCTTGACTGGAGATATGAAAAGTTCTGCCTATCCAGCGAACGCCCTGTTCGGCAAAGAGGCGCTCGCAGGCACGCCTCTCGAGGCAAATAGGGATGGCAGCGTCTTGCCAAAACAGCTCTAGTTCGTGTTGACCCCCATGAAACAGTGAGGAGAGGGGCGGCCAGCACAGTGAGGGTCTAACGTACATACACGGGGTGCCGTGCGAATATGCGAATGACGCGCACGTAGAAGGAGAGGGGCTGCCTCTTTGATCTCAGCCTTTTAGAGATATTATCCAGCTTAGGGGGTGCAGCGGGGCAAGGCGTATTTTTTGAGCCCCTTATGAACACTATTCAGATTGAACTGAGAACTAGCTGTCACCGAGGACCTCGAAAAGTCTGCGCGTCCTGCTTGTGGCTGTTGCACAAACGATTGACTCGATGTTCTAAGACTGCGTGCTGAGTGCCTTTGCGCTAGATGTAACTAACTGCGACCGCTCGCAAAGCGTCAGAGGCTCTTAGAAGGGATGCAGCTTCTTGCAACCCTGCGATCCTCGCCTCGGCCCTTTGGCCAGAACCCTGTGGAGTAACGAGGGAGCATGGAGATATGGAGCGGGGACGCATTTAGAGACGCACATCGTCAAACACTGTGTTCTGGGGTTTGCCAGGGTTTATGACCATGGCGTCGTCTCCTTAGAGAGGCCATTCGACGTGCTTTCACCCCCCGCTTTGGCTCCAACGCAAACTTGTACCGACCTTCGTCCAATGACATGACCCGCGGATATATCCCTTTCAAGAGTATTTTCAAGGGTGTCTATAACAGGAAATGTGGTTTCTATTTTGGCCGGTATTCCAGGCTATTCGGTTCTCCGCCCCCTTGACAGCGTGCCTTCCCAACTACGATTGTGGCTCCTCTACATCCGATTCCGGGCGAATACATGCAAAAAGAGTTCAAAACCTTGTGTATTGGCTTTGCCTAGCCTCTTTCCTTCTCGCGCATGAAAAAAATCGGTAGACATGGACGGTCCGGACAGGCAGGGGTGGGGTTGTTGTGACCTGGCTAGTGTGTGGCTGGTCGTAGGGGCTGTGTTACTGCGCCACCCCCCAGCCCCATGATGGAGAGCAGAACACAGGGGTGTTCTTCGTTGTTTTTTCCCTTTTAAATACTAAATTTGCAGATACACATGTGTCCTCTGTCAAGTAGACGTATGTACCGACTCCGTCAGCGGACCGCGCAGGCGTTCAGTACTTTCTGGCGGAGCGGCACACAGTTGTACACTTTTTAGATGGATGCTTCCATGCCGTGGGATTCAAGAGGGAGTCTGTGTGCCTTTTTTTCATCTCCGATCTCTGTACGTCCTTCATGTTTGCGGTGCGAGAAGAGAGTCCGCAGTGTTTTGCAGGGTGGTTTCGGCTGCATCCTCTCTGTCTGTCTTCGAGTTGAAACGTTAAAAGTGACGTTTCGCTGCATACGTCAGGCGCTTCTGGCGCGCACACAAGCACGTCTTTTTTCGAAGGGGGTGTTGGAAGGACGGCCTTTGCAGCCTTGCAGCAGTCGACTACCTCGGCGTTCGGTGCAGCAGTCTTCCCGACGAAGCCTTCCGTCGATATATACACAGCGACAAGGGGGCCCCTTGACGCAAAGGCTATCGCACTGCGCTGCCGCAGCATGAGTGTCAAAGCGTCTTCAAGAACAGAGCTCTCTGGACAGGGAAGGAAGCACTGATCGTTCATGGTGCCTTCACCGGCGAAGACGCGGAAGAAGCAGGAGCTTCCTACTCACGAAGACGCTGCTAATTCAAGTCATGCAGCAGCGCTATCCGTGCGCATCGCCCTCTTCCTCTAATCCAAACAGCTTCGGCTGCCTTCCCCAGCAGCAGCAGCAGCAGCAAGCTGCCAGCGTTCCTGCAGGTGTAGGCGTGCCTGCATTTACACGTAAACCTAGTACACATGCCTCTGCACATACACCCTCTTCTGCAGCACCGACCCCACCCCCCAAAGCCACCGCTTGGCTGTTGGGGAGACTCCGGAATGACTCGCAACGCGCGCTGCTGCTGCTGCAGCAACAGCAACAGCAGCAGCAGCAGCAGCAGCAGCATCAGGCCCCTTCTTTGGGGCTTGGCGCAGCAGGAAGCGGCGGCTTATTTCAGCGAGAAAAAGCGCCTTTTGTGAGGCCTTTAGGATTTTATTCAGCTTCTCCAAGACAATCTTCTGTCGCGCATGAGCCGGGGGGGAAGTATCCAGCCCGCGTAGGACCGTCTGCCGAAGGGGGAAGCTTTTTTCAGCAGCTGTCTGAACGCAACGCTGCGCATGGGAAAAAAGAGCTTTCGACTTCTGCAAGCGGCGGCGAGACGCTTCATGAGCAGGCTTGTGCTGCTGCTGCTGCTGCTTTCGAGGGGGAGAATGCGAAACTGAGACAAGCCTCTCCGCCTCTCGGCGAGGGGCAGCAGCAGCAGCAGACGCACTGCGCTCCCTTCAAGGCTTTAAGGCACCCCCACCCCCCTTCGAGAGACTCTTCTCAACACGCGCAAGCGCATGCGAAGCAAGCAGCATCAGCATGCAGCACTGAAGACAATTCTTCCCTCCTCGGGAGTTTTTCTGGCCGTGCAACAACGACTGCTCACCAATCCGCGTGGATGTTGCAACAGCCAACAAATCGAAGCGAAGCGCAAGGAATGCAGAGCTGCTCAGCGACTGCTACTAAGGGCGGCAGATGGAGAGCTCGTGCAGTGCTGCCTCCGCATTGGCAGCAGAAGCAGCAAGAGAGCAAATACATGCAGCAGCAACAATTCCAACCAACACAGAAAGGGCAGCAGCAAGGGCAGCAGCAGCGGCAGCTGCAAGAAGCGGGGTGTGCTCAACAACAATATCAGGCAGTGCAGCAGCGAGAAGAGGCGCAGCAGGAAAAGATGCAACAACAGCAGCAGCAGCACGACGTGCAGCAGCAAGTGCAGCAAGTGCAGCAGCAGTTGCCTAACCAGCAGCAGCAGCAGCAGCAGCAGCAGCGTCATTGGCATCTTCAACGGCCGCAACAGCAGCAGCAGCATTATCTCCCTCAACAACAACAGCTGCAGCAGCAACAGCAGCATAATCTCCCTCAACAACAACAGCTGCAGCAGCAGCAGCAGCATTATCTCCCTCAACAACAACAGCTGCAGCAGCAGCAGCAGCATAATCTCCCTCAACAACAACAGCTGCAGCAGCAACAGCAATCGCGTTCCCCCCAACAACAACTCGATCAGCGGTATAACCAGCATCAGCAGCAGCGTCAGTGGCATTCTCAGCAGCAAGTGCAACAGCAAGTGCAACAAGACATGCAGCAGCAGCAGCACCACTACTGGCCTTCTCAGCAACAACTGCAGCAAGGAGGGAGACAACAGCCGCAGCAACAGCAGCAATCGCATCCACTCCAACAACAACACCATCAGCAGCAGCAATCACGTCACCTCCTCCTCCTCCAACAGCAGCAGCAACAGCAACAACAATCGCAATACGAGCAGCAGCAGCAATCACGTCACCTCCTCCTCCTCCAACAGCAGCAGCAACAGCAACAACAATCGCAATACGAGCAGCAGCAGCCACAGCAGCAGGTGCAGCAACAGCAGCAGCACTTGCACCAACAACAACCCCAAGCGTGGCAACAGCAGCCAGCACATCACCAGCAACGCTGGCAGCATCAGCAGCATCTTCAGAGGCATCCTTCTCAATACCATGAGCAGAAGCAGCAGCAGCAGCAAGAGCTGCAGCAGCAGCAGCATCAGCAACATCCTCACTCTTTTCAAGCCGTCGATCAGCGGCTGCATGCGTTCCCAGGCGAAGGAGTTTCGCACAGCCTCCTCTCGACTGGGGAGTCTGAGGCTGCTGCTTCCAGTCTTGCTACGTTCAAAGGAGAGACTGTATCTCAGCAGCCGACAGCGCATGCGCAGATTACGTCCAAAAGAGGGGCCCTTTCCCACGGAGGAATTGCCTGGGCGCAGCCGCTTCCAGGAGACTGCCGTCGAGTAGCCTCTCCTTTGAACGAGCAGATCACGTCTAGTTGCATGCAGAGAATCTGCGCTCCCGCCATGTCGGATAATTCGCAAAAGGCGCGTGTGGGAGCCTCGCCGACCCCGCCTTCGGGGCTTGTTGCAAGAACGTCTTCAGGTGTCGATACACTCGAACTGCCGCAGCACGGAACGCTTTTCGGCTTGCTTTCTCCCGATCAAGCTCGTGTCGTTGCCGCTCCCCCCGAGAGCAGCGTCTGTGTTTTGGCAGGTCCTGGAGCAGGTATGGCTAGCTGCTGCAGTGTGCTGCTGCTCATGGTACTGATGGCGAACGGGGGGAAGCAGATCGACGGTGGAAAGAAAAGCTTTTTCCTGCCTCCTGCTTCCGCCTCTCGGTGCTGCACAGATGGGGCTCCTGCGGTGTATCTTTCTCTCTGTGTAGGTTCATGTGTGTATGTATGTGTACGTATGTTTGCGTATGTATGTATGCGTATGTATGGATGTGCATGTATGGATGTGTATATGTATGTGTATGTATGGATGTGTTTATGTGCATGTGTATATGTATGGATGTGTATGTGTGCATGTGTGTATATGTATGTGTATGTATGGATGTGTATTTGTATATGTGTATGTGTATTTGTATATGTGTATGTATGGATGTGTATGTATGGATGTGTATGGGTGCATGTGTATATGTATGTGTATGTATGGATGTGTATGGGTGCATGTGTATATGTATGGATGTGTGTATGTATATGTACATGTGTATGTGTATGTATGGATGTGTATATGTATGTGTGTACATGTATGGATGTGTATATGTATCTGTGTATATGTATGCGTATGTATGTGTGTATGTATATCTGTATGTGTATATGTATATGTATGTATGTATATGTGTATGTGTATATGTATGTGTATATATGGATGTGTATGTGTATATGTATATGTGTATGTGTATATGTATGTGTGTGTATGGATGTGTATGTGTATATGTATGTATATGTGTATATGTATGTGTATGTGTATGTGTATATGTATGTGTATGTATGGATGTGTATGTGTATATGTATGTATATGTGTATATGTATATGTGTATATGTATATGTGTATGTGTATATGTATGTGTGTGTATGGATGTGTATGTGTATATGTATGTGTGTATGTATATGTGTATCTGTATGTGTATATGTGTGTGTATGTATGGATGTGTACGTGTATGAATGTATGTGAGTATGTATATGTGTATATGTATGGATGTGTATATGTATATGTGTATATGTATGCGTATGTATGTGTGTATGTATGGATGTGTACATGTATATGTATGTATGTGTATGTGTATATGTATATGTATGTGTGTATGTATGAATGTGTGTATGTATATGTGTATGTGTATGTGTACGTCTATGTATGTGTGTATGTATATCTGTATGTGTATATGTATATGTATGTATGTGTATGTGTATATGTACGTGTATGTATGGATGTGTGTATGTATATCTGTATGTGTATATGTATATGTATGTATGTGTATATGTATACGTGTATATATATGTGTATGTGTACATGTGTATATGTATATGTATGCATGTGAATATGTATGCGTATGTGTATGCATGGGTATGCGAATATCTCTGTGTATGTGGAGGTGTATGTATGGCATATCTCTCTTTCTGTCTGTACATATATATATATATATCTCTCTCTGTATATAGTTTCTCTCTCTCTCTACACGTATATGTATCTCTCTCTCTCTCTATATGTATATCTGCATGCGTTTGTGCATGTTGGGACTGTGGATACAGGCAAGACTACGACGATAACGGCTCGCGTGATTCGGCTGCTGTTGCTGGGGAGGCAGCCGCTTGCAGCGTTGACGTTTACGAAGAAGAGCGCCTTGGAGCTTGAGAGACGCATTCGTGGGGGGTTGGAGAGTCTGCGTGGTGTGGTGGGGGGATCGCAGGATGTGCAGCTGTTTGTGGGAACGTTTCACGGCTTTTTCGCTCAGCTTTTGCGAGATCATGGTCGTTCTGTAGGCGTGCCTGGAGGCTTCCGTGTCTTAGGGCCGGTGCCGCAGCTGGTGCTGCTGCGGAGTCTGATTCTCGAGGAGAAGAAGCGACAAGAAGCGCACCTGCTCCCCTCGGGGGGAGAGAGGAGCGTGCACGCGCATGCGCCTGCAAGTGCTTTCTCCGGGAGGGCGCAGCGCCTCAGTGCGGCTCTCAGGAGAGGCGCGGGGGAGCTCGAAGCCTCGAGCGATGACAACGACGAAGACGACGAGGCGCAGGAGGAAGAAGAAGGCGACAGAGGTCGAGGAGGAGGAGGGAGGAGGCGTTTTTCATGGGAGTGTCAAGCGCCTATTGTCGAGGGGGATGCGGGGGTAGCTTTTTCGACTGCTGCGCGCGATGCGGAGGAGCTTCGGAGGCGGATTCGGTCGATGAAGTGCATTCCAGAAGTGCTCGAAAGGGAGCGGACGGCGAACTCAGTCGTGTACCGCCTTTTCTGCGCCTACGAAAGCCACCTGCGGAGACACAAGCCACCCCTGCTCGACTTCACTGACCTAGTGACTTTAGCGATTCGGCTGCTCGAGCAGGCAGAGACTCGCCATGCGCTTCGCGCACGCTGGCCATACCTGGTTGTCGATGAATTCCAAGATACCAACAGCAAGCAGTTCAAGTTTCTGTGTCTCCTGAGGCTGATGACTCCCAACGACAGACTCCACACCAGCAACTCCGGCAGGCACGCCTCCGCCGACAGCCTTGGATCTGCCAGAGGCTGCAGTTCTTGGGGTGGTATCACCGTAGTCGGAGATGATGATCAGTCCATCTACAAATGGAGGGGAACGCACACAGGAGTATGCGAAGGCTTCTCTCGTTTCCCTTGTTTTTTTTCTCTCTGTCTCTGTCTGTCTGGCTATCTATCTCTCTGTCTGTGTGTCTGTCTATCTGTCTTTCTGTCTGTCTGTGTGTCTGTCCGTCAGTCTATCTGTCTTTCTGTCTGTCTGTCTTCCTTTTCCTCCCCCTCTCCATGCGTTTGTATCGCTGGCTGTCGCTGTTGCTGCTGATTGATCAATCTTTCCCTCCTCCTCTCTCTTTCTCTGTCTCTGTCTCTCTCTGTCTCTCTGTCTCTGTGTCTCTCTCTCTGTCTGTCTCTCTCTGTCTCTCTGTCTCTCTCTCTCGCGCGCGCACGCGCCGATGTGCACCTTGTCTTTCTGAGCCAAACGCTTATAAGCGAACTTAAGACTCTCTCTCGAGAGATGTGATGTGTTTCCCCCTCGAGGCTTTGTGTGCTGCTGTTTTCGACACGTTGTGGGCAACTTGCGCAGCTCTTCCACGATTACCGAAGTCGCTTTCCAGCGTATCAGGAGTTTGTTTTAGGATGCAATTACCGATCGGTTCCCCTTGTTGTTCGTCACAGCGGTGCTCTTATTCGCTTCAATTGGCCTTTTCGACTTCCCAAGACGCTCTACGCTGCCTGTACACTTGCCGCAAGCGCCACCTCGCCCTCTTCCTGCTCACGTGCCAAGGCTTTGCAAAACTCAGAATCGCCATCGCTAGCGGCACTTAAATCACCCCTCGTGCGTACTGCTTCTCAAAAAGGAGGCAGCGTCTCAAAGGCGGAGGCCGCTTCTAACAGCAACAGCAGCAACAACATGAGCAACAACATGAACAACAACATGAACAACAACATGAACAACAACGATAACAGCAACAACATGAACAACAACATGAACAACAACAACATGAACAACAACAACATGAACAACAGCAACATGAACAACAACATGAACAACAACAATATGAACAACAGCAACATGAACAACAACATGAACAACAACAACATGAACAACAACAACAATGCATCCGGTGGTTTTGTTGCTGGCGCGTTTTTGGCCACCCAAACGTTAGAGGCGCAGTACATCTTGCGATTTATTTTGTGCTTGAAACAGCATGCTGGTTTGCGATGGGATGACTTTGCAATTCTTTGTCGGACGAATGGAGCGTTGAAGGATGTGCATGCGCTTATAAGCAGCCATGCCGTTCAGCGGGAAGCATCTGCACCGACAGTGGGGTGGTGTTTTACGTCGAGCACGCATGCAGCTGCATCCTGCGGCGTAGCTGCAAGGCCCCTCGATCCGAACAGTCCGTTAGATCCTGCTTTCTTGTTTCCGTCTGTCGATGTCTCGCGCTTCAATCTACCCGCCGGAGGCATCCCGCTGACTGCCCCTTCTTCCCTTCTGAAGAGCAGCGGAGGGGGAGGCGCTGAGCTCTTTCTTCGCCCAGATGCGTTGGACGTGCTCGCGTATCTGCGGCTAGCCGTGGATCCTCATCACGATGCCTCCTTCGTTCGCGCGCTGAACAAGCCCCAAAGACGCATAGGCTCTAAGACGCTTCTGTGGCTAAGACGAGTGCTGCTGCATGCGCGAGGCGAAGCGACGGAGGAGGCGTCTTTCCTAGCTCCAAATGCGAAAGCTGAAGGCGGGGAGATGCCGTGGCAAGGCCTCTTCTGTTCAGCACCCCGCGACGTCAACTTCGAAAAGACTGCTGGTGGGAGGGGGGCACAGGCATCTCTTTTCAGCGCCATGTGCGCAGTGTTGCAAGCCACCAGTCGTCTCAACGAGGAGGCTGGCTCGAGCGGAGAGGATGCTCTGGCAGGCTTTGCCTCCAACGCACCAGCACCAGCGCCGCTGGAATCTTTTGTCGCTGCAGCTGTGCAAGCCATTCCCCAGCACGTGGCAGCAGCAGCGAAAGAAGCGGCCTCCCGACTGCGAACGAACCAGCTCGATGCCTTAGCCGCTTTCTTTCAAGCACTCTGCAGGCTGCATCGCATCTCTCGATCTGCTGTGCCTGTCACGGCAGTGATCGGCTTCCTTCTGGGGCCCTTAAGGCTTGGCGTCTTCTTCGGGGAACGGGGAAAGGCTCAGCTGAAACGCGCTGCTGCAGCTGCTGCTGACTCTGCTGCTGACTCTGCTGCTACCCAAAGGCGTGCTGGAGGGAGTGGCGAGCAGGAAAAAGCTGGGAAAAGCGTTGGGGGGGCAGCTGCTGTTGCTTCTGAGGATCTTCTGGCCCCCCTAAGACTGCCAGAAGCGGCGTCTCATGGGGAAGGGGGAGGAGGCAGCAGCAGCAGCAAAAGCACGCCTTTCAAACCTCCAACCAGGAAAAAGAGGAAGGCGCCAGAGTCGCGCACTCCGGAGAAAGCGACGACAGCGGCAGCAGCAGGAGGCTGCTGCGATGAGGAGGACAAGACGAGGAAAGACGAGCTTGGAGAACCTCCATCTTTTACTGATGCCAAGGCAACGCTGAAGGAGCTGGCTCATGAATACGGGCTTGACAGCTTTGCAGATGTTCACGGCTTGCTCAGGGCAGTAGAGGCATACACCCCCAACTGGCAGCAGAAGAGAGCGGCAGACTGCATCTGCTGTCTGCTTCAGGATGCAGCTGCGGGGCGCTTTTTGCAGCAGAAAGTCGTAAATGCCATAACGCTTTCCACCATCCATCAAGCAAAGGGTCTTGAGTGGCAGGCAGTTATCATCGCTAGAGCCAATGACGGGTGAGCTCTTAAAGGAGAGCTGGCTTTCCCCTCGCACACGCAACACGGGAGCAACGACACCCCCTAACGGGCAGCTGGCTGCGCCACTTGCCAAGAAAGATCCTCTTCTGCAGTCGCCCTACATTGCTGCATGCGTTTCTGCATGTATATCGGTATCTCTCTAGAGGCGATTTTACGCTCACATGCGTCCTCAAGACTGCGCGTGGCTGGCGCGTATCGGTTAGCCGGCAGAACCCCTTCGCTGGCTCCCTCTGTAAATATGTGTATGTATGCATATATATATATATGTGTATGTGTGCATATATATATATATATGTGCGTATGTGTGCATACATATATATATATATACATATATATATATATATATATACACATACATATATATATATACATATACATATACATACATATATATATATATGCGCATGTGTTTTTTTCTGCGTCTGATGGCTCTCTTTGTGCGTAAGTTTGTTTCCGTGTATCTTTGATCCCCTGTCTGTCTGTCGCGTTGCTTAGGACCCTGCCTATGGGAGCAAGTGGCAGCCAGCCGCTGGCTGACTTCGTTTCTCGCGTGTTGCTTGGCACTGCCTCAGCGTCTCAGGGGAGGCCGTCGGGAGCTGGGGAGCAGCAGGCCTTAGTCGCGGAGACGCTTGCTCGGGCAGAGGAAGCGGTGCTGCGGCAAGGTTTGGGGAACGAGCAGCACTTGCATCTGATGGAAGAAAGGAGGGTCTGTTACGTGGCAATGACCAGAGCCAAACGCTTCATCCTCATGACGGCCCCCTTGGCAGACAAGAACAACCACCCAATCCAGCCCTCCAGATTCTTTGGAGAGGCTGGGTTGGTCGTGCCGAGCCGTCCCCAGAGTCGAGAGGTGCAGGCTTCCAGAGGTGTCGATGGAAGCAGGAAGAGCACTACTGGCGGCAAAGAAACCACGCATGAAAAAACACTGAAGCCAGTTGCTGCAGCCCTCACAGCGAGGGCAGCGACGCCGCTACCAAAAGTGCCAGCAGAGTGGAATTAAAGCGTCCAGCTAATGAGCGAGAATCTCTCAGGCCGCTCGACGGGGGCGCTAGCCGTCAAACAGCTGCATAAGTATCTGGGATACCCACGGGAGAGTTTCACTGGTAGGGGTCATTATTTAGGAGCTAGAAGAAAAGGCCGGAAGAGAAGCTGTCAACGGCAGGGGGTGTCGGGTTCTAGCCTAGAAAGCATGCAGCAAAGCCTAGGTGTAGCGTAACCTCAGAAGAGTTTCACTAGCAGGGGCCATCTGCCTGCGCATGCCGTTGCCACGTGGGCGTTACTCGAGGTGAGGGCTCCAGCAGGTGCCGCTCTGTGTGCAGCGTCGTAGTCTTTTGCAGTCAGCAGGCCAGCTATCCTGCATGCGTGCTAGAGTTAGGTGCTGAGCCGGCGAGCAAACAGCTGCGGATCTAGGCAGTTAAAAATAGGTAGCGAGAGATCGTCATTTACAGCGTTGTGCACGCGGCAGGCCCACAGGACAAGGTCCCGCTGCGAGGACGTGTTGGGGCGGTGTTGTAGAATGATGGACAGAAAGGCGCTCCTGCAGATGCTGCAGGGATACAGAGAAGCGAAGCTTATGAGCCAGAAAAAAACACGTCGTCGGTCCACTGCACCCTGAAGGCTCAGCAAACACCACCCGCAGAAACCATCGAATAACGAACCCGGAGACCCTCGGAATCAAATGCGCACGTCGGATCGAAGAGCTGCAGAGGTGCCCTGACGCCAGAAGTGCTCATATGCGGGGTGTTTCTGGCGAATGGCGTGACTCCCCCCAAATGCATTTCTTGCGCAGGGATTTACGAGGGCACCCTCACCGGATTGTCAGGGAAATGCGCCACGGCTCTATGCAGCAGTTTCCAGGAGGCCCTGCCCATTTGTTCCCTACTCGGCGGCAGCACTCTCGATTCAGAGGAGCTGCCACTGCTGCCCTTACCTTCGGCGCAGGGACAGCTGCGAGAAGCCCTTTCGCCAGAGGCCATTAGTTGAGGCGCTCCTCAGGCAACGAAGAGAATTGCGGTCAGAAAAAAGCACGCAGAGACGGCGGATCGGGCTGGATATGCTCGGCAGTTCTAGTGTATCGACAGACTGCATCGACACTGCGGTGAACTCCCATCAACTGGCTGATGGCGGTCCGACGGTCTTCCTCATAATTTCAACAAAAAGCAACTTGTGGCGTGACTTTATCAAAGCTGATACCAGAATAAGTCATGAGCAGACACCAGGAGTAGGTCTGGAGGTAGACGCTCAGGGTTCCGTTCAACTCCCACGACCCGAGTCGTAGGCTACATAGTGTCGTTCGCTCGGGTTATAGAAAAGTAAATATGCGTAGATATGCATATCTGAGCCACTCGACATTTTTATGTTTATTGGATTCATGCCAAAACGGCATTTTCCCTTAATTAAACCTTCCCTCCGTCAGCAAGGGCTTCACGGCGCCCTGTGGCTTTCTCCAAGAGCTTTCCTCTGCATGCGTTGAGTGCCGCTCTCTCCCACAGGCGTAGGCTGACGTCTGCGCCTGCATGGACTCCAGAAATCGCCTGGAGGGCGTCCGAAGGAAACGCTCTCCGTTCATCCATTGCTTGTGACGTGTGGACACCCCACCACCCCCAGGGTGTTTCATGAGATTCCCGTCTACCCGGAGGACGCGTGTAGAGATTACCTGACCGTATACAATGCTGCGTGCCTACTGCTCTGCGGGCAAGACTGCAGCTCGCATCTCCCCCCCCGCTTCCTGTGCCGCTGGCTGGACGCCACTCGCCTACCGATGGGAGCGCGTATCCAGACGGCCGCTGAGCAGCGCGGCCCCCCCCCGGCTGCCTTGCAGGTTGTACTTCGGGCAGGTGCCGGCTGTAGCGGCTAGGGAGTGTGCGCCTCGCGAGTCTTTTGCGATCTTCGCATATCCGCAACGGCAGAGGCCAGAGGCGGCTGGCTGCTTCTTGTGGTGTGTGGGCGGGCGAGTTCGTTCTCTCAGCACGAAGTCCCTTTCAACTCCCACGCCCTCAAGCCATTTGCCTGAGGCTGCTGCCTCTCCAGAGAGGCAGCAGCCTCAAGGGGAGGCGCTGGCAGTTACCGCGGAACGATCGGGTGACGTGGCGGAGTCGAGTGAAGCAAGAGCCTTGGGATCGCCGACGTTGCGCGTTATAGAGCTCGGCATGGAAGACATAGAAAAACGCAGACGCGTCCTTATCCGGAGGAACAACTTTTACGGAGTATGCTCACGTGCTTGCTGCTGCTGCGGCTGCTGCTGGTGTGACTCCTCCGCCTCCTGCACCTGTACCTGTACCTAGGTTTTAAAAAAAAGGAAAAATGCTGAGTCCTCCCGCCCATCGACGCGTGCTTAGCACTTCAGTCATGTAGGCGTGGCGAGCAAGGCGATCAGCCTGCACCTCTAATGGGACGGCTTTGTACGTGTGCTGCGCGATGTGTGTGTTGCCCCCTGCTTGCGGCTGCTACGTGGGTTCAGAAGCTGCTTCTCAGCTTCATCCTTGTTGGGGGTCTGCTGATGTACTTGGGTTACGCGGCTACTGACGTCTGCTCCGGTGTGTTGCGGCACCTCGACGGCTTGCTGGAGGTTATTTACGAGGTGCTGCCGGAGAATTTTCCCGATCCTGAAACAGCTCACGACTTCGTGATGTGGCTTGCAGCCCGAGGGATGCTCCCTCAAGATCTTGAGAGGTGGGCAGACGGGAAGGAGGGAGGGGGTGGCTTTTCTTGGGGTAGAAGCTGTGTGAGGGCCTAGTCGGATGGTTGCGCATGCGCATTTGCATGACGGGTGCTAAATGCGCGAGGGGATCGCTGCCATTGCAGCTATTTAGAGGCCTCACCGTGCACGGGCAGGAGGGGTCTATCACAGCCTCGCGCTGCGAGCTAGCGCTTACCGCTGGGCGAGTCTTCGCATGTTTACGCGAATCATCAGCGCGCGCGTGTGCCAGTATACTTAGCTTGCTGGTGCTCCTGTGGGGCTTCCTCTGCGACGCTTCAGGGATGATCCGGCGCTAAGTGTCTCCATCAAAGGCCTCACATTTCCCTCAGCCGTCGGCCTCGCTGCCGGATTCGATAAACATGCAGAGGCGCCTTTAGGCTTCTGCAAGTAAGCAATATCCGCTTTTAAAGAGGCTCCTGGGGGTGTCTTTTGAACGCCTTTGCACTCGTATAACAACCGATTTTTATGTGCACGTATGCTTCCATGGCCTGATGTCTCAATATTCCTTCAGGGGCGTGTGTATCTTAATCTAGGTTCGTTATTGTGTGGCGGTGGAATGAGTGACTGGAGAGGAAAGACAGAGATATGTATGGCGCTGTGCGAATAAGGCATAAGGAGTGGAGAGGGGGGAGATTGGGGAGGCTGTGTGTTGGCCAAGATACCAAAACTTCCGATGGAAGCATGAGTTGCACTTTTTGCCGGCGTTCCTGTCTTTTTGCGCTTGTGGAGCCCTTGCAGACTGCAGGGACGGCGAGTGAGAGTGGTGTTAAAAACGATTTCTTGGGCCGTGTGTGCCTGTGCCTGTCATCACTTTGAATGTTTACCTACATATATGGATGTATGTACATATATTATACCTATAAATACTCGTATAAATACATATATCTGTCTGCCTGTTTCTGTATGGGCGTGCAAGGATGGGGTTCGGCTTTGTGGAGGTTGGCTCGATTACGCCAAAGCCTCAGCCTGGCAATCCGACTCCGAGGATCTTTCGCTTGGCGCAGGATCGTGCGATTATTAACCGTTGCGGATTCAACAGGTGAGCATTAGCGGCCTGCTGAGTGGCGCGCGCATGCGTGCAAGCGTGCATGCATGCAAACAAGCAAGCAGGGCGCTTGAGAGAAAAGACATGTTGAACTTTGCTTTCCACGTGGGTTCAAGAGAGGACTTGCGAGGTTGCCTTTTGAGTGCAAAGAGGCGAGAGCTTCAGCAAGCGATCTTGCGCTTTCTGTAGACTTGAATAATACCCCCAGGCAAACAGAGCCAGACGGAGAACGCCTAGGGGCACTCTCTCTGCGACTCGGTGCGGTGTAGGGGGGGCAGGTGTAGTGTGAGTATGTGTGTGTGTATACCACGCGCGTGTATTTGTGTGAAGATGCCGACAAGGCGTCTTCTGGACTCAATTTTAGTTGCATCCATGGGTGGTTTCTTGTGTTTTGGGCTGTAGCAAAGGCCTCGACTTTGCAGAACCCCGCCTTGCAGAGACGGCGAAGGAGCGATGGCATGACAGGCTTGCGAGGAGATGCGTTCTTGGCGTCAATTTAGGTAGAGCGCCTTGGGGTCGGGGCTTTGTGCATGCGCAGTGTCTGCTTTCTTTTTGCGTCTTTCTGGCGTTTGTGCTGTTGTTGAGACTGTCGCATTTGGGGAGAGAACAGGGGAGAAGAGGGGAGAGAGGAGGGGAGAGAAGAGGGGAAAGAGGGGGTGTACCTTGGAGTGTCTCATTGGGTGTTCGCGAAGCGACTGTGTGGAGGGGCTGGCCATGAGCGTTTGTGTAGGGAAAAATAAGGATTCTTCGAGTGCGGAGGAAGACATCCGAGAGGGAATCTCTCGCGTCGCTCGTTTTGCCGATTATCTCGTGATCAATCTCAGTTCTCCCAACACGAGGGGCCTTCGAGCGCTGCAGCAGAAGGAGCACCTGGAGAGCATTATAACGACTGCACAAGAGGAGCTTGGGAAGCTGGAGCGACAGAATGCGCAGCAGACCGCTTCCCTCCTGAGCCGCCATCAGAAAGGCGAAGACGCAGAGAGTGATGAAGAAGCAGTCGGCGTAGAGACAGGAGAAAGCGCCAAAAAGCAGCAGCAGGAAGATCCGACGCAAAAAGCGCATGCGTTTTTCCCAACGCAGACGGGTAAAGCGCCTCTTCTCTTTGTCAAGATCGCGGTACGTGTGTCTCTCTAGCCGCAGTTGACTTCCGTCCGAATGATCTCTTGGAGATTTTACTCTTCTTCTCCGCGGCTTTTTCCTCCCTAGCGGCGTCTGCGTCAAGCCCCCAGTCGTGCCGATTCGCCAAGCAGCAATTGTGCTGCCTCCAGAGAGGCGCTTGAGGGGTGTTGCCTGGCTTGCCTTTTTGCTGCCTTTCTTCAGCCCGACTTGACGGACGAAGAAAAGCGAGACATTGCCCACGTAGTAAGCGGCCAAACACTCAAATGCGAAGTGTCTGGGAACGCTTGATTGGGGGCACGTCGGCTGGCAAAGACGCGTGTCACCACCATCTCCATGCGTTTGTCTCGGCGCTACTGTATGTACATGCTATATATGTACATGCTATATATGGACATGCTATATAAGTACATGCTATATATATATATATACATGCTATATATGCACATGCTATATGGACGTGCTCTATATGTACATGCTATGTATGTACTTGCGATATATATACATGCTATATATGTACATGCTATATACATACATGCTATATATGTACATGCTATATATGTACATGCTATATATATATCTATACATATATATACATGCTATGCGCAGTCCACCGCTCGAAGAGTAAACGCACGACAGCATGATTTGTTTGGATGTTATGCACACTTTTGAATGCTTCCTGCAGGCCTTAAAGACAGGCTTGGACGGGCTGATCGTTTCGAATACCACCGTACGTCAGCAGCCGCGTTTCAAGCCGAATCCGCTTGCCTGTGTCGTTTGCTCCGTCCTTAGTGTTCTGCGCCTCTTGCGTGGGGTTGCTTGGTTGAGGGAAAACGCATTGTTGCTCCCTTCCCGACAAGTCTGCCACTTTTGTTCTGTCTGTTGGCGTGCAGGTGCAGCGACCTGCCTCCCTGAAAAGCTCAAGCAAAGGCGAGCAAGGGGGTCTTAGTGGACGTCCTCTGAAAGCCATTGCCACGAAATGCGTTTCGGATCTCTACAAGCTCACAAACGGCAAAGTTGCAATCATAGCTGTAAGGCCTCTTTGGGCGTCCTTCAAGGAGGAGGCGGATTCCTGCGGCTGTACAGCCCCCCTCCTCCCGCCGCTTCCTCCCCCGTCATGGGCTTGCCGAGGCATTGTATGTATAGATGGAGAGATATAGAGAGATGTATATGGGTGTCCTTCTCCTCTTGCTAGTGAGCAGAAAGGTCGCTGCAACAAGGGTATACCTATGGGAGCCGATATGTGCGCGTGGCGCTAGAGAGAGGCAGCAAGGACGCATGTCGTGTTCTGCGAAAGCTGCTGCGGCATAATCAGCTTCTGCGGATCTGCCGTTTCTGCAGAGTGGGGGAATCGAGACTGGTCTTGACGCCTTTCAGCAAATTAAGGCAGGAGCAAGCGCCGTCGAGGTGTACAGCGCCATGGTAAGGAAGAAAGGGGTATTTCGATATGTCGCTTGCGGCTAATTCCGTTCCATGGAAGTTAGTTTTGCTGGCGTACATGCTGTTGCTGCTCTCTTCACCGATGCGCTCCTGGCTGGTTGCCCTCTCTGTTTCCTTCGCTTTTTGGGCCTGCTCTGTCTCTCTTTGTCTGTGTGTAGCCTCCTAGCGCTTCTTTTCTCTTTTGTCTGGTTCGTAGCGGCACTAGGCCTTCGCTCTCTTTTTCTCGCTATATATATATATATATCTGTCTCTCTATCTCTGAATCGCTCTCTGTATCTCTCTTTCTCTCTCTCTGAATCTCTCTGTATCTCTCTCGCTTTCTCTCTCTCTGAATCTCTCTATCTCAAAGAGATGCATATGGACTGTCAGTTGAGGGATGCGTAACGGGGGCGTGTGCTGCTGCCCCGCCACTCGCGGAGGCGCTTGTTTCCGAAAAGCCACTTTTAGAGGCGAAGTTAATTGATTGATTGAGAGAGAGCAGTGGCGGGGGCAGGTGTAGAAACTCCCAAACCGCATCCTCATCTGGCGGAGACGGAAAAGCTCGGACAGAGCGACTAGAGAATTAAAAGGGGCGCACGCGCAGCCTTTTGCACGAGGGCTGGGAGGATTTTGTTGACTGGCCGTGTGCATCACGCTGCATGCAGATATACAGAGGGCCAATTGTAGCACGTCGCATCAAGGATGAGCTCCTCAACATCTTGAACCAAGCAGGTACAGCGTGTGCATGGGGTGTTCGCGTTTCCCTGCATTTTTGCGCTAGTTGAATACTTTCGCGTCTGCCCCTTTCTCTGCCTGCTCCATTCTCGGCTCGTGCATTACTTTTCGATTTTCTCCCCGTCTCGTCTTTCGAGGTCCCCTGTAGGCACGTTTGGCTGCTACTTTGACGGGGATGCTGTTGCGCTGTGGCATGCGCTGTGCCGCGCTGGTTTCGGAAGTGCTCTCAAGGCAATGTCTCTCTCTCCTCGAACGGCCTGTTGGGGTTCGCGCGCATGTGCAGGCATCTACAATGTGCAAGACGCCATCGGACTTGACCATCGGCCGCTCAAAAGGAAGGCCGTTAAGAAGCCCACCTTCGATTAAGGGGAGCCCCCAGTTCTGTCTCGGTTGCAAATAGGCGGGCTTGTAGTCGGTAGAGTTTAGAGTGTCTGGTTGCTTTGATTTCGAGGCGCTCATGCACGCTTGCCTACGGGGCTTTCCCGCGAGGCAGAGGGGGAGCTTTCTCTGCTGCATGCAGATATACCCCCTTTGAGGGGCCGCTTTGGAGCCTTTAAATGAATCAGCTTGGAGGGTTTCTTGGCATGGACTGTTGGCGGGTTGGCTTTGGGCTGGTATTTAGAAGCTCGACTCTGCAGGCGCTGCCACACGAGCACTGTGGCAGACAGAGATCAGCAGGTTCCTCTACATCCCCCTGCTGCTAGGAAGTCGAGTTGCCAGAGAGGCCTGCGCAGCGCTCAGTGTCTGCTCAGCCTTGAGACTAGCTGCAAAAACAACTTTGCCGCGTGAGATCGGCAGGGGCAGCTGCCCCGCGCTCAAGACCGGGCAGAAGCCTGGACGTTTAGTACTTTGACCATTTGACTGGCACCCTTTTTCTCGCCACGAATGCGTTCAATAGAAGGTGTTTCCCAATATGTTTGTAGGGGGTAGACAGGCTTGTGTGGCCGGCGGGGGTAGGGAGAGTTGCTTTCTGGCAGTCGTCTTCTGGCCTCTTTTGGAGAGCTCTATGTCTTAGAGGATGCGCACCCTGTGTGTGGCGCACAGGTAGATGGTTGGGGTCGTGTAGTGAGCTCTTGGAATTCCCCAAAGTAGGGGAGCGCTAACGCTGTTCTTCTTATGGACGGAATACACAGCCAAATCGTGCAACTTCCGAGAATGACGCCATTTCGTTGCCAGGCCCAGCGGACGCAGTTCGATTAGTGAGCATCTTGAGCGGGTGGGTGGGTAGTTTTAAGGTTGTGTTGGGGATGGTGGGGATGGGGGTGTGTGAAACCGGGAGCTTTTGCTTTTTCTCAACCCCACAAACCAAATAGGCACATTCACGCGCTCAAGGAAGCGATCCTCCAGGCAACGTGACGCGAACACATGGAAGGATCCACAAGAACAGCTCGCTGCGCCTGCACTGGCGGGCCTCCTGCTTGATCTGCCTCACACGCACTACTAAGATGCCAATCAAATAGTCAAAACTGCAATACCATAAGGCTTTTGCCCATTATTGGATGCTGCGGAGCTGCTTCCGTCCACGTTAGCCTAAATCCACGACACGCTAAATTGGTTCTCGACAAAATCTACGGGGCATCATCGGCCTTGGTGGTGAGGGCCTCTTCTCGCCTAGGTACCGGTGCAAGACACTGCCTCGTGCGGGCGGATAAGAGACTTTTTGCCGTCTTTTGTGTGAGCGAATGCACCCATACCCCCTTAGCTGGTTCCCGCTAAAAGAAAGAGGAATGAAGGATGGTTTCTCAAAGCTACGCGGAAGACACAACATTTTGTTTGGCAAGCCCTTCACTGAGGGCCCAAGCATGGGCTGGTAGTAGCCGACAGAGGGGCATAGTTGCGCGTGAGCAGTGCCGCCGCCATGTTTCGTGCTCTTTAGATTACTTTACACAAGAGGGCCTTCAAGGTACACGAATACTCGGATTACTGAGGCGGCTTCTGCAGACATGCGCTTGGACCACTTAGAAGTTTAAGCGTCTCCCAAACCTGGGTAGGTATTTCCTCGCTTACAAGCGACCCCAAGCCGAGAATTTGCCAAAAGAGGTTTTTTGGGCTGCATTCGTGCAGCACCGACAGATCATCACATACCCAACCTGCAGCCTTTGCAGATAATGCATTGGACACGCTGGGGGAAGCAACTAGCAAGCAGCACACTCGAGGGATCTCACATATAAGGCCCAGGGCTTCGCTAATGGCGCATTGCAGCAGTCTGAAATGTAGCCGCTATTCTCTACAGTACCTTTGCCTGCTTGCGGACCTGTGGGTGCGCACAGGCTATGGCAAGTGTACCAAGTCGCTGGTGATAATGAGGCACAGCATGGAGAACTGGCGCAACTCCATCCTCAAATCTATGCTATGGACTACTGGGTGCTGCCCAATATTCGTTCCTGTATGTCCACCTGAGTGGTACTGCTGGCCTTCCAAAGGCCCCTTACGCGGCACAAGCGGAAGCGGTATGCAGTTTCCGCTTGCTTAAAAGGAGCAGCAAAGGCCAGATCGCCTTCACAAAAATCAAAATAATGATCATTCAACAGTTTTTGCTCAAAATATGATTGAAAATGAGGCGCTAAGGCGTGGTCAGCCAACACCCACGCAGGTTGGCACTCGGAGCTAAACACTAGGGTTCACCTCCCGCCTGCCACTCCCCCGGCACGTTCCATGCCCAAAGATAAGACTCTTTGGAGGGAAAAGACTTGCTTCTTCTGGGGAGAGAGTGCCCTGCTCCCGTTTCAATGTATCGGGATGCTTGTGTGCGTCACCTGTAACCGCTCCCCGTGCTGTGGGCCTACACATAGGCACAGGACCCACAAATCCAATGATTGGATATCGTTTGGAGCACATCGACCGGTGTTTTTGTGTTAAAATCAATCTTTTAAGGCTTTGCAATTTGCTCTGGAAACAGCCAAGCGGAAGAAAACGACAAAGAGCTGCTCTTGTCTTCCCCTTACAGCAGGCGCAATCACTGGGCCACGCAACCCCAGCGGCGTCTTAATGTCCTTCCGCTTCTTCTTGTTCAAACGGTTTGGGTTCCCTCTGCATTCCCTTTTAGATTGTAGGTGTACCTACCCAAAGCTCGATCCGAGAACTCTGAGCCTTCCATCGTTGAGTTTCGTCAGACGTCTAGTCTCGAGCGGCTGCCAGCAGAACGCAGCAAACGATGGAAGTGACACAAGGCGACGAAGATAGCTGCGAGGCCATTGAAAGCTAAACATCATATCACGAACATAATGAAGTGATCAGCCATGAGGTTGCAATGGGCCGACGGCGCCGTTTTTGGGTGTCCGTACAGCTTGCCGATCCGACAATAACTCCGTTCCTGCGGGGGCCATATATCGGCTTTTGCTGAGGCCATTGCCGCATGCAACATCATAATTCTACTCCTGCGGTCTCTTCATTAGCCTTCTGTGCTGTTTGGCGGGGAGTACTCGCCGAAGGCGGGTAGGCATTTCCGCTCACTTGCGCTATTGACACACCGATTTTAGGCCCGGCAAACGAGAATCCCACGAATTCCAACAGCCCTCTGAAGGGGGAGGTGGGAGAAAGCGGGCAGGTCTGTTAGATGGGGTCACGACTGCTGGACAGTTGAAACTCCAGGTGCCTAATTGCACGGCGTCCGAATCGGGTTCATCCTTGCTTAGTTCGCGGTATTTACCCTTTTCTAGAGACATGCCGGCAGTAGTACCTACCCGCCAGGATATCCTCGAACAACGTCAATCGGGATGATTCTGCACTAAGGATCTAGAGGACAGCGAGGGTGGACCAAACACGTGGCACCATGAGGAGGAACCGAGGGGCAGAAGGCAGGGGGCATTTCATGCATCCCGAAGACCTTCACGTGTGGCTAATATCCTTAGCACTGCTCATGGTCCTCATGTCGACCCTCTTCTTTTCCTTGCAACAATACCGACCGGAAGCGGAGCAGTCGTGGGTTTATTTTGGTGAGATCTTGTACTGCAGGCGTTTGGCCGCCCCTTGGACTCAAGTACCAGAGCCCTTTCTTTTGTGCATGTATCCTCACTTTCCATTTTCTGTTGTCTTACTTCTGAAAGGCGTAGCGCAGAGTACCCCAAGCTGTGCAAAAAGCGCCGTTTTTCGTATTGGACTGTCTGGACTGCGCAGTTCTTGTGCAAGCTCCTGCTTTGTCCATTTTCGTGTGCATATGTGAAAAAACCTCTTGTTGAATTCCCCCCCATTTCATGCGACTTGACTCGACGCATACCGCCCATCCGCTGTTTGGCTTTAATGTTGCATCTTTTTTGCAGCAGTGTGTAGAGTGCCTCTTCTGAGTCGCCTGTTATAGGCCGTCCTATGTCGGCGTTGCCTGATTTCCCTGGAGGGTAGTTGGGACGGGAGTGGGTGTGGGGGAGAGGGTTGCGTTGGGGGGCAGGCTGGATGTGCCTGCCTGTATGTAGCCTACTAGTGTTCTTCTCTCGCGTTCATGTGTGCAGCTGCCTTCCCTCTGCACGCTGCATCCTGCGTTGGCGTTTCTGCAGCCCTCGTCCTTAACTGGAGTTTGGTATTTGGAGCTTGCGTGGTGATGTGGTCTGTCGGACGCCTGCTGAGCAGCTCGAAGAGCGACTGGCTGTTGCTCTTTCTTTCGCTGACTGCCATTCTTTTGCCCCGTGCATGCCTGCCTTTCAGTGTGCCGGAGCATATGCTGCATCACATGTGCTTCATCGGCTACAATTTTTTTATCCGAAAGCGCTCCTGGAGCACGCATGCATTGTGGGGTAAGCAGAATCCAGCACAGTTGCCGCGCGCTCCTTTTAGCAACAAAGGCCGCACGAACGAGCAACAAAAGCCACGTGGATGCAATGCGCTAGAGGGCCTACGTCTCGGGCTAAAAAACGAAAGCGTTTCGCACGCGGCGCTTGTCCAGCCAGAGTCAGTTGCGTGCTTGCTGGTACATAGTGTTGACGCGCTGGTGTGCCGCACATTAGGAGCTGTGTGTGTTGCTGGTGGCTCTTCTCTCCTGCAGGCTTATGTCTAGTGCTGCTCACTGTTTCTGACGTGGCGTGGGGCGTTCTGCCTTTAATGCTGGCTCTTTTCAAAACGATGGGGTTGCTGGTGACGATAATAATGGGCTGGTTGGCCTACCGGATTGTCCTCATCTTCCGCCGACAAATGCGAGAAGTCAAGCGCTCTGGGTGGCCTGCAACGGGCTTGCAGCAGGCAGCCGAGGTGGAAGGCAGGCTGAGATTGCGACAACATAGAGCCTGGCGGAGGGCTCACAACGGTGCATGCGTCCCCGCATACACACCTGCGTGCCCCCCCCCCAAGCCCGCTATCTTGAAGCGCTTCAAATCGTTCGAGCCAGCACGTCACTCAGAAGCCGCTTCCCTCAGAGACAGGAACCTGAGGCGCTCCAAGACACAGGGGGTGGGGCTTTCGCCTCGAGGATTGCCAGTTACGTGGGATCATCTACTCCCTTCCCTCCAGGAAAAGACTCCACAAGCGAGCGAGAGGCGGCGCTACTGGACGACACTCGATAATCTGACTCCGCTGTACAACCAGGCCGTCCAGAGGCGTCTCAAACTTCTCCGATCCGACTTGATGCGTTGCCTGCCTGACACCGGTGAGTTGCCCCCTCCGGAGTTCCTCGGCAGAGGCGTGTCATGCCCCGCACTGCCTCCCTATCGGGAGGCTCTATAAAGGCCACACAGACACACACGCAACTTGGTTGCCATGTTAGCTGCATGCATGCATTCATGCGTGCATGCATGCAGCTAACATGGCAACCAAGGATCACTCACCCTAGTATATGCGTGTGTGGTTGGTTGGGTGTGTTTGAGAGTGTGTGTGTGTGTTTGAGTGTGAGTGTGTGTCGCAATCCTTGTGCAAAGACACGTACAAATATACATGAATATATGCGTGTATGCATATATGTGCTGTTGGCGGCTTCTAATGCTGCGTGAGTCTACAGATGACGCAGGAATCTTCCGGAAGGAAAAGGAGTCTCAGCTTTTTGTGGTTCCACGTTGCCACTATGGGTGCGTTGACTGCTCGTGGTTCCTAGATGCGGACTTGGCGCCGCCGATTCAGAGTTGTTTGTGCTTCCTGCGAAAAAGCGGTGGCTTTAAAGAAGCCGCTTTCTCAGCCCGAGGGGAAGCTGCTCGCCCTGCAAGGACTCTGGGAAGAGCAGATTCAGCCGCACCATTCTCGCTACACAATGAAAGCAACAGTGGAGGCGACAATGCTAGACTCCGTGCCCGCAACAGCCTTACGCCAACGCACACCTCGTCTGTACACTGCGAGTCGCTCCAGGACAGGGGTTCCTGCAGAACGCGCTTCTTTCAGGCCTCAGCTTCTATGAACTACAGCCTCTGCGATCACCACTGTCACTCGCTCAAAGGCGAAGAACACATTTTTAGCGCGCAGCCGGGAAAAAGCCTCCAGCGTGGCAAGGAGGGCGTCACTTCGTCGACAGAATTAGACGCTGAGAGATACCGCCACACTCCCGACAGTGACGGCTCTGTCGCCGCAGGCAGCTCTGCAGAGCACCCTGCAAAAAAGAAAACGCCACCACTTGTGGCAACGCACCCGCATTCTACGAGCGTACCGCCTCAGAGCGGGGAGGCCTCACCCTACAGTGCCTGCGCTACGGAGGCCGAGCTGTTGCCTGCCTTGTATTCTGCCGCATCCTCAAGAGTAAGTGCGCAGCAGCAAAGCGTCTGCCAAAGAGCTCTTGCTTCAAACCTCCGCCAGAGGGCCAGAGGTATAATAAGCCTGCGGCGGTAGTGTTGCTCGTGCACTTCAAGCAGCCACTGGGCCTGAAAAGGATTGCTGAGATGTCTCAGGTCTTTAACCGAAAGTCTGAACGGCGCTCATGCTTCTTAAAACTCTTCGCTAAGGGCAGACATCGAGCCGGAGAAACGAGGAGGCCCCCGAAGTACGCTTACCCCCACCCTACCGACGCCAGCCGTAGTTCGGTGCCTCCCCCCTTTTTTTCTGTGCCCTGTCGTTTCCTGGTATCTTTAAGCGCAATCCCTCAAAAGAAAGGAAATTCCATTCTACCCACTTTCACGAAAGGCCACTGAAAGGCGGCCAGATCGGTAGAGGGAGCGTCCGATTGGGCTTTGGGGGGACGTTTTCCAGGCCTGCTGGCTGTATTCACGCTGGCACTACACAGCTCTCTTTCTCGTCCCTTGCCAACGCGCATGAGGCAGTACATGAGCGCCAAAAATAGAGCAAAACAGGAGATCACGAGGTCAAGCGTTTGGGGGGACCGGGAAAGGGCTATGCCTGTTGGGGAGCTCTCTGTGTGCATTGCCTTAGGGGCCCTATGCGGACAGACACCGTAGGGTGGACGCGTAGGCGCAGCATCAGCACTCTCTGTGCATCATCCTCGCGCGTCTCCTTGCGGCGCTTTCCTGCAGGTTCAGTTTGCAGGAACGCAGCCGACTGCTGAACTGCCTGCCTTGCGCTGTGCGTGGAGATGAGGGCGCAGAGCTCTACGGCCAGGAGGAGGTAAAGAGACTCTTTCTGCAGTGCACAGTTGAAGGCCTCGAATAGCATAGAGGACAAGCGTGCCAGCGCCTGTTCGAATAAATGGCTAGGCACGCCTCTGCCTTCATCGGTTCGCGCTCATCATTTTCTGACTTCCGATGCTTTCATGCCCTTCCAGAAGCAAACCAAGGCTGACCTAATGGCCCTTGTGGATTTGTTTTTGTGCTTGGCGACAGGTCCTGCTGCCGAGGGCAGTCCTGGGCGTCTTTGAAGATGCGGTGTTGGAGCGATGGTATATGCTCTGGCGCTCGGTGCTCGTTGTTGACCTATACAAGGCGAGCAACGGTTTGAATATTTCAATATGCTTGCTACAATGCCTCTTCGGCATGGCTAGGGCATACGTCATGGAGTGTGCCGTGTATTACGTGAGTCGCGCGAACCCATTGACCATGCGATGTATATACATGCTTCACACAAGAGGCTAGACGATGCTGTTTTCGGCCTCTTGTCGCTATCCCTCAACCTCCTTCGTACAAAAGATGCCGACTGAAAGCTGACGGGGTGCTTCTCATAGGGGTCTCTCTACTGGGTTGCTTGGAAGCGGAGGTCTGCCTCTTGCACCCCGGCCTTCCTCACATGCCACTACCTGCTGCGGCTGTAATCTAGCGCTTGGAGTGCTCTGACGTAAGGTGTGTTCCTGGTGCTCCCTATGACGCCATTATTGGCATGCATGAGTTTTCATGGCCTCTTTCTTCGCCCCTGCCTTCAGGGGGAGAACAAGGTCCTTGGCCACCTCGGAACGACTACATACGAAGGGATATTTCCCTCCTTGCTTCCACTTTGGCGCACTGTGCGTGCTGTGTGCGCTCCCCTTCTGCAATTCGTGATCCTCATTGCGCTTGTGCTGCCCATGAGGTACATGCCCAGTCGAGGGGGCAGAAATGCGTGGAAATTCAATATACTCGCACTTGGACAAGCTGTTACGTAGTAAGTTTCAAAGATGCAGTTTCTACTGTTTCTGTCGTAATATAGGGTGTTTTATGCACCCTCCCAGCCGCATCTGCCGACCTTCGCAGCATGTAATGTGGTTAAAAGGCTCACCAAGGTGGTCTTATGCGGTCAGCGCTGCAAATGCAGTTGTTGCAGCATGCGAATTTCTTGCAGTGCGCGGCCCCCCCCTTGACGCAAGACTTTTGTTCTGGGTGATTTAAGTGCGGACACCTCAGGGTCTGTGCGTGGAGTCTCTGTTGCGGTCTGCAGCACTGTTTTTGTATTTTCCGATTTGATAGTCCGGTGCCGCTCGTTCGGCCGCCTACGGTCCCGTGATTCAAGAGGCATTCCTTCGTCTCTGGAGGTTCATTCTATTTTAGGAGGTACTAAAACACGCTTGAAGCTGATCAAGCACCTTGAAAGCTGCGTTGCCTTCTCTACGTGTGGATTATTTGATTCTGTTGCGTGAGAGGTCTCTCAGGGAACAGGAATCCAATTCGTAAATCACATTGCTTGCCCCAGATGCTGCACGTGCAATCGTATGCGTGTCTAGTGGACGTGTTCCCTGCTGCTGTTTGTGCGCTACAACTGCAGGACAGCTGCTATATCCTATGTTGATGATTCCTTTGACGGTTCACCTGCGGCGAGTTCCTGAGGCGACGGTTTTAGTTATCTGCTTCGGGTCGGCTATAGTGACGGTTTGCATCATGAGTCTCGCCGGCATGGATTTCGAAATTCTCGTTTTTTTAATGCTTTCGCGCCTCTTGTTTGCGTTGTTCACGATTATGATTGCGCGGTATGTGTCGGCATGCAGAAAGCAAAAGAAACGATTCTTTCACTCCGGCACGTGGGAACCGATAGGGGGAGCACTGCAGCGTGTCTCGTGCGGAAGCAGGGTCTGAGGCGAGTGTGTATGTGGCTGTTTCAGGGCGTTTGAAAATTTACGGCGGCAGCTTTTCTCGTCTCAAGCGTTGCCATATTTGGTATATCTATCGACCCTTGCCAACAGCCCCAAAGTTCAGCAGATTGGCAACATGAGGTCTGCCCACCAGCGCTGTGCCTGCCGGCTGAAACGCTCGCTTCCGGCACCTTGAAGGCCGCTCCGCTTTTGGGGCCTGATGATCTCTGACGCCTTCCTACCTCCTGTCTTGTGCTGTCAAAGCTCGCGCTCTTCTTCCCAGTGCGTGTCCCTGCCACGCCTTTGCTCAGTCCCAGGCAGCAAAAGGATAGACAACTCTCCAAGGGCCTACATCAGTGTCTTTCTTTCGGTGCTCTTGTCTCACGACCAACCTGTGTAAGCTCCGTCTGTGTACATACAGAACCCTCCAGACCCTTGTAGTTTTGTGTATCACCTGCGTGTTTCTCGCTCGAAGGCGCACAGCGCGCGAACACCCTCCAACCTTAACAGGCAGAGGCGAGCACAGGCCCTTAAGCGACCACAACGGCCTCTCTCTCAGCCCCTTTCATCACCAAGGCGCACTCTGTCTTCCCTCTCACACGCTGTGCTTCTCGAATTCTCCAGGCACTGGCTGCGTGCACGTGCTCTCTGTTACCCTCTCTCTCTATCTCTCTCTCTGTATAGGCACCTGGCGCCTTAAATCTCTTTCTACCGCTATCAAGCGCACGAAAAAGCGCTACCAAAACAAGCAACAGCCTCTGGGGTGCAATATGCTGCTTTGTTTCATCACGTGAGAAATACGGGGGCCTTGGCTGGCCACACACAGCCCCCACAGCAGCCGGCAACGTCCCCCAGTACGCCCCTGCGTGCAGCTGCGCCATGCATGCATCCCCCTTTTCTCCCACCCTCCCTTGCTCCCTGCGGCCTCCTACTTAGCCTTCTTATGCTTAGTGTTTGCCCTTTTGAAGAGGCTTCCTGCCCGCGACAAGATGCTCTTCCCCACCTTTCCTGAGGAGGGCTTAGCTTCGCCTGCTGCTGCAGCGTCACCCTTAGGTTCCTCCTTTCTATTTCGCGTTGCTTTTCCCCTTGAAGAGCGCTGCGGCTGCTGCCCCCCCTCTTCCCGGCCTGGCGTCGGGGAGGAATTTGGGGAGGCCTGCGCCTCGGCAGCCTTGCGCTCTTGTTTAGAAGCTGAGTGGCTGCTCTTTCGCCGCTCTTCGGGTGTCTGCTGCGTGTGCCTCCGGTGTTTCTTCGGTTCCGAAGGCTCTGGAGACTTGGGTGATGAACCCTTAGCAGCGCTCTCAGGTGATTCGCGGGGTTGGTGGTGGTCTTTCGCCGCTTGGGGGCTTTCGGAAGCCCCGCGATGGCGAGAGCCTCCTCTGCCTCGCTCAGCCCCTCCAGACGTGCGTCTGCTTCTGCTCTCTCCCTGCTGCTGCTGCTGCGACGGTGACGACTGCTCTTGGCGATGGGAATTGCTCTGTTTCGCTTGAGGGGGCGATCCGGAAGCAGGAAGTCGTTCAGGTTTTGCTTGCCCACGAGTTGGAGGGTTTTTTCCGAACGTTTTGTCGATGGCCTCCTTCCAGACAACTGCCAGCCGCACGCCTGCAGCACAGCGCCGTTCGAAAAAGAACGCATGCAAAAACACGGATTCTGGAAGGAAAGGTACGTGCAAAATCACGGATTCAGGAAGGAAAGGTACGTGCTAAAACACGGATTCAGGAAGGTACGTGCAAAACCACGGATTCAGGAAGGAAAGGTGCATGCAAAATCACGGATTCAGGAGGGAAAGGTGCATGCAAAATCACGGATTCAGGAAGGAAAGGTGCTTGCAAAATCACGGATTCAGGAAGGAAAGGTGCATGCAAAATCACGGATTTAGGAAGGGTTGGCGCATGCAAAATCACGGATTCAGGAAGGGAGGGCGCATGCAAAATCACAGATTCATCAAGGAAAAAAGCGCATGCAAAACACAGATTCAGGAAGGAAAGGTACATGCAAAATCACGGATTCAGGAAGGAAAGGTGCATGCAAAATCACAGATTCAGGAAGGGAAGGCGCATGCAAAATCACATATTCATCAAGGGAAAAAGCGCATGCAAAATCACGGATTCAGGAAGGAAAGGTGCATGCAAAATCACATATTCATCAAGGAAAAAAGCGAATGCAAAATCACGGATTCAGGAAGGGAAGGTGCATGCAAAATCACATATTCATCAAGGGAAAAAGCGCATGCAAAATCACGGATTCAGGAAGGAAAGGTGCATGCAAAATCACATATTCATCAAGGGAAAAAGCGAATGCAAAATCACGGATTCAGGAAGGGAAGGTGCATGCAAAAACACGGATTCATCAAGGAAAAAAGCGCATGCAAAAATACAGATTCAGGAAGGAAATGTACATGCAAAATCACGGATTTAGGAAGGGAAGGCGCATGCAAAATCACGGATTCAGGAAGGGAAGGCGCATGCAAAATCACAGATTCATCAAGGAAAAAAGCGCATGCAAAACACAGATTCAGGAAGGAAAGGTACATGCAAAATCACGGATTCAGGAAGGAAAGGTGCATGCAAAATCACGGATTTAGGAAGGAAAGGCGCATGCAAAATCACGGATTCATCAAGGAAAAAAGCGCATGCAAAACACAGATTCAGGAAGGAAAGGTACATGCAAAATCACGGATTCAGGAAGGAAAGGTGCATGCAAAAAAGCACAGATTCAGGAAGGAAATGTACATGCAAAATCACGGATTCAGGAAGGGAAGGCGCATGCAAAATCACAGATTCAGGAAGGAAAGGTGCATGCAAAATCACAGATTCAGGAAGGAAAAAAGCGCATGCAAAATCACATATTCATCAAGGAAAAAAAACGCATGCAAAAACACAGATTGATCAAGGAAAAGTGCGCATGCAAAATCACGGATTCAGGAAGGAAAAAAGCGCATGCAAAAACAGATTCATCATGGAAAAAAGCGCATGCACATTGAGCCTAGCGAGCGAAGCCCGTCCCATGCAGCAGCAACAGCAGCAGCAGATGGGGCAACCCAAAAAGGCAGCGGAAAGTCTCTGTGTTTTGCACAGTCGTCAGCCCCTTGAACGGCAGCTCCCTATCTAGGAAGACTCTTTTTGTGCTCGAGAACAAGCAGACATTCCATTCTAAAAGCTGGATAATGTAGGGAGAGCTCTCGGGGAGTCAAACAAACCTCGCTGGTTTGCATACGCAGTCAGCTTCATCCTCACGCGGTGTACAATGAGCTCGTGCCTGTTTGTCACCGTGGGGGCGCAGTGCGTGGCACTAAGCCGTCCAAGGCCTACTACCCAACTACGTCACAGAAAACAAGCGCAACATTTTCTTCTCTAATGCGCAGAAGGTGCGAAAACAGCAGCAGGAGCAGCAGTAACAGCAACAGCCGAAGTAACAGCAGTAGCAAGAGCAGTAACAGCAGTAGAAACAGCAGCAGTAACAGCAGGAGCAGCAGTAGCAAGAGCAGTAACAGCGATACTTTTGCGCAAAGGCAGCTGAGCAGATGGGGGAGAAAAGAGGGAGGGCAGACAGGGGAGGGAGAAGGCATAGGGAGGAGAGAAAGGGGAGGATCTGGGATGTCAGGACAGCAGCAGCATCAAGTTGCTTTCCCTTTAAGTGTGTAGTGTACATACTCCTGAGCTGCTTCATCGCTTTTAGCACGAAACTCATACGTATCCGTTTGAGTTCGAACTGTGAAGCAGCGCCAGGGGGCTACTGGTGCTTGAGTGGTGGTGGCACTCCCATTGACACCTTTCTGCTGCTCGAGGCCGTAGAGATATGCGGAACTGCATTTTCCAAAGTCAATGCCAATAATTGCCTGATAAATAAAACAAACGCCACCAAACGCATGCTTAAAAACGCATGTCAAGAGCGCAGTCCCCCATCACGTCCACAAAAACCCCATGCATTCTTGCCAAAGGCAGGCATGTGTCGTTGGGCGAAGCGTACTGCTCCACCAGAAGCAGCGATACAGGAAAACAATGAAGCTTTTAGGAAGTTCAGTTGCAGTGAGGGCGATCTAAGCAAGGGCGGGAAGGGAAGGGGAAGCTGTGACGCATGGCCGTGCTTTGAGTGCCCTAGTTCATAGGCAACAGTGTATGCAAATTCGTGTGTATTCTATGGATATGTACGATGTGCATGTGAAGGTATGTGTGTATACATGCATATGCATGTACATGAATGTAAATGTGCACTATGTGTATATGTATGTACATGCACGTGTACTATATATGGATATATGCATATGTACTATGTGAACAATGTGCATGGGTGTGTGTGTATGTGCATGTGCTCAATACGCATGTTAGGGGGTATGTGCATGTGTACTGTATATGTACCCCTGCCACGAAATGATCACTCTTCTTGAAACTCTTCTTGCCCGACAAATCGTCTGTCCACATGACAACCCCGCTTTTAAACATCTAAGAAGCAACACACACACCGCCCTGCTGAGCAGCAGAGAAGAAATCATCAAGAAGAAAAAAAGGAGGGCCTGTCTTCGGATAGCGACTGCGCTAACGGTTGGCGGGAAAAGGGCAGACGTTTCTGCAGAACAACATAGCACCTTGAAATATCGAAGCTCTGGACGTCTAGGGGCTTTGCCAATTATTTCCAGAGGCGTTCCGATCCGCATGGCTCGAAGCTCTCGACAAATTTCTGACGTCCCCTGTCTGCCGTAGGTGCATGCAGTCAAGGCAAGACGCTTCGCCACGGCTTTGCGATGCGCTGCTTCTTGCTGCAAATGCTGCTTGACAGACGCCAGGTCTTGCTGCAACTGCTGCCTGACAGACGCTAGCTCTTGCTGCAACTGCTGCCTCTCCTGCTCCAGCCGCTGCTGCGCTGCCACTGCTCTTTTGTGCTCCTCCTCGTGCAACGCTACTTCGGCTTCCCTTGCCTGCTTCAACGCCTCCACCTGTGCAGCGTGAAAAACGACCCCACACCCACCCCACGCCTCTGCCGAACGTCAGCAACCGCTTTTTCTACGTGCGCAGTCAGCCCTCTGTGCAGGCACCACCAATTGAGAGGCATGCTTGCATGCAAACACTCGCGAGGCAACAGCGCATGCGCAGGCGCATGCAATAAGAGCAGCAGCGAAAAACTATATAGGCAAGAGCCACACGTCTGGATTGCACGCGCGCATCGCACCATCAGCACCGCGACGCTACAGCGCAGCAGAAGGGCTTGCCAGAGGAGAATGAAGAAAAAAAGAGGAGCAGGGAAACAGAAGAATAGGGAGGAGAAGAGGAAAGGGAAGAATAAGGAAGGGAAGAAGAAGAGAACAGGAAAAAGAAATAGGTGAAAAGGAAAAGGGAAGAGTAGAAGCTCCATCAAGAAGCTTACCTGTTGCGCGATCTCGCTCATTGCTCCCTGCGCACCAGGACCATTTTTTTCAAGCTGCGAAAGCACATTTAATGCCGAATTTTCTGCAGCTTCCAGCAACGCGAGAGCCCTCTTGCGCCTTTCTTCCATGGCTGCTTTGTATTTTTCGAGTGCGACTTCTTCAGCGTGGGCTTCGCCAGCAAGCACTTCAAACTCTGCCGTCAGATTCTCCAGAGCGGCGATCTGCTGCTGCGCTGCGGCAGTCGAGGCCTTCTGAGTGTCGATCTGCTTACGCATTGCGTCTGCCTCCGTGTTCATCCGCCGCAGCTCCTCTTCAGCTGCTGCAACGGCCTCTCGCGTCTGATCATGCATTTCCCTTTCTTGCTGCAGCAGCGTTTCAGCGTCTGCCACCTTCTCCGTCAAATTCGCAATCTCGAGTTCCTTCGCTGCGACGACTTCGGAAAGATGCTCTGCCTTGCGCTCTGCCAAAGTTGCTCTGTCTCGCTCCTTGCGCAGCAAAACTTCCTTTTCCTTCAAAGGAACGCAAAATTCAGCAGACGCCAGCACACCCCATGAATGGCAAGAGAGAAAGAAAGAAAATGACAACGATAGAAAGAGAGACAGAGGGCACGAGTTTGAGGGCGGACTCGCCTTCGACGGCGTTGCAAGGCACGATGAAGGACTTTGGGCTGTCGAGACACCCGAAAGTCCTTCATAAGCTCAATTTGGGGTGAAAAATAGATACAATGCTGCTTTCTAAAAAGTACAGGCCCCTCGATAACACCTCTACGCGCGCGAGAGGAGAAGCACAACAACCACCCACGAGGCAGCACATCCAAGCGCTTGCTCCCCGCTTTGTCTATTCTAAAGGCCACTAAGGACTCTGAGTTACCCCATTATGCGTCTCCCCTTCCCCCCTGAAATTCTGCATTCTTAGCCTTTTCAATTAACGAAATATATTACCAATCAAACACATCCACATAAACATACACATGCACATACACATCCACATCCACATACACATCCACATACACATCTACATGCACATCTACATGCACATACACATCTAGAAACATGCACATCCACATGTACATACACATCTAGAAACATGCACATCCACATCTACATGCACATGCACATCTAAAAACACATCAATATACACATCCACACCCACATCTACATCCACATCTACATACACACACCCATATAAATACGACTACTTTTCCTAACGTCTGGAGTGCGTTTTCGTACGAGCATCTGAGCATCTTGCGTTTCCATGTAGCGCTTGGCGTGAGAAATTTCGACTTCCTTTGTTTGCAGAAGCGCTTGGGATTTTTGAGCCTCGCTTTGGGCTACGCGCATGCCTTCCTCGAAGGCACTGCGTTTCTCCTCCGCTTCCTCGAGATAATGCAGCAGCTGCGCATACCGCTGCTGCAAGGCAGATGCCTGCTCTTCGCGCTGCTGCCTGCAGCTTACTTCCAGAAGGCGCTTATGGGCTTCGTTCTCCATTCTGTCTTGCAAGTCGGCTATGGCCTCTTCGTTGTGAGCTTGAGCCGCCGCATGCTGCTCCCTGAAAGACAAAGGTCAGCAGCAGACAGTGGCAAATGCAATCCACGGTGAAAGCAGCATGCTCTTTTTTCCGCACTTCCCCTTCCCCTTCCCACCCTTTTGCCTGCTCTCGACATAGCCCACCTTCCCCCCCCCCCAAGCCTCCTTTCCACATGCAAAAAAAACAAACATCGCACATTTCCCTCTTTCTCCCCTTTATTGCCCTCTTTCTTCCCCTCTTTCTTCCCTTTATTTCCCTCTTTCTTCCCTTTTTTCTTCTCCTCTTTGTGCCCTATTTCTTCCCTTTTTTCTTCTCCTCTTTCTTCCCTCCCTTTATTTCTTTCCTTTACTTCCCTCGCACGTGTGCGCCTGTCACTACAAAGACGCCTTGCCACTGCAGGGCAGTGCAACTGCACGACCTCTTCTCGCTGCTGGCCCCGAGAGTGTCTCTACGCTGCTGCGCACTAAAACGCAAAAATCGAGCCTCTTACTGCAAGGCTTTGTGGTGCTTGATGGCGGCGACAGCGTTGGCATGCCGCTTCTTCAAGGCTATATTCTTGAAGAGAGTCTTGTCCAGCTGCTCCTTGTATGCGCGAGCAAAATCGTGTTCTTCATCCAACTGAGCGCCGAGGTAGACGCACTGCTGTTCGTACATTTGCAGCTCCAGCGTGCGGGACTGCAGCGGGAGGTGATCGCCTTCCTTTGCACCAAAGCTGTCAGTGCGCTTCTCAGACGCGCTTGTCGCAGGGTGCTCTGCAGCCGCCTTCTTCCTCAATGCAGCCTGCAGCAGTATGAGGTGCTCTCTCTGCTTTGCGGTCTGCCGCTGGAGCCGCTTGTTGCGCTGCTCTAGCTGCCACACCTTCGTGCTCGGCAACAGCGCGCGCTGCAGCATCCGCTGCTCGATACCCTCTCCACGAGGCGAGAAATCCACATTCAGCGGATACTCTGCATCTGTAGCTGGAAAGGTTCCCGCCAAATCGGTTTGTGGAGGAGGATGCCGCACTAGGGGGGGCCTTATGGCCTGAAACAAAAAAAACGCACCAAAAACACTCCTCCCTCCCCTTCACAGAACTGTCTAAACTCGGGGGGGAAACAGTTCCCTGTGAGCCGCAGCTCCAAGTGTAATACCATCACAATTGTGTGAATCCTACCCTCTGCACCAAAACACGAGAAAAATGAGGGTCCCACGTCTTCTTCCCCCGCCTTCTTCCCCCCCTGCTGTTCTCCAATGCCATCATCAGCCTTCCCCACCCTCCTATTCTCGCAAGCTGCCGTGTAAATTTTTCCACGCAACAGAACAGATGCAAATACGCCCTGCAGCGGGAGATTCAGCAGGCAAGAATCCCGAAACGTGAGCAGATCGAAGGGCAGAACAACTCTGCCGCCTTTGCTGCTGCTGCTGCTTCCTCACCGTTGTACGTTCCTGTCCTTCAGCTCCCGCAGCGAGTCTCTGTGCGCCAACCCGCTTTGCCCATTCGGCTAACCGCACTCTTTCGTCTCGCAGTTTCTCCAACTGCGGCGTCAGGGGGTCGGTCGTGTATTCGTATATAATGCGATCCGTCATCTGCACAGACACTGCAGCGAACGGCAGCGAGTCGCCCCGCTTCCCTCCTTTCCCTACTTGCAGACTAGCAGCCTATCTGAGAGCATGCTGTCTCAAAGAAGCACAAACATCCTTCTAGCTGCCCCAACACTGCCGCGGCTAACCTCCCGTCGATCGAAGTCTTCCAAACATGCGTCTTCCTCAAGCCTCGCTTCCACAGCCATATCGGAAGGCTTGAGAGGCCGCTTCACCACGACTGTCTTCCTTCGAGGTTCTTGAACTCTAGGCGCAAAACCTTCCTCTTCGCCTTCTTGTACGTGGTCTAACATCCTAGGACGCCGCTGGCCTCCCTCTTCTTCTTCTTCTTCTTCTTCGGGTTCAGATTCTGCTTCGTGCTCCTCCTCCGCTTCGCTGTAGCCTGCTTCACCAGCCGCTTGGAAAGCCTTCCTCCCTGAAGCCGTTCTCATGTCTCTGCTTTTCCTCTCTCTCGCAAGCAATGCTTCCCTGTCCTCTTCTTCTGACAGCCCAAGGTCCTCATCGAACTCCCCCGGTGCGGAAGTCTCTCTCGACGGAAGACGAGCGCCCACGAAGCTTGCAGCTGAACTTTCCGTAGACAAGGGCGAAGGAGAACCACCTGCTCGCTCGCCTCCCTGAAAAAGGTTCAGCTTCATCTGTTGGAAGGGACGCGGTATAGAGCTTCCTATAGGCACTGCAGCTTGGAGGTAGGAGCTGTCGTCTTGCGCGAAATCCGCCTTGAGATCCGCGATGAAGTCTGAGGCCGTTAAATTCAGGCTTCCTTTTGTGCTCTCTGGCATGGAAGCCACGCTTTCAGATACTTCTTTTTCTAAGAGCTGCATGATGTCTCTTCGATCCCCACTCGTCGTCAAGGACCTGGGCACCTCCCCCCCTTCGCTTTCACCCAGCGGATGCTTGCTGTCTCTAGACGAAGAAAGACTGCTGTGGAGTGCAGAAGAGCTGAGAGATCCTAGTTCATCGAGATCTGACTCCCCAGAAAGCATGGAGGAGTCTGCGCTCTTCCAGGCTTCTTGCCAGCGCTGCCCGATGCTAGCACGCGACTTCTGCAGACTAGACTGAAGAAGTGCGAGATCCGCCTTCCTACCTGACGATTCATCTTTCGCTGCCTCCACTGAAGCAACGGCTGTTCCTGGAAAAGGAGTGCGCTTCGGCAGTGGCCGCTTGCCTTTGCCCCCCGCCTTCTTTGCACTTACAATCTTGGGAGGAATGAAGGCCTTTGGTTTCGGCGTCGCCTGCTGCTGAGACTGCTCTGATATTTCTGGTGAGGATTCCGCGCTGTCGCTCTCAATGCTGACGCTGTAGCTGCTGCTGCTGCTGCCGGTGTAACTGCCCGCCGAAGCCATGGGATCTCTGTACCTCGAGGAGACCTCGCTCGAAGAAAACGACATCTTGCGGCCTAAACAAGGCACGCGATCCCGCTACTGGACCTTTCAAAATTGCAAAGCAAAGGTAGGAACTCAAAGAAGGATCACCGGAGAGAAAGGGTGGTCATCCCGAATGTTGTCGTCTGCCTCGGGGGCGGTCTGTGCAGTGTCTGTGACACGAGCTAAGACACGACAGCAACAAAAAGCCATTAACGTCCTTGGAATAAAAGACGCATTCGTTTTGTTGTACTAACGGAGGGCTCGGGACGGGGGGCTGAAAACAGAACACCAACCCCCTGGGAAATTGGATTCAAGAAGATCCGCCGTTGACATGCAAAACACCAGACCGGGCAGACTGACCAGCAAGAAATGAACCTCCTTTTCAGCTTGCTACTAAGCAGTTTAAAAGGATATTATTGACCAGTAAACATTGAACCACTATGAGTATTCTGTGTTTGAAGAAACAGCAGACCAACAGCGGCGGTCGGGTGTGTCTCCGCTGGACGCCGCCCTCCTCAAGGCGCCGCTGAAAACAAGCGTCTTCACGTACAAGCTACCTTGATTCTTCAGCTCGAATTCACCTATGAATCAAAGCATATTGCAACATTTAATGGGCTGCTTCCTGCGTTTACATGCATATTCCTGCTACTGCGTTTCAGAACTACTTCGTAAGAGCTACCATCATGCTGTGGCGAGTAAACACCCCAAAGTTGGCAAGTGGACGGCAGTATTACGATAGGCTGTAGTCGATGCAGGCAACAAAAATACTAGTCCACATAGAATCTCAACCCTAATTGCTGATCCTTGGGTATTCTTTCATCCTTTCTTCATGCTTCTCCTTCATGAGCACCTCGTATGCATGCACCGAGCATTTCCCAGCCAGAAGAGCGCCGCATGCACGGAATGGGTAAGATCTTGTTTTAAAGCGTGTGTGGCTTTTTGTTGTGATTTCTTCTGTTGATGACTCTTCCTGTATTTATGCGCACGTTCGTGGCGCAGCTAACAAAGCCGAAGTGTCAGCATTGACACCCGTACTCTTGGTCTGCACTGTGTCTTCGGGAGAGCGTCGTCTTAGGCGGAGCCTCTTGTGCGGGGTCGACAGCACCCTCGCTGGAAGCTGCTGCACTAGGCTTTGCATTAGGCGTTGCCATGCTGCGAGGCCTAGTGCGCCTTCCCTCGGGTTCAAGTTGTGCATCATTCATGACCACTTCAGCAGAGGCTGCGGCTTCCGGCCGAACTCCCCGACTGCTCCTCCATCGCCCCCCTGCGCGCCTCCCTGACTCACTGAGCGCATGAAGCAACGAAAACCAGCGTCCCTTTATGCGTGATCGCAGCCAGCAATCCGTCCTCTCTAGCCGTTCCTGCGGTCCATCAGCAGCAGCGACAGCAGCAGCCATGCGACTTCAAGACAGCAGGACTGCCCTCAGGAAGCCTGTGGCTTCCTCTGGCCCTTGCGCGCGTGATGTGCGCAGCAGAGGGCCTTGCCGTGTCTTCGCAGCGTTTGTGGCTCTCCGCCTGCTTCTTCACCACGAAACTGCAGCCGCAAATGCGCAGGCTCCCCCAACGGCAGACAATCCCAATAGTGTCGTTCAGATTGATTTCTCGCGTCGGTTCTCCGACATTGAGATCCCGCCGTGCGCGGCGGACAGAGTGGTCAACGTGACTTTAGCGGATCAAGAGATCGCCTGTCTGCTGCCTCCTCGGCGTTCCTCTGGCCTCGCTATGCTGGACGGGCTGCAACAGTTCCTCTCCCACTCTCCTGAGGCAGATCCCGAAGAGACGCTCATAAGCGATCTGCTTTCTGCACCCAAGGTGGGGGAGGATGGGCAGGCCCAATGCAAAATGCCGTCGCGGCTTTCCACTCAGCTCCACGTCGGCAGCCCAGAGCTGCAGAGCTACTTGCGAGCTGCCAGGCTGAGGTGGCTATTGGATCGATGCTTCCGTTTTTCTGATATCGGCGTGGACGACTGGCGATACGAGCTTTGCATTGGGTGCGTTATCTGGTTGGCTGGCTGCCCGCGTTTTGCATGAATGCGGCCATTCAAAACGCAACTGCACCCTCGTTTCTGGATGAGCGTCAAATGGACTCCGTCCACCGATGCGATGCGTGGGCTCCAAGTCGGCGTGCGAGTTGCATCTCCTCATTTTGCTTAATCTTTTATGAAAAGAGTGATGCTGTCTCTTGCTATTCGGCTGACTGACTACCTTCGTCATGCATCTGTCGCTCCTTGTTTCGCGTCCTAGTGGTTTCCCAAGAGGTGCCTGTGTGTGTTTGCTGCACAAATTCCTTAGTCTCGAATCTCTTTCTAAGCGTGTCTTAAACCTGCCAGCTTGCACCTCATCGCTTTTTTTCGCAATGTGCCCCGTTTTGTGTGCTGTTTCGGGAGAGGCGCGCATGCGCGCATGGTTGCTTTGGGGTGTCTCTGTGGCCAAATCGTTCATGTTCGCTTGACTTGAATTCTTTGCAGGCGGAAAGTGACGCTTTATAAGGGCAACGCCCTCGCAGGCAAAACAATCGGCCGTAATCTTTTTGAACTGGGCACTTACAACGCCTCTCTCGATCAGATGTGGGCAGACGGCACGATGACGCAAGTGCGTGAGTGCGTGTGTAGCCCCCAGCAAACTTTCTATGCAAAACAGGGCGGACGCGTTTCGCGTCTTTTTCGAATGCATGCATGCACCTTGAAAGAGGCTATTTCGCGGCTTTTTGAAATCCATGCATGCACCTTCAAAAAGGCTGTTTCCCAGTTTTTTAAAATGCATGCATGCACCTTGGAAAAGGCAGATTCGCTTATGCACGCGCCTCCTTAGCAGGTCCACCTTCTCGTCTCGCGCGCGGCGTCCTGCTACGCGTGCTTACTGCAAGCAGGGATTGCTGCTGGAGTGGCCAACGTATCGCTCTGCCGAGGGTGTCGCAAGCCAGTGTGCTGCCGCATGCAGCTTTTGGGAATGCTTTCGCCCCGCTTCCCTATCAGCTCTTCTTGCAGCGTGCATATGCACGTGCATGCATGCTTCTGGTGGAAGACGCGCGGTGTACTGCTGTGTGTCTGCCCGTGTGTCTGCATCGTCGGCCTGCCTGCCGTCTACTCAGTGGTATGTTGGGGGAACAGAAGGCCGTCAAACGGAAGTCTTGCTCGTTTGTGGCGACAGCCATCCCCGAGTAAAGGGCATCTGGGGGCCTGACGAAGGCAAATACCGTGTGTGGCTGGAAGCCCCCATGTTTTGCGACTACAGGGAAAACGCTTCGCAGCCCGTAAGCAAAAGGAGAGGCTGGCTGCGTTGTTCGGGAACTGATGAGGGTGGGCAGCGAGGCATCAGCCGTGGCTGCATTAAGCTCTGGAGGGGTCGAAGGCTGGTGGCGGGAGAGGGATGCAGACTTGCGACAGAAAACACGAGGCCTTACGCGAGCAGGAAGGGGTGCACGGAGACTTGGGGGCTGACTCGGAGGAGGACTGCCCAGTCAAATGCTGCCGTGCAAGTTTTTCTGTATATCGATAGGCTTGTTGACGCGTAAGATGTAGGGGTGTGTTGGCTGAGCTGCGGCTGTCCGTGCTTAACACCTCAGGCGCTAAACGAATCCTTGCTGCGGAGTCTGGAAGGCTGGTGCTCAACGTTCAGCACCGACGGCTGGTGGTCTTACGAGTACTGCCACCCCGATAGCCTCATAGAGTATCATAAGGAGCCAAACGGTAATTTCCTGCTAGAGCGCAGCTGCAAACGGCCATTCTCCTTTTCTGTATCCATGCAAACGCTGGTGGGCATCCGTTTGCCGCCTTTGCGCGCTGGTAGTGCTATGTGTATGTACACCGCATTTCGCGCGCACCTGAAGGTGCGAGGGAAGTGTGGCAGGATCAGGAGGAAAAAAGGAGGGTGGACGCCGTGGGCCCCCACGTGCTCATGGCAAGTCCATATAGGCATGCAAAGGGCTGAGGCTAGGCGCGTTTCTTGGATCTTGCTGCCTCGTTCTGCATCTTCACTGTGAATAAGTGTATATGTGTCTATGTGTATGTACATGTATATGTATACGTACATGTGTATGTGTGTGTATATGTGTATGTATATGTGTATGGGTATATGTGTATGTACATGTGTATGTGTGTATGTATGTGTGTGTGTATATATATATGTATGCGCGCATGTATGCGTGATGGCTCTCAGGGGAACTGAAAGGCCCTCTGCATCTCTTGGGTACTTTGCATGCATCGGGCAATGCTGCCGAAATCATTTTTAAGCGGCCAAACCCTCTGAATCCGACGCTCAGGGGTACCGACACGCTTCCCCCGCGATCTGACGGCGTGCCGCGGTACAGATATCTGCCCGTAGAGATCGTCGACAAGCCTCGCCAATTTTCCAAAAATCCAACGCCTCCCTCCAATAAGGTCCTTGCGCTTCAGCTCTCGAACGTAAGCAGCAAAGGCACAGACCTGTATACATCCCGGTGTCACGCGTTCTCTTTCCTGCACCCCTTGGGGGAAGGCGGTCTCTCCACCAGCCATAAAATGGTGGCTGCGTCCGTGGGCTTCCAGACGAGGCCAGTGAAGCGCTCGTCTCTTGCCGAGGGCAGGGCAGTTGGCAAAATCTGCACGGCAGCCGCAGAAAAGAAAAGCGATCTGCCAGCAGGCCTGAGATCGCAGAGCAATAGAGATCACAGAATAAGGCCTCTTGAAGGCAGAAACAGTCTAGGCAGACGTAAAGTCACCACCAAGGGATGGGGAAGCAAGCGGGGTGTATGCCTGAGGATTCTCTATTCAGGTCATAGGTCACTTTTTTTCTCTCTCTGCTTGTCTCCATGTTTTTCTGTCCTTCTCTCTTTCGTCCTAAATCTTGCTTTTTTTCTCTTTCTCTAGATACATATATCTATACATACATCTATACATATACATCTATATATACATACATATATACAACGAAACCGCATGTCAGAAAGCCATGTAGTTGAGCAGTCGGAAAAGTCATCCGGCACGTTGACTTGCATAAAGGGTTCCTTTTCTCAGGGCACCGTGTGTGAAGGCACAGACATACAGCGGAGTGCCCGGGTTCTCTTTGAGTGTCCGGTGGACTTTCCGTTGTTATCCACCCATCGGATAGTTCATATTGAGGAGGTGCGTTTGCCGCTTTTGCTTATTTTCATGCTCGAATTGCCGCTGATTGCGCGAGCATTCATTTTCTGAGACCCCAATTCTTTTTTTCTGCTCATTGGCCGCTAAACATGCTCGATTTGAATCCCGCCTCCGGCCCCCCCGGTTGCGCATCACCTGACGCTACAGAAAAAGACGGGGGTGCGACGCTTCTTTCTTTCGGCCACGCACACGCACTGCCTTCCGGATGTGGCTTTGCAGACGTCATTCTGCACTTACGATCTCGTCATTCAAACACCTCTGGTCTGCCCTCACCCGAAACTGCTACCCCCTCGGCCACTGGATCCTCAGGTCAGCGCTTCGGAACGCGCGGACGCCGCATTCCTGCACGAACATATCTATCTATCTATGTGTCTACTATGTATATGACGACCTTCTGTGTTGGTGCTTTCCTCTGCTTCTTGCGCTTGCTACCCTCTTGTGACGGCATGCGCCTTCGTCGGCCAGAGGGTGCAGTACCGAACTGTCTGGAGGTCACCCACCATATGCACATACACGCCGTGTCACAGGTGTCCAGGATTTTACGTTTGGAATCCCATGTGTATCCAAGTGCATGTATATGTGCGTATGTATGTATGCATGTGTGTATGTGTAAATGTGTGTGACTGCGGCCTTCTGTTTTAGCCTATCCTCGCATATCCCACAGGGCGAACGTTCGAGCACAGCGTTATACTTGCCAGCTGGACAGGTCTCCCTGCGCAGATCCCTACAAAAGAGGTTCGCAGACGCAAGATAGGCGCCGATAGAGAGCCGATGGCGCGTATACCCTGTAGAGCTTCGTTAGTGGCCCTTTGCTACGGGGGAGCTTTCGCGCAGTCGTGGATCGCTTGTCAAGCATCCCTACATTGGCTGATTCCATCGATGTGGCGGTGCCAATACATAAGCGTCCGGTGGCTTCGTTCAGGCAGAAGCGCCTAAAACGACGCCGCAGGCGAACGCTACCTTGGAGGCTGTGCCCGAGGACGTCATGGGACTCTTTCAGACGGGGTGGGGATGTGCGCTTTGCCTGACTTTGACGACTTCGTTCCTTGGGTTGTTGCTCGTGCATTCGACTAGGCCATGCTGCTGTCCTTGTACCCCTTGCAGCGGATTCCATGTGGCATCTCTTCATCTGCGTGCGCAGTGACGGTGGACGCTATTTTGGCTTAGCATCTTATGTGAGAAAAAGAGTTTCCATCCAAGAACCCCGATTCGCTGTCGGGAAGATAGTGAGGTACTTTGCTCTTGTGTAGGCCGAGCAGTCTCCTGCACCAGCAAGCCTACTCCCCCTTCCAAAAGCACTCTCCGACTTGCAGGTCCAGACGCTCCTACTGCGTGTACACCTGGGATGATGGTCGTAACGGCCACACACATCTAGTGCCCGTCTATGCCATTTTACGCATCGGGCATACATGCCACCTGACTATTGTGTGAGGGGATCAGTGACAAGGCCAACTGACGAGACTCTCCGCCCTTTGTGGCTTGTTATATTGCGGTATGCAGACACCGCTGGTGGCAATACCTTGCAGTCGTATTGTCATGGGACGCCTCCTGCAAGGCTGATGACGCCTGGTCAAACAAAGTAAGGGCTGTAGAGTGTTGTCTATGCTGACGACCTGCTTGAATGTGTTATCTAGTGTACTCAAGATGTCACTTTTGCCAATGCTGCAGGCAGCTACCTGCACGGAGATTCGTGTCTCTATTTTTCGGCAACTGGTGGTTGAATGAACCCGCCTGTACAGGTGGCAGACATCCAAATAGGGAAAACCATAAACTGCATTTTCCTGTTTTGTTTCCAGGTGTATGCCGTATACCCTAAAGAACTCCAGTCGACGCCGCACTACTTGCTCCTAATAGACACAAAAGCAGGCGCAACAAAAGGCTGGCCACTATACGCCTATGTACCAGAGGTAAGGCTGCCACCTCAGTTTACCCATTCACGTGCAACAACACACCAGCACGACTGCCTGCGTCAACGCGGAGGACACAGTTCGCTAGCGCAAACCCTAAAATGTAAACCGTACTAATTGTTCCTAGTACCTGTCCTGTTCTCTGTGCCTCTTCAGGCGGCTCTCGAGCCTCTCCAACCTAACATCATTCAAGAAGTTGAACACCCTTCTTTAGACGTGTATTTCAAGGTTAGCCACCTCTTATAACTTCTGCTTTAATTTTGATGCTTCGTATAAACGGCGATTCGGTAATCTAACAAGCAATCCTCGTAGTACAATTCAAAACCCTTCACGGCTCAAGACCCGCCTATTTATTCGAACCTATTCATGCTAGCAGCAGTTTTTCGGGCTTCTACACATCGCATGCATGAAGATGTCGATTTTTTTAGGCTGGTGAATTGCGTCTTCTGTCCTCGCAGAAATTCTCAAATCTCGAGGGGCAGTACGTCGCTAGGAGCGAGGCTGGACTTGCCAACAGCTTCCCAGACGACGTTTTCTTGTAGATGGCGCCCCGCCCTTTGAAAACCTGTCATGTGACAAACGCTCTGAAGCCAACAGATGCGGCATGCATATTTTGACGAAGCCAGTCTAGGTGCTCTGTCTGGCCCTTGTGGACAGCCCACAGCAGACCTCTCTGCTGCCCCTTGAGAACCTGGGTTTGATGCCACGCGCGGCGTCACTCGAAAGTGCGGCCTGGAGACATCAAGGGTTGAAGGGGAGCGAAGTTGCGGAAGCGACTCTTTCTTGTCTTCAGTGCCCCTCTGTCTGTTGGGCCTGTGCCTTTCAGTCCCCTAAGCACCACTTGTCTAAACGCCTCCTGAAATCGTGCAGACACGTGATGCTCTGACTCGGCTGCCAAAACTTTGCAGTGACTCGGACCTCTGTTTCCTTGGGGTTCGTCTCTTCCTCCTCTTCGTGCTCAAGCTGTGCCTCTTCATCCTGTCCCACAACAAACGAGACCTGAGAAATGCGTCAGAGGGCGCATGCATCTAGGCCTGCATACCTCAAGCTGTTGCTCTTCCTGCTCGAGCTCTTTCAGCTTCTTGCGGACTCCCTGGAGCAAAACACGCGGCTAGAAGGATCCAGACAGAAATACGAAGTTCTGCTTGGACATACCGGGCACTTCGATGGCACTTCGGGCTTGTCGCACGCAGTTCCTAGCTGTTAGCAACGTGTTAAGAAATAACTCCACTAGTTTTCGATCAAAAAATGCTTACGTCTTCTCTAGACTCCATCCAAGTCCCAAGTGGAGTGGTCGGTTGCTGTAGCTACTTGCACATCTGCGTTAGTACAGAAATTCTGCGTTTTACTCTATTATAGAACCGCTCACTTCTTGCGCCTTAGTTGCGTCTGCCGCTGGAGCGTCGCCCCCGCTTTCGTCCTTTGCTGGGAGTGGGTCTGCTTCCCTTTCTGGATGTCAGGAGCACTTTCACTGCAAAAGAAATTCCATTCACCCAAATGTTCTTCTGGCGGTTTTTCCATCTCAACTGCTAATTCGTTGGCTTCTTCAATGGCTTTCTCTGCCTCGCTTTCTGTGGTCTGAATTGGCGGAGAGGCAAACTGAGTTTTGGAGGGGCTCATGAATATCGCTTGTGCTCACAACCGCCTTTTCTTCTTCCTTCTTTATTTCATCTCTCCTCTCCGTGTCCTCTGTGCTCATGATGTCCTCCTCCAGCTCACTCTCAGCTAAAATGGAAATGGTATCTTATCCACGCAGCTCGTACTGTCACATTGTTTGAGAAACCTACATTCTATATCATGAGTGATCATTGCAGCCTCTTTTCCTGGTTACAGATTCTGTACTTTAGACAGCTGTCATGATGCAAATCCTGCAAGAAGCGAACCTGCCGCAGACTCAATCTGACGCTTTTGCTCCCTGGCATCCTTTTTAATCTGCTGTTCAAATGTACTGTCGTCGAGCCTTTTCTTGGCCTCCTGCAAGGGGGGACCACGGTGACAAAGTGTGCATTATGCATTTCGAGCCCCCTAAAGCCTAAAGAAGGGATACCCACATCAAATTTTTCCTGGTCAGCCGACCACTTCTCGACGAGTTCGTCCGCCTCCTGCATCTGGGCCTCTTCCTTTGTCTGTGCCTTTGAGTCAGGTATTCAATGACGGATAGGTGAGCTTCATTTTGGAAAAAGTTCCTACATCGTCAGTGGTCGATTCATCCCCATCTAAAGATACAGATCTGAGTGTATATGCAGCACTATAGCGTGTGAGGCTCGCTTGCCTGCTTGCTGGAAACGGTGAATGATCAGTGGCGGCGCAACAGACATGTGGACTTCACGCCGGAACGACAGGACGGGCAATGCAGCCACTCCAACTGCTACGGACACCCAGAAAAACTTAAGCGTCATTGTCGCTATTTTAAGGGGCTTTTCTGCCTCCAGTACTTAAAAGCTTTACATGTTATTCAGGCTTCAAAATCGGGTGCAAAAAGGAACGCGTTGCCAAGCATGCCCGCGGTGTATTGACCGCATAGAAATCTAAGGGTGCACATTCCACCACTCCAATAGCCTGTTCCGATGCCTGCTTTCACGATAGAAAACTAAGACGAAATAGGCCGTACAAGTGTTATATATTTGGAAGATTCTACTGAGCTATATACTGGCTGGAAGGCTTCATGACGATGTGTGTCGCCGCTGCAGCATGTGGCACAGCTGCATTTGCACTGCATCTCCTCAGCCGTAGTTGAGGGAAAGAAGACAGCACTGAGGTTCCTGTGCATCTAGGCCGAGTCATTAGCCTGGATCTGCACGGCGCTGATGAGATTGGCATATACTTCGCACTTTCTGATCATGGGTAGGTCTTCCACATTTTCAGTTTCTCGGCACTCAAGGGCCTACAACCGCACATTCAAGCCCCAATTCATAGTTCAGAACGCATACAAAACGCATTGTTCAGTGAAACTCCAGTGGCTTGTGGATACTTTGGCGTCTTTTTTTCGCATTAAATATAAAAAGGAGTGGTGCTCATGACGTCTCTCACTTTTTGAGTGTAGTCTCTTGCCTTTTCAAGTTCTTGCACGTGGGCATAAATAAGCCCAGTTGCGCACAGTGCCATACCTATGTATCACAACGAAAATGCCGTAATGGAAGTAGCCGTGCATTCACTGTTTCTAGCCTCTCCCAGTGATTATGTACAGATGCACAGAGCTACAAGATCTCTAATGTCCGCGTACAGTAGAGAGTAGGGCATTTTGACGGGTCGGCACCGGAGTATTCAACAATGCGACGCATTGTTTCCATGGCTTCTTGAACCTCTAAATCAGCTAGTGGGGGTACAGCAGAGAAAGGATACACCAAAAATGAACCGCATATTGGTTGTTCTATTTATCCCGTTGGCATCGTCTTTCATACCTCTAGGGCTCTGCTATGGAGAATGTTTTTTCTGTATTTGCTTATTTCAGCTCTAATGAATGCTCGACCCCAGAACGGGCAGACCTACAGAAAGCCAGTTGCTGCTCCTTAGTTTGCCGTGTGTTGCTCTCTAGCATCTGCCCGAATTGGTCACCAGCAGCACCACATAATTTGTGCTCGAATGAAGCCATTATAATTTCGCAGATCTTGCAGTAAAGTGCTTCACATGCGTTGCGGGACACTGAATCCTCTTTCTTCTTAAATACTTCAGCCTGAGATGCACAAAAAGCAGTGTTGCTTGTTCCAATCAAAACACCGGCTCCCTATCTTGAACAACGAATTACAGAGACAGCGGTCTTACCATATTGAAGAAAGAAGGAACAATACGGAAATTCGTTGGTCCAAATTCACAAGCGGTGAAGTATACCTGGAAGAGACCGCAATCCTCTTGATGATAGAATGAACATGGCGTGTCGTTATTTCAGCTTACTCACTTACACGTACTTAAATCTGGGAGATGTCTAAGTCAACTAGAACAAAAGTACTGTTTCCCAATGTGTCCATAAGCACTGGGCCCACATCCATTGCGCATGCACGGAGGGCTTCCTCATATTTGTTTTGGTAAGCGTAAAGTCTTCCACAGTTCCTATACAGGCTACACCGTGTTGTACGGCCCGCCTTCGGGTCCTTTGCTAATGCACGGTCAGCCTGAGATTAGTACATTTAGATGATACCAACATGGCAAGTACTTCTTTGTGTGTCCGCTACTACGTGGCAGAGCGGGGAGTATTCGATTCATGAGCTATTCCCCTTGTTCATATTTGTTGCAGTGTGTGGGTGTGCTCTTATGGTTCTCTCTGTGCTGTTCACCATATTTAAAAGCTCTTCAGCTGAGTGAAGCTGTTGCAGTCCTGAATCGATCGGGAGTACCCATGTATGTAGAGACCTGAAAGTTCTATGTAGCGAAATCAGTGACTGAGTTTCCTGTGTATTTTGTGCTGCATTTGCATCTGATGGAACACTCCGTGGCCGGTTTATAGAGGTGTTTAGCCATGCAGCTACTCTGTCACTTGTTAGCTACCTAGGTAGATTTCGGCCAAGAGAATTTGAGAGGGAACAATCTCCGTTGAGTCCACGCCGAAAAGCATTTCTGCTGTTCTTGCCGCATATAAAGCTCCAGCCACTGCTAGCTTGAAGTTTCCTTGAACAACCCATGTTTGGGCAGCAGATGTGCTGGTGTTCAGAATAGCATTCTGCATTGATAAGCACATCTGAATTGATTAGATTGCTGTTGTTCTTACTGAAGAATGGCTGTCATCAACTATTTATGCGGCCTTGTCTAGTATAAAAGGGCGGAATGACATCTACAACGGTATGATGCTTGTGTGCCATGTCTTACGGCTACTTGCTTGCGCATTTTGTCTTGTTCCTGACGCTCGCGTTCGGAACCAACAGGGTTGGAAGTCTCTTGAAGAAGATTGAGTTCCCGGTATATCAAGTGTAAAACTCCTTCCCAAGCAACTCTAAAGTGATTGACTGAGCTGTGAGCGCGCCAGGAAGTCTACTAAGTCACGCACTGTGGCTCATGGATCAGCATAGGAATGATGTTATTGCTTTTAGATCGCACTAGCAGGTGTAAGTTGGCAGTGTGATGCAATACCAATAGTGTCATGGATAATTTTGTTGATCTGGCTTCTAACGAGGAGTATTCATGACTCTATATGCAGGAATGATAGGAATCACCCTCTAGCGATAGTTCTACTGATGAAGCATTTATGTGCAGAGACGTTTGAAAGATCTGCAGATGGACGCGTTTGGAAATTTTCCCTCGCGTTTTGCGCTCCACTGCTTTAAGATAATTTATCTGGAGTACTCACCAGAACCAACTGAGACAGGCTGTACACTTGTATTCTGCTGGCTCGGCGCACAGCTCGCATTTGGGTTTGGCACCCTTTGGGAGGGCGAGTCTGCTGACGCGCTTTACCCTCATCTGGTTTACTTCATGAACCAAATGCAATATGCTTGCTCCAAAGAAGTGAGTATAATTCGTCTGAGAGGCCCCAGAGCTTTTTTATGGCTGAACGACACCGCCCTTTGGATCATCCACCAGGCTACGCCTAATGCTATAAATGTGGCTATGTAGGTAATTCCTACCCGCTTGTGCCAAAGCCACAAAGCCGCATATTCTTTTGACAGGAATTTTCTTTACTCGGAGCTTTGTATACGAATGAAGACAGTAGCATAGATGTACCAACACACATACGAGGTGACACGAGTTATGGGTCCGCTGCAGACGAGGTCACCCTGGGGATTCTTGAATGTACAAGTACCAAAATCCAGTTTTGCCTTACTAGCTTTTACACATATGTGGTCTATATGCGTACATGGAGAAGCATTTTTGCTTGGTGGGCATATAAGGGAGAAGTTGAATAGCGAATCATACACCGTTCTTGACTGGCCGTTCTTCCACATATGTCGGAGCTGCCAGCACAGTTGCCATTGCTCTTTTTCCGTGGCTTTTTGCCAAAGAAGTGTAAATGTGATGCCACAAAGAACCACAACCTATGATTATTCTTATGTGTAATTTATTTACCTCATGCTTTAGTACACATTCCTCGACTGGCAGTCTACAAGCATGTATTCCGTGCACATCAGCACGCCGAGCATTTCTCGTTTTATCTTCCCGTGTATATACAACAGTGCAAGCCCTTTACTGAAAGTCCAAGTGCGATCAGCTAGTCCGGGTGTCGGCCGGTTATCGTAGTTCGTTCCGTTTGTTTGTGTGCCTACCGGGTTCCCTAAGCGAACAGGCCAGCACTTCAATGGAATAACCAGCAAATTATATCATTAATGAAAAAAATATATGGCGAGAAGGGCACAATATATGGCTATTAATTGTTCTGCCTTTTTCTGAATTCTAGATGGGGACAAAAGTGATGGCGGATAAACGCAGCTTGTGCAGATGATTCGAGCCAATTGCTGGAAAGGACGACTGCACCCAACAGGCTAGAGAAGTGGTTGATACCTTTTCTAGGCTTGTAGATTTTATCCACAAGCCGCTGAGTATCCTTAGTCACTCCATTGCATGCATGAGAGGTCTGCACATTTCTCTCTTTTCGGGCAATCTGATGAGCGTCACAAGTTTCTCTCCTGGTTGCACAGTCAGTCATCTGAATGTGCAGGAATTAACCCGCGTGCGAATGGATGATTCATCGGCCACACGTGAGAAATTCAGGAGCGACCATGAATTTATAACACCCTTGAGTCTAGTATCCCAGTTCCTGAACCCAGGAAACACCTAAAGGTGTCAATACGTTGTACCCCACAAACACCAAATTACATGAAAAGTCGAGCAACTGGGTACTAAGCACCTCAATCCATCCCCATGAAGGTTAATGAAGCATGTTTCCGTCTAGGCCTTCCTACATCTTCCGCAGCAAACCCTTGATTCTCGGCTTCGGCGAATCAACCGACGGCTACGTGTGTGAGACAATGGAGCAACAAACGATCCGTTTCCCGCGTGATAGTGGCCAAAATGTGTCGACACACATCAGGGCCTTACCGTTTGTTAAGGTCAAGCAAGATGTGGTTCTACTATTTGTGCTAGTGCGCATCCACTTATACTAAAGTGTCTAGCAGCGAATAAGATATTTAAAATATGAGCGCGCGTCACAACAGAGAAACGACGCTAGATGGGTGCTAGCCTGTATCCCGTGAACCATAACACAAGCACAACACCTCCGGAGCGCCCCCTGCCATGAATGCGCTTCCAGGACTAAGGAGAAAGCCAAAGGGTCGTCATCGTTTGTTCGCAGACCGTGAACTGACATAAGGCCCCGCTTGCCGGAGCAGATGGTGAGGAGGGGAGTGCCCGCCTCGAAAAAGGGAAGGCCGCTCGTGTGGTGCTACATAACTGCTTCCCAGCCTCCTTTCTCGTGCTCAGTCTGAAATTTCTAGCGCCGGGGGAGCACCCTGCTCCCCCATCAAATGATGGGCCTGCGATTCTAGAAGGGAGCAGTTCATTGCAAGCCCCCTAGACGCAGGCTCGGGCTTCTCACCTGCACGGCAAGAGGCGCAAAAATGCAAAGCGCATAATTCGGCTAATAAGCCCTCATGTTGTAGAGCTGTTGCCAAAGAGTGCGGCGAAGCTTGCCTTACATTCTGTAAGGACCCCACGGAAGAATTTCCTGCGTCGCATAGCTCCCCCTTGGTATCCTAATGCCGTGAGCTTAAGAGTGCACCCGAGATCCAACGCAGGTTGCAAGCTCACCAGTTTTAGGAACTACATTTGAGGAAGTGAACAGCCTAATGATCAGTTGCTGCCACGATTGCCACTGCCCCATGCTGAGGCCGCTGGCAATGGTCAACTGTTTGGAAAGCCCCAGACCTCCTCCTGCTTTGTCGCTTTGACCACCTGCAACTGCATCGTTCGCTGCACCCGCAGATTGCCGGGAAGCACACGTTTCACTTGCCGCGTGTTGCGAGTCGGCGCAATCCGCAGAAGAGGAAAGGCGCTGGTAAAAAAGAATGTAAGGGCACGCCACGAGAACCCTTTGCAAGTCCACGGGCTCCACTATTTTATCGTCTGCCCTGAACCACGCATTGGAGCCAATGTGTTTCACGTAACAGACGTAGTGCCCCTGTTCAGTAGCAGGTCCTTCATGCTCCACAAGCGCCACTAACTTGTACGTGTACCTCCTAGACGCGTGTTGCTCAAGCTCGTTTCTTCGAGCTGTCGAGACAGTGCGTGACTCCGCAGGAGCATGCGCGCCATCGGGAGCCGACGGCCCTTGGGCTGGCTTTTTTTCCGCGGTCTGTAATACACCTGCACAAGCAGCCTCCGAGGCAGGGGCTTCTCTCCCCTTGTTGAGGCTCTCCTCGTCTGACGCGGGTGTATTCGACGATGTCGGTTTGCCCTCGATCCCAGATCGCCAAGACGCCGTGTAGGCCTCCCCCGTTTCCGCCTTGGGGGGCGTTCTTGAAGCAGCCTCGCTAATGAGGGGTGCGTCTGCGTCGGAAGAGTCCTCGACATATCGCGAGAGATCCACAAAATCGTCAAAGTGAACGGGGTTCCATATCTGCACGAGCGAAAAAAGCGACAGCGAAGCTGCACAAGCCGCGAGAGACGCTAAGAAAGCGGCAAAAATTAACGGCGGATGCATGCTGGGGACGCCCCCCTACTGCAAAGCACGTTTGTAGCGCTAAAAGCTCCTGCCTACACGACAAACCATCATTCGATCCCCCGCTTCTTACTTTGTAGGTTTCCTTGCCACGGACGAATCGTTTGAGGGTGAGGCAAAGAATGAAAGGCAGATGATCTTGCACTAGGGAGCAGCTCTTCACTGCATCTTGCTTGGAGTTGCACTGCTCACAGAAGTACCTTGGGAACCCCACACAAACAGGAAGCCACGAAGCCTCATGCTGGCGAAGCGAGGCACGCCATTCTTGGACTCGAAATGCCTTTCAACCAATTAGATACATGTGTCTTGTACAACCTCATAAGAGAGACGCCGTGCTTTGGACGGAGCTTACCCCTCGCCAGAAGACAACTTGAGGGAGTCGCAGTCATCCGCAAAGTGCCTGTTGAGACATTCCACGAGGTCAACTTTTGACAGCAAATGAAAGAAGGAAGCAGGCTTCAGTCTAAGGCCTGCACATCGACGCCAACGCATATACGCGGAGCTGTGCTTCAGTCATCCCCTGCCAGCTAGCTGCCCCTTCAATGAAAATCCTATCGTCGTTCCCTCATCGTCGGTGGCTGCGCTGCCGCAGTATGCGCGAACAAACGCCTCCATTCCGTCCTAACACATGGCTGCGTGCCAATTTCGCTTACTAATCTCAATACTCCTCCGACACACTAATAACAGTCCCGTGTCTACTGCACCACTCCCCCTACGCACCAAGAACCTCCCGTTCTCTCCCCCCCTGCCCCTCTCGCAGAGTGCCTCCCTCTACATGTCAGTTCAGCGATGCTGCCTTCGGGGAACAGAGGCCTCCTCCAAATACGCGCAAAAGGGGCTGGCAAGCCCCTCTTCCCAAGGCAACCGCCTCTTTAGATAAGACTCCCTTCCTCAGGCCGCTTTGCAGCCAGAGTGCCTCACTCGCGTGCTGGCAGGATTCTTCCTGAGCCTCTCGAGTCATTGCCACTGCGAGACTCTTGAAGGGGACCAGCGTAGCTGTGCAACGTCCGCAGCGCGTGCAACGCACTTTGTCAACTTCGGCCCCTGCACAGACGCACAAAACGGGGGGAATAAGTTTCCCTCAAGAACCGCGCGAGAAGTCCAGTGCCACAGACACCGGGGAGGACGGCAGACGGAATAGCCGCTGCCAGGATGTGCAAAATCCACAAAAAAACTAGGAAAGAATGACAGGAAACAAACAAAAACACATACAAACACACATACACATACATACACATACAAACACACATACACACACATACACATACAAACACATACATACACATACATACACAAACACACATACACATACATAAAAAACATGCACATACATACACATACACGTGGATCGAGTAGAGCCTCTTTGTCGTCCACGTGATCATGGGAGCTTCGCTAGGCCCAACTCTTTGGCATGGCGCACCTTCAAAGAAGACGGAGAAAAGCGTCGATATATCACAGAGATCCGCAGGATAGTATCCCTCTGCAGAGTGCCCCCTGGTTGGTGCAGTTGCTGCAGCCGAGAGCTCAGTCTGGGGAGTATTTTCCTCCCCAGGAGCCTTCAGCACGTTGCCGCCATTCGCCTCGCCGTGTGCGCGAAGAGCGGCTTCCCCACCGATACGCCCCGATGCCGTAACAGAAGCAGCAGCAGCAGCAGCAGCAGCAGCATCGCTTGACGCGGAGCGGCGAAAAGGCCATCGGCTAAGCTTCTTGGGCATAGCTTGCATCATCAAAGCCCTGTGCAGGGGGACGCCTGCAGCAGCTGCGCGCAGCTCGGCGTCAAGGAAGTCTAGGAGGAGGCGTAGAAATTCATCGCTGTCATGCATTTCTCGGGGATCTGAGCAACACACGCCAGACTCGTCGAGCACAGCAAAAGGCAACAAGCGGGTGGAGGCAGAGCGCGCAAAGGGGGGACGCGAGTCGCTTTTTTGCGCAGGGGCGGGGGGTGATGCTGAGATTCTCTCTGTGTATCGTTCCAAGCGACACATTAAACGCAGCCTTAGGCGCACTGCGGAGGCCAGAAAAAAATCGCATGCAACAGGGGCTTTACCAAAATCGGGCATGATGCGGCAGCAAACTTGGTAAAGAGCTTCAGGCTTCAGGAAGCGGACGCTACTCGGTGATCGCCACATGTGGCTGCGAGAAAACGATACAACACGACATTTAGCCGACGTGCTCCCCAAGGCAGCAACCCCAATAACAGAGGCGCGCTACTCCAGGATGCGAGCGAAGCTACGTAGAAACAGGGAAAAAAGAAAACAAGCTAACGAGTTTGGAGGCACATGCGCGGTGCAAGAGCAAGAGAGAGTAAGACAGAGGGAGAGGGAGAGACAGAGAGAGAGACACAGAGAGAGAGACAGAAAGAGAGACAGACAGACACAGATAGAGAGAGAGACACACACACACACAGATAGAGAGACATAGAGAGAGAGAGACAGACAGACACAGGTAGAGAGAGAGATGTACAGGCGAGTGAGCTGTGGCAGATGCGGTAAATCCGCAGAAAGGGTATTTCTGCAGAAAATGCGATTTAGCGAGTCGCTCGAGACAAAGGACGCCGTGAAGATCAATCGATGTAGGCCTTTGCAGCCCTCCGCCTGCTTTCATATACCTCCCATGACGCTTACTTTATCACCACTGCCAGCTCCCATGTGACAGAAGTGGTGTATGTCGGCGTAGGAATAAGCTGGTGGGGCCCTCGCTTCAGTCTTCTCACGTGCTGCCGAGAAGCCTCTGCATCCATATAGACACACATATTGACACACAAATTGACGCGCAGATTAACACACTTACACGCTGTGACACACACACCGAAGAGCTGCCCCTAGAGAGACAAAAGTCGGTGGCTAGAAACTCGCGTCGCTGGCAAGCCTCTCATGCCAAGAAGATCCCTCATGACTGTGCGGAAAGGTGGCAGTTCGTGCCTTTAGAGTGACGCGCGCTGTTGCTCCATCCTCTTCCCCGCCTCCCCAGAAAAGCAGCATGCACAACTAGGCCCCTATGCCTAACCCCGCCTCATGGCCAAGCCCTAAGAAGGAGCTGCGCGAGCTGGAGCCTCAGAAACAGGAGCAGCGCGCAACAGCAGCAGCCTTGGAAAAGAACGAACGCCATGCCCATGGCCTACCCAAGTAGCTCGTGTATGCCTCGTATTGCCGACCAAGGAGCTGCGAGGGAGGCAGCATTGTTCCTAAGAAGCGCATACATCGATATGCCTGTATGTGCACATGTATAGATATGGATATTGATGCATGCAGAGGCATCATTTTGTACAGACATACATATATATATATATGCTCATACGGATACGTTTGCGGGGATGAGCATGCAAGTAGACGAGCAAGCGCGCCCCCCCTTAAAATCACGTTGGACAGCACAAAATATGCAGTCCAACACGAATTTCAGCCTTTAAAAGTACATGCCAAGCAAGCCTCTTGCTAGGGGATCTCTGGTGAGTTGTTGTTGGCACACAGAATGCGTCTGCACCCTGCAAGCCACGCCGTCAGCAAGGACTTGTGCCGGGGTGCTTTCACGCGGAAGCTCCTCCGAATCCTCTTGCGCAAACTTACCGTAATGCAGGTAAAAGTCACGAAGCGGCTGTATATGCGCAAGGCATTGCAACACTACATTGAGGAAGCAGCTCCCTCCTCCCAGATTCACCAGACCTATCACAGGATCCTGAAAAGGCAGAATAAATGACATTTCGAGGCTGGCTGATTCGAAGTCACCACAAGCGTCCGATCGGGAGATACACAGCAAGGCGGCCCCCAAAAAAGATCCCCGAGAAGAAAAAGCCTCACAGAGATCAAACGTCTTAAATCAAGCATGACCACAAAAAAACTGCATTCCCAGAGAGTGTACAAGGAGGAAGCACCGCCGAACGAAAGGGCAAACGCAACGACAAAGGTTCACGACAGAGAAGAACGCCCCTACTCCACACACACACATACTGACATACGTATACATAGGGACATACAAAGAATTACACAGTTACACATCAACATGCATACGCAGAAACACACATACAGAGAATGACACATACAAAGAACTACATAGAGACACAGAAACATACATACACAGAAACACACATACAAAGAATTACACACACCAAGAAACACACATAAAGAGAAACATACATAAACAGAATTACACATATAAAGAATGTCACAGACACAGAAACGCATACAAAAAGAAAGACACATAAACAGAAACACACATACACAGAATTACACATACAAAAAAATGACACAGACAAAGAAACACACACAAAGAGAAACACACAAAGAAACACACAAAGAAACACACATACACAGGATGACACATACAAGGAATGACACAGACAAAGGAACACACATAAGGGGAAACACACGAGGAAACACACATCCACATCAACACACATACAAAGAGTTACCCCCATCTACATATCGCCATCGATACAAAGACATCCGCATACACAGCGACAAACCTCTGCCAGCTTTGTTTGGACAGGCATGCCAGAGCCGAATCCAAGAACTGCGCAGGCAGCAGTGCGAGCGACTGAGGGGCTTCTGCTGAGAGCGAGGGGGGAGCTGTTGGACTGTTTGGGATCGACATTTGCGTTTCCAAAAGCCCCTTTCAACACACAAGCCGAAACACACATCGAGCGTCTGCCACCTCTCCTGCCAGCAACGCGTCGTCCAGCCCGACGACGGCCTCCTTCTCCAAACTTCACACATCTCCCTCCAGCAGAGGCTGCCTTGGAATACGGGGGGGGTACTGCGCAGAAGCCTTCTGGAGGGGAAGCACTGCTGTCTTCCGGCATGACTAGGCACGCGCACGCCGCTTCAGAAAGAGAGCGACAGTCCCCCCCTACTGCGCAGGCTACCCCAGCTGCTCCCGTGGACGCAAAGGGAAGTGAAGACGTTGTTGCTCCTTTCGTTTCTGCTCCTGTTGTTGCTGCGCCTACAGCGGGCAGAGAAGCATGGAACTGTTGAGCAGACAGCTCAACAACAGGCGTATCCGCGCTCAGCAGGGGCCCCTCAGGAAGCCCCCGCAAGGCATTTCCTGCTCCTGAGCGGCATCCCCTCGCGAAAGCCTCCCCAGCAAACGCGAGCGGGCAAGTCTCCCCCGGAGTCGTCAAGGCGGTAGCTTGCAGACCCGACAGCGCACTAGGCATCGCGTAAGAAACTTGAGGAGGAGGAGCAGCAGCCGCCGCGCTAGTCGACAGCTCCCCGGAGGGAGGGGGGCAATAACTCTCTGTTGGAGTCTCCGCTGCTGCTGCTGCCTTTGCCGGGGGGGCAGCGAGTTCCTGCATGCCCCCGTAAGGAAAGAGGCCCCAAATAGGGGGGGCCCCCCCCCTTCCTAGAGGGGGGGCCCCCGGAACGCCAGACGGCGCACAGGCCGCAGCCGTGGGAGCGGCTGCCGCGACAGTCTGCGGAGAGATCTCAGAAGACTCCAGAGGCTCTCTAAGAGACAACTGAGCCCCTCCTTGCTGCGAGGCAGACACCCGCGTGGAAAAAAGTGCTCCAGAAGAGGGCAGCAACGCAGCCTGTGCTGCCGAGGAACCCTCGAGAGAATTCACTGGGGAGGGGGGCGGTCCCTCACAGGCTTCCAGCAGACGCCTCCAGCGTCGCTGCTGCCTTTGCTGCTGCTGTAGGCTTCGGAGGATTTGATGCTGCATTTGCTCGTTCTGATGCAGCTGCTGGAGCAGCGCTTCCTTTTCTTGAGGGGACTGGGCAACGGATCCCCACGGGGGGGCCCCCGCAGCAGCAGACGGCCCTGCTGAGGGGGGCCCCCCAAGAACACCGTCGGGGCCGCATTGCTTTGCCCCGTTGAGCGGGGGCCCCTGCGCAGACACTGGAGGCGCTGGGGGCCCCGACGGGAGGGGGGGCGGAGCAGCAGGAACTCCCAAGAGCTGCTGCCAGCGCTGTGTAGGGGGCTGCAAGCCATGCGGCGACGGCGAGGAGGCCAGGGGGGCCCCTGCTTGGGAGTTCGACGGGGCCCCAAGGGGGGCCCCTGGGCCCCCTAGCGGCCTCAGCTGGAGAGCCTTTTCTGAAGGCTGCTGCACGATCGGCAGGGGCTGCGTCAGACTACAAATGCTTCTGCTCATGTTGGCGGCTTCAGAAGCCGTGGCTTCTGAGCAGCCGTCTCCAAAGGCGTGGCTAGGCAGTGCCCGTCGTGACGCCTCCTCTGGGGGGCCCCCAAGGGGGCCCCATGAGACCCTTCCTGGGGCCTCTAGCCCGACACCTCCCGCGTGGAATCTCATGGGCGGGAAAAGCACTGCAGCCTCCTCCGGAGGTCCAGTCGGCTGGAGCAGCAGCAGCTGCTGCTGCTGCTGCTGGAAAGAGAAAGAACGCCCATCTGGATGCCTCGACGCCTCTGTTGAACCCGCAGGAGGCACTGGCGAAGACGCGCCTTCAAAAGGCCGCACGGCAGAGTGTCGTAGCAGCAACTGCTGCTGCTGCTGCGACTGCTGCTGGGGAAGGGAGCAGTATGGCAGCTGCACGGGCGAGATGAATGCAGCGAGCACATCGCAAGGGAGCTCACAGGGGGCCACCCCTCCCTGGTCCGAGGGCTGCTGCTGCTGCTGCTGCATGGGGGGGACTGACTTCCAGGATTCCCCCTGGCAGCAGCTTGCTAGGGGGTGGCCTTCAAGCCTCGTAGGCCAGGGGAGAGATAGGGGTCTCTAAGGGCCCCATTCAGACGGGATACGTGTGTAATAATCCCGAACCGTGGAGCTTCCAGGGGAGTGCACAGCCACAGCTGGGGGAGGACTGCCCCCGTGCTTCAAAAGCATTGCCAGTTGTACTAGGGCTCTGAATCGCGGCGAAGGTGTGTTTGCCGCTGAGCCTCAGGTGCTGCTCCTTGCTTAGTAGCTGCTGGGGGACGGGGGGCCTCTGCTCACCCTCGATCACGGAGAAACCGAGGCGCTTGCGACGCAGCTGCCGCTGTGGCGCAGTCAGAGGCTGTGACAGCAGTGGAAAGGCTTCAGGTGCTCTGGAGGGAGGGAGGAGAGAGCGCGAAGTCTTTGAAGGACGGCCCCTTGCCTGAGGCGTAGCCTCTAGCCGCTGCCTGAGCCTTTGACTAAGGACTGCACAGAGGCATTTCCGCGGAGTGCGCACACCGTAATGCGCGCTCGCGACTTGACAACTTCGACGTTGATTGAACCCACGGGGTAGCAGGCGACGCAAGGGCACAGCCAGTTGATGCAGCATTCAGATCACCCGACGGGGGGGTCCTTGATCCGACAGCAGAGCGCGTAGCGAAGCCAAAGACAACCGGCCTAAGGCTGAATCATAGTCGCGGCAGCATGCAAACGGGAAATGTGTTAAGACGAGGAAAAAACAAAAGGGATCATTTGGGGCTGCAGATTCAGCCCCCACACTCGTCGGCTGTCCAGATGTCCTGTGTGACAGTTCAGTAAGGGGTCGTGGCTTTTTCGTCTATAAATTCCTCAGCTGAGCTCTTCACATGAATAATAATAAGAGCCATAAATTGTTAAGCTGGCACATGGGGACTTGGGCTAAAAGCCAACGTAATATCGCGCGGAATGCGTGTGTGTCGTGGCTGTGCGCTGCTGATGACGGCCAGGCAACAAGGGGCCAGGCTGTGTGCTTCTGCAGTTTAGCACTATTCATTTAATATGGACAAAACCAAGGTAAAGTAGGGACAAATGATATGTTCCTGCAATAGGGTATTGGAGGACGCAGTATGTGTGCAATGCGAAGAAGACTCGTGCACACCTCGCTCCGCATTTAGCATAATTCTCTGCCCAATGGAGACTGAGGAACACGCTGGTTATCCTGCTTTCCCGCGTCTTTCCAATTTTGTAGGCGGGGACATGGCGAAGGGGTTTATGTGTGTTGCTAACTTCGCCCAATGCAGGAACTGTCCTTACTCACGCGCTCCTGTTAGATCTGCTGCTTCATTCGCACGAACAAACAAACAAACAAACAAACAAACACATACACACACACACATAAACACACTCCAAACAAGTGTCAAGTGGTCAGCCCTTGATCGTGATATATTTTCAAGCTCGTCAAACACAGTAGACACCTGAGCTTATCCAAGAAGTAGGGCCTCATACCCCGTGGCCATCAGGTGGACACACCCTCCGAATTTTGCAGTGGTGGACTAATTTACACTTGAGTTCACCACCTTACACTATTCGAGTTATTTGAAAATGCGTGTTGAATTGTCTGCTTGGTGAGGCTGTTTGTGCAGCTGCTCTTTTTGCAGCGTAGCGTCAGCTCTATACAATAAGAAGTAAAGCTGTCTGTGCGTAGGCGACGTGCAACTAGATGTGAACGCTTTGGATGCCTAAAGGGTGCAGCTATAGGTACCCTACCTGTTCCTTTACCCTCATGCCGGAGCTCTGAGGGACGCCGGCAGGAGACGAAAATGTTTTTTTGGAACAGCCCAACAATTTTTGATAAGGCTGGTATTGTGTTTCGAAGAAAGCGTCTTCCTACGGACACCGAAAAGGAACCAAGTGCAAGTCTGCCAACTCATCCAGCATATATGCAATACATGCTGTATAAGTTGGCAGACTTGCACTTGCTCCGAGCCGGAGGGGGACGACCCCTCAATCTGGCATGAGAAGCGCTCGTTCTACGGTATCCTCAAGAAGAGGCCTAAGTCATGACCCCATACAAACTTAGCAGCGAGTCATTGAGTGTTTGCCAGAAGAGCTCCCTCAATATCCTGCCCACGCCCCGCAGAATTTCCAACTCGATAGAAGAGCGACGACTGAGGCGCGCGTAGTTGCACCCCCTAAGCGGTTCGAGCATCCTCTCCTAGTCATACAAAGCATCTAGTGCAGACGCACACAAGAGAGCGTCTTCTTGTACCCACCTAAGAGAGTTTTGCAATAACCAGGATGTACGAACAGACAAGCCAGTGGGTGGACTCGTTACTTACCTTTAGTTAGACCCTACAGTTGTTTTGAAGGCCTCAAGTAGCCCGCTACAGCATGTTTGGCTGCTGCTTGCCAGGTACACCAATGCTGCAAGATCGGCCGCAGGCTGCTGTGACACAACATGCGGAGCTGCGCTTAACCCCAAGCTATGCAGGTCCCATACAAAGACAAGTGGATTTTTTGCTTTCGTCGCGCTACTAGGGCACCCTTAGGGACCGCATACTGCAGGAATATGGCAGCCCCTGCGTCTAAATGCATCCCAGCCAGATTTTCCTGAGCTGATGGGGATGATAAAAAGCTAAAACAATCAGAGCGTTGCACGCGCACTCTTTGGGCCCCCCCGGCCGTTTCTCAAGACGAACCCCCCCGAATGCTAACGATAGCAGAGCAACTGTATCTCAAGACATGTAGGAGCCTGCAATTTTTCTCGGTTGATTCAAAAGGTCACCATATATCTTGCAGGCAAAAAGCCTCCGAGCCCTTCCCACCACCAGCTCGCCTCCTAAATTTGCGCTCAGAAATACCTCCGAGAGGACCCTACACATACCCCAAAGGGCCTCTCGCTGCGACAGCAAGGCGGCTAAATCCGTGGAACCCGCTATACCGAGGCGGCGCAAAAAATGCTGCGCACGCCTCTCTCAGTCAGCGAGACGCCTTGGTGGCTCTGTGCGAGAGCTCGAGGCCGGCCAAACAGAAACGAAGGGCTAAGACTGCACAAGGGCTCTAAAGATGACACGAGCATAACCCCGCTCTGCCATGTAACGATGGCGTTGAGCCAGGGGCAGTGACAATGCGTAGCGCAGAACGGCCATGTGCCGATCACTGTGCAAGAAAGGGGTGGACCACTGCTTGTTATGGAGGGCTCCATGTGGAGATCCCGCTCCGGAGTCTGGTGCACGCCCTAACTAGATGTCGGCTCCCAGTGTGCGCATATCTACGACTTTACTCGAGGCGCAGGAATGCATAAGGGTCGCATGCGGTCTACAGTGGCTAGGTGCTATCGGTGCGGCTCCAGCTCCTGTCTGCAGCGGAAAAATGGCCGTGATTTTTTTCGGGGAAGATCCCCCCCAACCCATCTGGTAGCTCTTGGCGGCAGCTTCACAGGCTCCGCAAAAGTTGTTTCCTGTACTCCATAAAGTCCCCATTGAACTTGATCAGCCGCTTGGAATCCTTGTCCATCGTGTAAATCTCGTCCGCAATGCAGGACAACAGGTGGCTGTCATGGCTCACAACAACGACCCCACCGGCAAAGTCATTGAGGGCAACAATCAGCGCCTGAACCCGCATACCCCCGCCAAACCGAACGCAAACAGCAGACACCACTAAAAACGAGCACTTTGCAATAGTCGCGTCAGCCTGGTCCTGCTCAGTCATCGCAGCGGCCAGCACCACCCCAGAACAACAGGCGCGTTGCTGCCATGTGGAAAAATGCATCCGAGAGCAACAGAGGAAGGAGCGAGAAAGAGAGAGAACGACAGAGAGCGGCAGCAAAAGCAACTCGCGGCAGGACCTGCACAGCGTCAAGATCCAGGTGGTTCGTCGGCTCGTCGAGCAGCTGTTCGCAAGGCACACTGCCAACAACTCCACTCATAAAGGCGCATGCATCGAAGAGAAGCCTCCATATGCAACAAAGATACATAAAAAGAGGTACAAGCCTGCAGATAGAATCTTGTCCAGAACACTATTTCGGGCCTCATCAAATGCTGCTAGGGCAGGGAGGGAAGGAAGCTCCTCTTTTTTCCTAGCCATGGAATGCGCCGACTCTGCAGCTGTACATCCTGCCTTTATTGCCCTTCGTACTGAAGCGCATGAGGTGCTCTTGTTTTTGCAGGTGGCTGAGGGAGGGGCAAGATCCGCGGCGACGTGTGGGATCGGCAGGGGCCTACGACTTACAAGGATGTGGGGGTTGTTGTAGGCAAGCAGTGCAATGGCCACTCTGCTCTTTTGACCTCCTGAAAGGATGTACAGTGGTTCAAGTGCCAGCATATTGCTTATGCCGAATTGTCCTAAATAGGTTCGCGCTTGTTCATCAGAGAGATCGGCCTCCGGATACCTGTTGCATAGAACAACCCAACAGCTTCCCCGTTTCGTGTCTTTCTAAGCCTCTGCTCCCCGCCAATCTCGCGACGGCTCGACCCGCTTGCTGCTCTGCAGTTTCCTGACTAATATGTGTTCGGAGGAGGAGGAACGCTAAGCAAAACAGTTCCGAAGCAAGTGCGCAACTCTGCACAGACGCCGCACTGAAACATGCGACTTCGCTCTCTCTCATGGCCTCACTTGACTTGCAGGCTCTGTACGGCATTGAGAGTCAAGTCCAGCTGGTCCACGTGCTGCTGTGTGAAGTATCCGATCCGCAGCTTCCCGCTTCGGTTTATTTGACCCTCACAACATTCGTTCTGCCCTGCTAGCAGCTTCAGCAGCGTGCTCTTCCCGCTACCATTCAAGCCGCAAATCTGCACACAGCATGCAAAAAGCGCAGGCCGCGCAACTACGCGCATGGACTGCAGCGAGCTCTCTTGGGGTAGGCTGGCTGTTGCCTTCCTGGTGCCTCAGAGGAAGAAGGAAGGAGTGGACTTCGAGACAAAAAACAACAGCCAAGCCCGTTAGGACGCTAGGGGAGACGCGCCATTGGGTGTGTATGTGCATGCACACGTACAGCGATGCGGGAGTCCATGTCGACATTCAAATTACACTTCTTGACAATCAGCAGGTCTCCCGCATCCCCATGAGCAGAAGCAGCATTAGCATCGTCAGAAAACATTCCATCATCGCCCCCCTCCAAGGGCCGCTGCACGACGCGCTTCTTGTATTTGAACGTAACATCAACGAGCTGCAAGAGAGGGGGCGACAACTGCTCGGGCTCCTTCAGCTTGAAACGCAGTGTGGGATCCTCCGCCACTTGCTCCAACATAGGCAGCCGTGCCAGGGCTTTGATACGCGACTGGACTAGAGACGCTCTGAGCATGCACATGTATATGTATATATATATATATAGACATAGATAGCAACCACACACGCCGTAAGCCGAACTCGTGACTCCGCAAAAGTCGCCATACACGCATGCACTAGCTTCCCAACTAGCCACAGCCCGCAAGGACGCCTTCAGCGCAAGATATGACACGCAGCCATCCACAGACAGTCGTGCAAGCAGCAGGCAGAAGCGCCGCAAAAACAGAAGCGACGGCCGTTTCCGCTGCCTCCCCCCTCCCTCCCTTCCTCCCCGTATGCGACTCATGGATAGGGCCTTCCCTTGCACTCCACTGACGAGCACGATTGGGCAGCAGTGCCTTGGAACCAGCACGCCATGATCCTTCGTGACTCGAGGCAAGCGCCTTGCGCAAAGGCCTCTCTAAGGCAGCCTCATACAGATACGCACTGCCTCAAAAAAGCCCCGCAATGCCATGCCGAAATCTCAAATCCCATGCGCTGGACTGCATGTGGTGGCCTCTGACCTCTTCGCATTGCATCTGAATTTGTCGATGAATGCCTTCATGTGTTTCTGCTTCATTTCGACAGACTGCGCTTGGCGCTGCTGTTGCAGTTGCTGGGCGGCCCTGACGTTCTCGAAGGTGTCGAAGTCGCCTTTGTAGTAATTCAACTTCTGGTTGGTGAAGTGAATCATGTCAGTGCAGACCTGAGGCAAAGGCCAGTGAGCAGCACGACAGCGTCGGCGCAGAGAAAGGCGCACACCACGATGTGGGTAGAATGAATGGGGGGAAGGAAATCGGAGAAAGAATGCATGGCCTCGGGAGGGGTTGGCAACTGTGCCGGGGGAAGACAAGGCGAGGGGGGTATTGAGGGAAACACAGGAAAGCAGCATGAACAGCCGACTCAGACGAGGCACTTTCTGTCTGTCTCTCTCTCTCCAGCTTTTAAATTCCTAGAGAGGCGGCCCTTGTGCATTCGGACTCTTGAAGCAAGCGGCACACAACTCGCACGGATTGAGAGAGGGCCAGCGACGCTCCATAAAGAGGCAACGACACTGCTTAGACTCAAGCACTGTAGTGGAGAGTGAAGAATAACGCAAGGCAAGGCCTGAGGGGAAAAGAGGATAAGGGGTGCGGCTCCTACGTCATTGAGAAAGTCTCTAGAGTGGCTGACGACGATGACAATTTTGTCCCTTGAAAGACGCATCGCATTGTCTCCTCCCAAGGCTTTAGAGTCGCCGACGAGGTACGCAGTTAGCCAGTTGATGGCCTTTAAGTCCAGATGGTTCGTAGGTTCGTCGAGCAACAGCACATCAGCGTCCGCAAACAAGGCTCTGCCCAAGCAAACGCGCATCCGCCAGCCACCACTAAGCGCAGAGACCTTCGTTCGCTGCGGCAGGCAAGACGCGACTCACAGCAAACTGGGAAAAGGTAGTGATAAAGCGGTGGGGTCGTTATACACTCAGGGCCGCTACCCCCCTAAAGTATGCGTCTTCTGAGCGCGCCGCACATTCCCAAAGACATGGTCTGGGTGTATTGGCCAAGCGTCGAACTCCCGCCTTTTTCGTGCTCAAGTCCGCCTGCTAGAAAGAAGCAGTCGCTGCTGCTGCCTTCGGCTCAAGTGCAGCGGCAGCGCGACGACACAGCGACAAGCTACGCTCAACTGTCAGGCAGGCTAGTTGCGCTCCCAAAGCCAACACACACATTTGTGGCTTGCTTCTATTTTTAACACCAGTTTTGCCGCTAGGACAAGCCAGCCACCATAGCGCTCCTAACTACATCCCCAAGCATGTATGTCTGCGTGTATCTGCAGGGGGGGGCAGTTCACGCAAAAGGCTGCCTGCGGAGCTAATTCGCTACCTGCATTTCTGTGTCGAAGCCCAGGCCCTTAAGGATCGTGGCAGCTGTGCACTCGGCCTCAGCTGCACCAATTTCCTGGAGTCGGTCGAAGATGGCCGCTAGGCGGAAGCCGGCTGCTGAACTCTGAGCAAGAGCGAAAAAGAACGCACGACATTTGCCTGCTTGCATGCCCATCGGACGCCTATATGAGGTCGCCATGTGCGCTGCAGTGTCTCCGACCTCGCATCCCACTGCGGCGGAAGCCGAACAAGCAAGAGACAGTTACGCTAGAGGGGAGATGTCTCCTTGCAAAAGGACGCCCTCTACGCTGCTCTAGCCAAAGAGGGCATTTGGTCATTTTTTTCATGTGGTGCTTTTGTAGTGTCCACGCATTTACGTGGGTGTCTGGAGGATGGTGGAAGAATTTTTCAGCTGAGCACGAATGGGCCAGAAATTTGGCTGCCACACCGGCCCCTACAATGGATATCCTTCAACATACGAGCTAGCGCGGCTTAAGAACGAGAAAACTTACAGGCTGTCCCTGCTGCATCAGCAGTTCTTCTTCTTCTAGCAGCTTGTTGCGCTCCTCGTCCACTGCTAGCACCGCCTCTAGGACCGTCTCATCCCCAAAGTGGTATTCTGGATAATTTTACGGGCAAAGACGCAAACAGGCGCAAACGAACCATGAAACGCAGATCCTACCACATAATTCTGCTCGCCAAAAACAACCGCATGCTGCCTGCTCTCCGAGAAGTACGCCGCCTGGCCAGAGGAGGTCTTTGAAAGACACCCCTCAGCCTCAAGAGTTTCCCCAAAGGCCCAGGCGTGGAGGCACGGGGATAGAGGCTGAGAGCATTCCTTCGGCATCTAACAGACAAAGACTTCGAGTCGATTCCTATATACAGAATCAAGCATATGCTATCATAGCAAAGAGGACTGCGCAAAAGTATCCCGGGTGTGCCGTGTTGCGACTTGCCCTGTTCAACGCATGTTATGGTGGTATCGGGGTCAACCCCAAGGATATCATGCCGCGCAAGTGCATGCAAAAAGGTACTCTTGCCAATTCCGTTCCTGATAACGCAACAAGAACCGGCAAGCAAGGAACGTCTCGTACAGAAAAAAGACTGCTGGCCAAAAGGCAACCCAAAAGAATCCAGACACCAATTTTCTCCCCCGCCTTCCCCTCCCCCCCGTCCGCCTCGCATTTCTTTCAAACTGCCTATAGTCATATCCACGCAAGCAGGGCTAAACGCCTTGCAACATGCAACTCTAACTGCACGCCCTTCGAAAGAGACTCCCCATGGTGCTCGTGGAGATGCAACGCAGGCTGGCCACAGAATGGCGAGCGCACGGAACACGCAGCGCAGATGTACTGCAAGGGGAAGAAAGATGCCGTAGGATGGCATGCGCTTTAGAGAAATCAAGTCAACAAGTAGAAGATCAATGGGCATTGTAACAAAGGATAGCGACCCTTCGTGTCATGCAAAGGCCAAAAGGCAAAGACAAAGTGGGATCAACTGAAAGCAGCTCATGAACACTGCAAAACCTGAGAAAAGCCTTACCGGCCAATGAGGCCATAGCGTCTGCCCTTCATAAGCTTCAGAGATGTATCTACCAGCAGCTGCCTCCCGGCGACAGAAATAGAAAACGAGTCGACCAGAATCCCCTCCGCTGCAGCAAGGCCGGCCAGCCAGCATTCAGAAAGCACGAAATTCTGGCATTGCGATATGACACAATGCACGTTGATATTAAATAATGTGCGCCCTACTTGTTTTGCACCAAACCGAAAAGCGCAAGGCACGAGCCAGTCAAATTTCCAGAACCAAGAGGCACCTTTTTGGCAGTCCACCACAACAAAAGCGTCAATAGAACGCGCACCGATCAGAAACCTAAAAGAAGCGTAGCGAAATATGAACTGCGTGTCTCTTCTTACCGCTGCGCTTGAGCTGCACATCACCATGACGCTTCTTTGGGGGGGGCAGCGGTGGCTTGTTCTTCTCCCACTCCTGCAGCAGCCGTAGCTGTTTTTCGCGCTGCAGGAAAACACACGTAGAACAGGCATCGTCGACTTTAGCGCCGTGAGCCTTCAAGCGTTGGACGGTGTCACGGGAAGCGGCATGCTCGTGGCGGCACACCAGAAAGCACTCTCGAAGCCATCAGATTTTACAGAAGAGAAGGAGGAACACAATGAAGGCCAAAGTCGGAGGGGAGAAAAACGCATACCTGTTGTTGTTTACGCTGCTGCATCAATTGCTGCTGTTTCGCAGCCTCAGCAGCCGCGGAATCTCCGTCGAAGACTGGGGCGTTGTAGTTCACCATGCCAACATCTTGCTGAATTCCTAAAAACGGGTCATTGAAGTCGCCTGATGCAAAATAAACGAAACTGGCAATACGCTCGCTTTCGGTTAAGGACACATATTTACATCCCTCCAAAAAAATTCAAGACACGTGACGTAATGCTGAATACGGGAAAGGGTGGATCTATCACTTATCTACACCTTGCAACTGAACTTGCGCTACGTTTTCATGACTCAAATAACGCAAAAGGCAAATACAAAAGAAAGACGCCCTCCACCAAGCCTTGTCGATAAGGCAATCGGGCCCTTGCGAGTGAAGCAACATGCGATTCCCCACCAAGGGGCTGATTGCAGCACCTGAGGGATACTACTTCCCGCCGTATCGCTCCAGCGCCAACTTATCAGATAGTCAAAAACCGTTCGGCACAAGGAAAGACCGCCGACAATTAGCAGCTGCGCCATACCTTCGGTTCTCTTTTGCATCAAATCCTGTAGTCTGACAGGAGCCTTCAGTTCTGCGGCAGGCACACATATAATCGTCTCCAGGCAAAGCCATGCCGTGAGTCGGGGGCAGAGCGCTGCACACAGGGCGTTCATGCAATGCCACGTTCACAGACTGGTAAGAGATCCAAGATGAAAGCCCCTCCTAGGGTTTTCACAGGAAGCGCATGTAGTGCAGTTTACAGTTTCAGGCCCCATTTGAAGAGGTCGAAATGCGCAAAATGACTCACCAGTCTTCGGTTCAACCTGTGCTTCCTCAGGGGGCGCTGCGGCTTTTCGTAACGCGTCGAGCTTCTGCACGAGGCGTTCACATATCGCCTGAGAAACCAGCAGGTTGGAAACAGCAGTCGTAGCGGCATATGAGACCGAGGAATTTTACATGAAAGTATCATGTAATTCATCTATGAAGTCGATCATGATGTGGCTTGAAATCGGCAATCGCCGTTGCCGCTGCCGCCTCCTTAAATCTACAACGCGAACAGCGAATATGGAAAAACGCGTTGAGCCATCAATAATATTACATATTTCCGTAGAGCAACTCTGAAAAATGGCTAAACGGAAGCTAAAAGAAGGTACTAAAATTCCTACAATGGATTCAGATTCGTCTTTTGCAACCCCAACATCCAACAAGAAGGCGCCGATCAACTCGTTCGCCTTATCAGCATTTGTCGGGGACTCCTCTTGCAGCATTCCTGAGGCGCCATAGAAACGGTGGAAAGCATTCATGGGCAATGTGAGGTGACCGCAACAAAAATCAAGCGCATACGAAACTCACACGGTTATACGGTACTGGAAAGTGCCAGTTGGTTTCTTCGTGAAGCACGGTTAAGTGCGCCATGTGCCTATGTCTGACGTGGACGAGCGAGCCGCATATTCGATTGTTATGAAACAGGTGGGAATAAAATTTGGTTCCACACATAACACAAAAGACTAGGCAACATGGCTTCAAATAATACCAGGGATAGTCAATTACTCCAGTGGACCCAGAAGCGATAATTGACACGTCCATCCACCATGGACACAAGAAAAAGCAGAGTTTATTCGGCTCAAGCATATAGCTGAGTTTCCAAATCAACTCATACTGGACAGAAGGGACCAGAAAAAATCCGCTTCTGGGTGAACCTGCGGAACGAAGGGAACGCCCCTCGTCTGCCCCATGTGACTATCGTATGGCCCTGTGGGAGCGTTAGAGTCGCTGAGACGTACCAACGAGGTATTCAGCAGTTGTCGGTTCCAGTCTGTCATGCGTTATTTCCCGCAGCACGCTGCCTACCACGTCTTCGGAAAGGCCCGTCATTTTCGCGATAGTTACCCTAGTATGAGTAAGAAGCTCGCAGAAGCCTTCCCTGGAGGAAGGCAGGCCTCTTCAGTACTATTCTTGCATGGACAGCCACCTTGGTGCACGTGGCAAGCTCAAATGTTTGACAACGTGAACGGCGGGAGGCGCCTAGTCAAAGAAGCGGTCATGATATGCCTTAATCGACCCTCCCAAAACAGCCCTTTCAGCCAGAATGCCAACTAACAGCCCAACATTCAGTCCGAAGGCATGTGGCTGCATTGCGTTTCTTCGCTGCTTCCCTCCTTTGGCCAGCTGCTCTGGCATGTGTAGTTGGTGGGGCTGCGTGCCCCCCGCCGAAGACAAAAATAACAAAATGCATCACTGGGCTGTTCTCCTTCCTAAAATTCAGTGCGTAGCTCATTTTGTATCATAAGGCATGCCTCATTAGTATCACCTTGTGGCAGGAAGATGTAAAAGGTCCCCTTGAACCGCTCCCGTAGGGCCCCCAAGGCGGCAGCGGGTCCCTAATGTATGGGCCATATGTTTTCGGCCGTATGATGAGTATTGATGGGGATTAAATTTAGGATCGGGGGTTGTATTCGTGAGCTTGCTGTAGCAGCTAGGTCTCATCGCCAGGTTCTTCCATCTTCGTTGTTTTTCCGTGCCTCGATGCATCATTGCAACAGCATAATTCAACGTAACTCGACTCCGGTCCGTTGGTCTCACGCAAACGGAAATGGTTATTGCTCGGACGCTACAGCTTCGCAGAACGTGAGCTCGAGCCATTTTTGGCAATACTCAGTACAGCGTTTCAGAGTTGGAGAAAACGGCTTCTCTATGGCCGCTCTTCGTCTGTACTAATTTCGAAGTCCTTCGAAATTAGTATAGACGAAGCTGAATAACAGCTCCATCCTGGAGGCCTTTAGGGCTGCCTTAGGGGTATGCTATCCACGCTTTTTTGCTTCGTGGCGATGTGTGACAGGCGTCTGGAGTGGTTGACGCGACGGTTGGCACTTAGCGGTGGCATGTCAAGGCGCGAAGCCCTAGCTGCCATCGAAAAAGGCGCAGTACAGGTACGCATGCCTCTGGCTTCACAAGTGTCGCTCCATTTCAATAGACTTTTCCAAAAGTCCTTCCTGCATCGTGTGACGCGGAAATATCCCGTCCGTATGGCCGTCATTCGACGTGCAAATTAGTTCCACCTGGAAACCTTTAAGCTACACATGTATGCCATCACTGCTGTACCTATGTGCGCCAACTGTCGCCATGTTTCGTTTTGGACCCGAATCCTCAGGTCGAAGGGCGAACGGCTACGCGAGATGTTGAGGTTTGTGATGAAGCAGACATTTCGTTCAAAGGTAGTTATATGAAGACACGATGACATGAGTGTTCCTGCTCTTTACTTCCGATTGCAGCTTCAGGGTCTTGGTCAGTCACTGTTTCTGGTTGAGCATTAACATTTGGGCTTCGCTTCTTGGCCTAGTGAGGGGTTAGCGCGCAGAGGATTTTTTCTAGAGACCGACGCTTTGATATTGAGTACAAATGTAACAGAAACGGACATTTTGTATCACTCTGCGAATAATTTGGGGAGCGATGCGGCTTGTACAGGGCAGCGCATCCCTGCATCTGCAGCGTTGCCTGCGCTCTTCGGGATGCACAAGCCTCCCCGCGTGGCGTGCACTTACACTCTGAAAGCGTCGGGGCCAACCTTGAAGTCAATCCTTGCACAAGTCCCGCCACTTGATGCGCACAAACTGAAAGAGGTGAGGGAGAGGCCTTCGGAGGACAGCGCAGTTCATATGCAGGCTGAGAGAGGGAGCCTCACGAGGGTCACCTCTAATGAATGGCATCGCGAAGAAGTACGCGGAAGCAACTGGGAGGCAGGCAGAAATGCCGAAGCTGGGCGTGACGAAGGCTTGTATACGGAACGCCAAGGCGACGGAAGCTTACGTGCCTGCGGAACCGAAAAAACTATAAACAGCAGTACCAACGGCAACACCCTGTGGAATGTACCAGGTCACCTGATACCAGTGGTAAGGAGCCTTATTGTCCGCGAAAGAATGATTTTTTTTTCTTTTCTGTAGTCTTTGGATTCGATGCCTCGCTAGAAGCGTCTGCTGTGGTCACTTCTGCCTACCTAGTAGAGGCGAGGCGTCTGCATCTTCTGTGGGCTTTTGCATCAGAACTACCTGCCTCTTCACGCCGAGGGCCTCGTCCTGCTGACGAACGACGGTGGCTTCGCGCATGCATTGCGTAACCCACTTAACAAGATCGTTACCGTAAGGGCACACAGAACAAAACTGGGCTAGGCAGCTGCTTGCCCAAACGCAGTTATTGCTCGCAAGTGTGCTTCGTACTGCAGCCCCATTTAATGCCGTATTGCGACACAATAAATTTTTTTCTACGCATTACTTGTGGTGTTGATGCCGATGAATGCTATTTGGGCATTGGAGCTTACATCGCTTCCCATGCGTGGTATTGTTGAGACCCCCCTCAGGCATACGACTTTCGCGTTAGCGGGCAGCTCCCATCGATGGAACTATGGCGGCAGTGGGCCATGGGTGTATGCAGGGATGGCGTGGACTACGGACGCGTTTGGGTGAGGCTTCTTCCAAGAGGCAAGCATGAATGTGCGTAGTCTGGGACCCTGACTTATTGGGATGACTGCAGCATTGCTTTATTTATTGTGCTGCACGTTTTCTTTGCGGGGTGGACTGCAGGTTCAATTACTTAGGCCTTGCCCATCCGGTGGTTGGCTTCGGGTAAGCAGCAATAACCTTGCTCCCCCCACACTTCACGATTTAAGGGGTCCATGGCCTCCATGAAATTGCTTGTTATGTCACTTTTCATTGGGGTTTAGTTTTTTGTATGCAGGATGGGTTTTATTCGCAGCTAAAGCTCGTGGAGCCTCCTGGGGCAGACTTTCGGTCCCTTTTGGGAAGCTGCGGTCTAAAGGTTCGTTATTTTGGGAAATAAATGTCATGATTTTTGCTGTACATGACTGGTTCTGAGCGAGTTGCATAGGCACCTTGCTACTGAAAGATAGCATGCAGCACGTTCCTGCCTTTACTCCACTGCTTTTTTGCGCATGTGAGTACAGATTCGCCGCGTACGTCTATATTCATTCGGCCCATACATGAGCTCATCTGTACCTGCGGGACCTCTCATTCCTTTACCCATCGACCAGGCGCTGCTGCCGCTTGCACCGGTCCAACGGCCCCGCTTAATGCTGGTGCCTTTAGAGGGAGAGATCCAGGCAACACTGGACGCTACTGCGCACTTGGGGAGCTTAAAGGGCGGAGGCTTCCCAGCGGCGCGTTTACTTAAGGAGAACTCGGCTCTTGCGAACCAGCGCCTAATCAAGGCACGTTGATGTGATGCCGCACGCAGATGGCAGTTGCTGCTTTTTCTGTTGCATGGACACCCGTCCTTGGGAAGGCAACCTTAATGAGCTCCCGTGCGTTGAAGACACCAGCGCGCATTGCAAACCGAAAGTCCCTCCTTGGCTAGTGGTCGCAAGATGATACAGCAGGGGCCTTGGCCAGAGGATGGAACGACAAAGTCTTTTTAGTGTCAGGCAAGCCCTGGAGCTGCGGTGCAGTTTCCTGTCTGCATGTTTTACCGAGATGTACCTGTTCACCGTTCTGGCTTCAACTGTCCTCCACTTTCTGCCTCTATGGAACAAAAAAACCAACTAATTTTTTCTTCAGTGTCTTGACTAGGGTACTTGCATTGCATTGACGATTGCGGCTGAGGTGGCACTGGGAAAGAATGACCACTAGGTGTGAACCCTGCTTGCCTGTAGTAGAACAGACGGGAGTTCCTCGTTCCGTGTCCGAAGCGCCACTAAAGGCCGTTACAGCTATAAAACTGATAGAAATTTCCGGCTTGCTGCCACAGTAATACTGCCTATGATCCAATTCAAGCTTACAGTGAGTTAGGAGGCTTGTCCCACCTCTTCGTAGTTCTCAATAGGTACAACATGCTTGCTTTAGCAAGGCATTGTTTGTCATTAGCTCCTCACAATTGTAGATAACCGGGTAATAATAGCATTTTAGAATAACGACCGTCCTTAGAGGTGATTGAAATTAAATGCACGCACAAAGCAAGTATTTGAGTTCTTCCCGGGAATCTCTGACCCACAGCGGCGGTGTAGTGCCTACGAGGTTAGCTTTTTCCATGCGTCGCTTGCAGTGCTACATGACTACCACTCATTGCCCCTTCCCCTCTTGTTTGAAGCTAGGTAACTACAACACGCAGCTTGTGCCCACCCAGTTCAGGTTCGCCCCTCTGCAGCCGAACTTTACGGCAACTGTTCAGTTCTTCGCTGGTGCATCTCCCGTGCTTTTCAACACCGCAATTAAGATACAAAAAAGCGAGACACGGGGGCGTGTTAATGTGCAAACCATGAACGAGTCGAACGTGGTGAGCATCTCCCCGCTAGTCTTTCAGGGCGCCGTCCATGATTGAATCTATCTTATTCTCAACGTACAATGCACGACCTAGAGCGGCACAAATGCAGGTTAGGAGAACCAAAAGCATTTGCTTGTTCGAACCCTCGCTCCACCACAGAGGCACAGCGGCTGCCTGTGAGGCGCCCAACCGGCGATGTAAACAAAGCAGCAGTGCGAGCGCTGGGATCTGAATGCCGTAAGATGCCTTTGGGTCCTTTAAACTAGCAAGAAGCGACAGAGAGCAGACAAACAAGTACAACAACCCCACTGCTAGCCTGAAATGCGCACAGCAGCAGCCGCATAGGATACTCATGCAGAGCCAAACATGCTTACTTCCCACATATTGATCAAAAATGCAGTCCCTTATAAGTCACCGGATGCAGTAGAAGAGGAAGTCACCACGACAATTTTACAAGCATGTGCAGAGCTCACCTCCAGTCTCCCACTGCAATACCTCCGCTAGCGAGGGGCCCTGGCCGTGCGAGACCAAACCCCCAGAAGGTGATACTGGCGGCCTGGGTAAGGCAAAGGCAGCAAAACTGTGCATGTGGCGCCAACAGGAGCTCCAGGGAAGTCGGTGGTGCTGCCATCAACAGCAGCAAAAACGCTCCATGAAGGCCGCACATTGACCGTGTGACAAGCCTCAAAGCCCTGAAAGCATGGCCAAAGAATACCAGACAGATACAGCTGCCCCCTGCTTTCTTGGATGAACCCTTTTGTTCTTTCAGGCAATGCCCAAAGCGGCCCCTTCATCACTATTAATCTACCTGAATTCAGCTTTCCGCCGAGGCCCAACCACTTTTTCTACATCAAATCGGATCTGCCGGCGATACGCGTCATATGCGGCCAAAGGCAGCAAAGGGAGTTCATCCTTTTTTCGAGGCTCCGCTCGTGTCCTGCCAGAGCTTTCCCTCTGATGCAGCAAGCCTTGCAGTTGCCCTTCGACAGCCTTATCTGCTATGCTGGATGACACAGAGCACACTCGGGAGATGCAATGGCGCGCATCCGGCTTGTGCATCAGCAGGTCCCTTGGGTAAGAGGTCTTGAAATGGGCAATACACACGTTCCACAGGTGGCGTCTGGCCTTCGGGTGAATGCACGGCGCTGCACCAAAGCTCTTTGAGACGCATGGGAGCGACGAACAAGACAAATCTACAGTTCCCATATAAGGGGAGCGCACATGAAGGCCCCTTGTAAAAGATAAGTTTCTTCTTGATTTGAACAGATCCCGGCAGCACTGCCCCCTGGGCGCTGCCACCAAAATGGTAGCCATTGAACGACCCGGCCCCTCGCGCCGGGTTTGCGCCTGTTGGCCTACTGGGCACAAGCGTGGAGTCAATTAAAAGTTTGCATCACTTTCTCATTTCTCCCATGGTCGCTCCCTATACAACGGCGCTCATGCTGTGTGCTGCCTCCGTGCCCTATAAGCCCGTCAGAGGGTGCTGCTGAAATTCATGGCCTTTTATAGGCTTCTTCAACGCCAAAGTAGAACAATATCCCGCTGTACTGCATCTATTTGCCCTAAGGCAGTCCAAAGTTGGTGCTCCGTTGGGCCCACGAGCCCGAGAGGGGCTTGTGCGTAGTATGGAGGGCCTTTTAACTACACGAAGAAGTTTCTTTGGAAGCGTCAGACTTTACAAACGGAGGGATCTAGTCCGAAAATCGAATTTCGGGTTAAGCAAAGAGGGATAATGGATCGTGTGCTGCAATATGCCCTCAATGGGGCTGGCCGGTCGTGTGCTTGCAAGACGCAGTAGCCGGTTGTCCCCTTCGGAAAGACAAGACAGCTGTGTTGTATCCCATCTGTCATTACCTGTCTTGGGCCTACTCTCTCAGTGTGAGCGCGTTATCCAGGTATGACTGTGTCTCCCTCCTGGTCCTCACTCCCTCCTGTATTGCCCTTCAAAGGGAGCAGTCTCCCGGGAGATGAGGCCCTTTAGATTGTGTCAGTTCCCTATGTTCTGTTTACATTCGAATTAATGAGAGAGTGTTATTTCGTAATGTCTTTGCTGCAGCCCCTGCGGACGCTGGTGGCAACAGGTTCAACACTGGAACTGGGGTGATCCGTCTTTTCTTCCTGCGTGCTGCTCACCGTCGCCGAGGGAGAAATCAGCGTGGCCGCCAAAATGAAGCTCTACCTGAAGAAGCGAAGCGGCAAGTTCCTCGACGCGTGCGAGGTCGCTGACGAGTGCACAGTAGAGGACTTCAAGCAACACTTTTACAGAAAATGTAGGTGACTTTCCAACTATCGTTGCTATCACCCCCCTTTACCGAGCACGGACGCTCTAGCTCTATCAGTCCTGCTTTTCGGAATGTGCACTTTGGTTTTAGACGTGAGTCACCGATAAAGTATACTTTTGTACCTAAACTAAGTCACGTGGTCATCTTGGAGCGCCTCTGCCATAAATTGTGCCGAAACCGATTATTGAGATATTGAAATGTCATAGGAATGTGTATGTGATGTATATAAGAAACGCAATCTATCATTTCATTCAGATCAGCCCCTCCATAGTCATTTAACTTTGGCGGCGCCATCATGGAAAAGCTTCGCCCAGCGGTGCATTTTTATATGTTTTCTGCAGATCACTACTACCCGGAGAGGCAGTGGTGGACAGTTGGGCAACCACAGGGCCCTGCTTTACGTGGGGAAGGACTCTTGACCAATTTCGGGGTTCATGATGGCGATACTTTGTTCTTCAAAGATCTCGGTAGGCCAGAACATTAGCATCATTTCAATCCGTGGATCGACGATCGTCCTATTTCCATTCTCTGGTAGTGCACGTTTAATTTTTTGCACATGGATTATCTTTTGTTGGGTTCCGTAATGGCAATGCCATGGGTGTTGTTGTACGCCTCAGGCGTGCAGATATCGTGGCGGCTCGTTTTTGTGCTGGAATATTTGGGCCCCCTATTGATATTTCCTGCCCTCTACTTCTTCCCTTCAATATTCTATGGAGAAAATAATGCACCCTCCAAGTGTCTTACACAGACGTGAGGCTAAATACCCTGTTCCCTCTTGGGTTGGTAAGTGCAGGGCAGCATGGGGTCATTGCCTGCATGGTCCCCAACTGCACCAGCGAGTCAGCCGTTTCTCTCTGCTCTGGATGCGTGATCGCAGTGTTGCTCTGTGGCTCTGCGTTGGCCATTTCATCAAGAGAGAACTCGAGACATTGTTCGTGCATCGGTTCAGCAACAGCACCATGCCGATAGTCCGTGTCCCACTGAACTGTGGTCACTACTGGCTCCTTTGTGGCGTCAGTATTGGCTACTTTCTTTTCCATCCGAAGTATCAGGCCCCGTTCGAGGGCGACTGGCAATTCATGATTTACATTCTCACCGCTCTCTTCGTGGTAAGAAGCTAGTGGCCACTTCCAGATCGATGCAAGAGAATTTGGGCGTTGTATAGAGCGAACAGCTGTTTGTGCTTGACTTATTGACAACATACATAGGCCACAAAGTCTACGTGCGCATCCGTATGAGCACCAATTCGTATTGCTTTCGAAGTCCCGCGAGGCTAACCGGGAGAGTAGCCGCTTGCTTTGTTGTGCCACCTTCTGTAGGTCTTTGAAGCGCTTAATTTCAAGACACATCTGATCCTCCGGAACCTGCGCTCTCGTGGTACTCGGCAGCGTGGCATTCCCTACGGCGCGGGTTTCGACCTCGTGAGCTGCGCAAATTACTATTGGGAGACTCTGACCTGGCTTGTCTTCGCGGTCCTTGTTTCCTGCTTTACTGGTGGGTTTCTTTGTCTGTGGCATTGGCACTCGAGCTTTGAAGGGCACATGGACAAAAGACTGAGGCTGCATGTCTTGTAGTAGTACACCTGGTTCGTCGTACTACAGAGTTCTATTTAAGTGACCACCAGGCATAGATTCCGCGGTGCAGTTACCTGGTAGAGCGCATCACGGTACTTTGATATAATTGCCCATGAAAAGGTTCAGTGGTACTTGCACCAGTTACCGCTAGTCACAAAGTATTATCCAAGTTCTGGGCAAACAGCTCAAGTGAACCACGACTAATGCACCTTTGGTTGCTGACGCAGCTTGGCTCTTCCTCGTTGTGGCATTCGGCCAAATGGCGGAGTGGGCACTGAAGAAGCACCGAAATTATCTGAAGGAGTTCAAGGAATACCCTAAGTAAGCCATTTCCCCGCAGCATTCTGTTCTTGCTGTATTTCTGCCCTTGAAAACACCGCTGTGGTGTGGCCTTATGCTAACCCCGCTCAGCTCTACTGTTCGCATTCTGCAGGAACCGCAAGGCTATTATACCATTTCTTCTCTAAAAGTCAACTAGTAGCAGAGCAATTCAAGGGCGCGCCAGTGCATCCGCCCTTGTACAGGAGCCGTTTGTTTGCCCGCTGCAAGACGCAGGGCTGCGGCTTGAAAACAAACCTTTTATGTAGTATTTCTAGGCAACGGTTTCTGGCGTGTTATATCAAGCCGCATAGCAGCGAAGCTGAGGTTGCCTTTCCGTACCCCGTCCCCACTGTTCCTATACCTGGAAATATTTAGACAGCAACTCCCCGTGGGCCTGATGATATTCGGGCCTGAATAACTAGCGCACTTTTCTTTCTACACAGGCGCACTCGCTTAATTTGCTGCAATTTGTACCGTATCTCGCAAAATTCGAAACGTAGCGCCTTTAGGCCACCGAGTAAGTACTGTCGTAAATATAAATAAAGTTGCGGCACACCATAAATTGAACCTGCCACTCACGCAGTTTTACTTGGCAAGGCAATGCACGCTTGCGGCACTACCATACGCCATTCATGAAGGAAAGGCTGAAATCCAATTCCGCACGGGAATAGAATTTTCCGTATTCGTGTACAGGTTGGTGCCATTTAGCACAGCGCGAAGATGCCAGTGACACGCATGTCTCGATGAAAATCACATGCCTGACAATCCTGGATGCGCAAAGCGTCGCAAGCCAGATTTACTGCGCCGCCGCCACAACCGAAAACTAACCAAACCAACGAGGTACTGGCAGACTCTGCCGGGTGCGTCCGTCGTGGTTACTTTCTTATCTGCCACGAGGGGCAAAATGCGGTACTGCTGTTCACGCCGCATGCTTATTGCATCGTTCAAATTTCCGTGGGCCTTAAAACGCCCACTTATATACAGGACAAGCCTTAATCCGGCATCCCGTGGCCACCTCAAGCAACACCTCATAGTGCACCCAGTTTGCGCGCTCCTCGATGGTTTCACAGTATATTCTATAGATCCGCCAATATGGATCCTATTCGTGGTATGACAGCCCCTGCAGCCATCTTCATATTAGGAACGCGTAGTCCCGCAGCCATAATCAGCAAGACAAAAACGCCATCCCTGAATTGTGCAAGCACCGCGCTTCCATAAATCACGCTGATCAGCCTTCGAAATTGGGGAAACAGTCTTTAAATTGGTTTTTTGGATGCTTGGATTCTAAATGCTGTTCCAGCGTTGGCCTCTTTATAGTGCACATGAACGTCTGACGGCAAATCTCGCAGACGACGTTCAAGTCCTTCTCCCTTGACTTAAGTGTGGAGTTCTGAACTCCCCGCTGATTGCGGCGTTGGGAGCGCTCGCGATCGACATCTCGCTGGTTTCCCCGTGTCATCTTAACAGTCCAACTAGAAAGATAGAAGAAAGAAGCAAGAATGTCCGTCAACCGACAGAGGCCCTGCAGACGGAAGTATGCAGGCAGTTCAAGTACCTCAAACTACAAGAAAACGGAGAAGAAACACGATAAAATGCGGGGAAAACAGGTTGATGGATGTATAAGTGCCTCTATGGCTCAGCACTGTGCTCCCACAGAACAGTGCAGGCTGGTACCCGTGGCAGCCTGAATCAGAGCACTCTGCCTTTACGGGCCAGCGAGTACATGTAAAAATGTTGATTTAATTGACCTCAAATAAACTCAGCGTGGGCTAGGAATAAATCAGAAACTACTTTTCTGGTTGGCAGGGATGTACTTCGAGCTGTGGCCAGCGCACGTCATTTGGGGGTTTCCACGGCGAGTGTATCGTGTAGATCAGTTCTAGGGAACAGGCTTATCCGGATGTTATATAAATTTTTTTCTTCAAATCAAATTCTGCTCACATAATGGCAATGCCATGGGTTTCGTAGGCTATTATTTGTTCGTACAACTGGCTCAGTACCTGAATTTCGCTCTGTGATGCCTGAGCACCAAAATATTCCGTTTCACGATCCGTTTCGGAAAACCCGCCGCCGCTAGATGGTGCCTTTTTTGCGGCACTTATAAGGAAATATACCTTAATCAATAGCGTTTGTCCGAGCTTTTCGTCCTGCGATAAAGATGCGTCAGGTTCTTAGCGGCAGGCCATGCTGCACTTGATCTCTTTCTAGAACTCTATTTGCTGTCAACGAAGGGCGCACTAATGTTTTGGCTCTCTGTAAGCTTTGCTTACTGCAGAGCAGGGCTGAGTCCATGCAATGAGAATGAAGGATACGCTTCCTTCGAGTAGGTAGCAATGACTAAGTGGGTCCGAATGCTGGGATGGCTGACAAGATCGAGCGGCGCGCAGACTCACCACTGTCTCTTCCAAATGCCAGGACTCTGTTACCTTGACGCAAGGAAATAGTGGAAAGCTACCTTATGTCCTAAAGACCCCCCTATAATGGGAAAAGCTGCACTTCTCTGTACTTGCTGGTTGTGCTCAGAAATGAAATTGACCAATTCACTTGTTTGTTCATACATACTATTTACTGTGGAGTATTGTTAGCTCTATACAAGCATGTGCAACACTGTGTGTTTGCGCAAGAAGCTGCGTGCAACTAGTTGTGAATGCTCGGGTTCCGTAGAGGGTGTACTTTTGCTCACCCGAGCGGTCAGTCTCACTGTATATCAGGAAATCACAGGGGTGTGGGCAAGGAAGGAGCAAATTCTTGTCAAAAAATGCCTAATGACTTTTCATTAAGCCTTTTTAAGTGTGGAGTTGTCACCCTATGGAGAACTCGGATGCAGTGCTGTAGTTGGTAGCACCCAACGGTTCAGTGCAGTTAGTTTCCGCTCTTCCTCCTGCTGTGGGCGCATTGCGATGTCACTTTACCTTGAAGCAGTTGGGTCTTCATAAACCTATCTGGTCATTCAACAGCTTAAATTTTTTTGCAAATGTATCGGGAGAATCGTCCTAGCTATGGAATATAAAGGTGGCGCGATGCCTGTTGAGGCAGGAGCCGGCCTGCAAGCTAATGCCAGCATTATATCTGGTATACAGCCATTAATTTCCTTCAACAAGATGTCTCATGGTGCGTTAATAAGTTTGCGTAGACCAGAAGACTGTGGCGGCTGTATGGATGGGCAAGTGCTCGAATACTTGATCAGTTGGTTGGAGATGTGCCTTGCATTGTACTTCTCTGATGATGAAAAACCAAGTCCGTCTACCGGCAGGAGCACGAAAGGTCTAATTGTTGCCCTGTTCAGGCAAGCAAAGCCGTCTGCATGTAGGAATTACTATAGTTCAAGCCTTCACACAAGCCATGATTCATCGATTTAGCAGATATCAAAGGGCAACAAGCTTTGGAAAATTTTAGTAAGCTTAGGCACGGAAATTTATAGCTAGGTCAGTCTCTCCAGGAATATGAAACATGGATGTGCAGAAGCCACAAGGTTGATGAGCAGCTGTATAACCAATGGTGTGCCATGAGTCTATATATGTCACGTCAGGTGATCGCAGGATGGGCAACGATATGCCCGTGAAATGGCCGAAAGGTAGGGCGTGCACACATGCTGGACTACGTGGGGCTTGACCAGCAAGTGAATGTAAGTCGTGCCTTTGGCTGAAAAGTAAGAGGCAAGTCGGTGCTTAGAGTCAATGGATGGAATGTGACCCTGGCCCTAGTGCTTAGGACGAGAAAAGAAAGAAGTCCAGGGGCAACGTGCGCTCTTAAGCAACTCTCGACACCCCGCCAGCAACACAGCTGCTTCTACAGTGGGGCATGGAGTCAATTTTTCCCGGAGCTGCCAGCATGCGCAAGAAGCCAAAGAACTTGAGCAACAATACCGGGCCAGTGGAAACAGACTGCCTGGCGCTCAATGAAGGCGCATCAGAGACCTAGAGAGCATTCTACGAAGGCTGTTGGGCACGGAATGTTGCTACAGACGATCGAACTGCAGATGTATAATCGCCACACTCAATTTCGTGCGGATACAAGCTCCCATTAATGCTCAAGTATCACCGGTGTTACTTGACACTGGATGCGAAGCAGAGCTGCCATCCCATGAAGCGACACAGAAGTGCAAACGGCCTGTCCACTCGTTAGCCCAGTTCCTAAGACTCAGATGTGCTGAATGCCGGCAGAGTGCTAGTACTCCGGAGGCTACGGCAACTGAATGCTCTTCTGAATGGGAATGTGTTCCTATCAGCATGGTCAGTGACTTCCATATGATACGTGTGCATCATGACATAAGCCCTTGTACGCCATGAGGGACACGCTGCAAGCCGGGTATGCGGGGAAAGCTACGTGCCCTATGATCTAGTGTGCCTGGAAAGTAAAATAAAAAGCGTTTTCTGGTCCCCTCAATAACGCTCATTTGTAGTCGTGATCCGGGTAGAATCAACGCTTTAGCAGATTGAGGCAGAGGCGCTATGCGGGCGCCCTAGCACCACTGGAAGAGAAAAGGCTTCTGAGTGGGCAACTCGTCTATGTATGCCTTGAGTGGCTACGCTACTGGAAGAAATTTGACTCAGATTACAGCGAGCCAATAAAAGGAATTGGCATATATCCAGAAGTTCGCGGATGTGCTAAATACTAGCGAGCTGCCAGCAGGCTGGCCACCTGCTGGTTCCCCCGGGCGCCATATTGGGTAAGATTCTGGGTCAACCCCGTACTACGTTCCGCAGTCTCATTGGTTTATACAGCACGGGGAGGAGATTAAGGACCATGCGGATGAGCTTTCGAAAAAAGCAAGGTGCAGGCACCGACTTGTGCTTTCAGGCATATCCCAGTGCTGCTGCCGCCGAAAGCCAAGAAAGATGGAAAACATGCGTCAAGGTTTAGACTCTTTTGCAAGATTACTGTGAAGCGGAAGTCGTCGATATCTGATTCTGGCGAGTTTCTGGGCACGCTGCACGGATCAACAGCCTACTCGGGCTTTTCCTTGACAGACACCGTATAACAAATCTCCATCAAACCTGTTGGCAAGCAGCTTGTGACTCCATGATTGGAGCCACAAACTGGAGTATACTTGTATGCCGGTAGGACTTGTTGATGCCCGAGCTGCAAGGGCATAAGAACAGGGTTTTTCGAGCCTACTGTTAAAGGCCAAGTGGCTGTCTACATGGACGTTTTAGGCTGTAAGCGAAACGTTTTAGGAGCACTTATGGCACCCACGGCATGCGCCTCGGCTTTGGCGGGACAAGTAGCGAGCTGCAAAGGCGCTCAAGTGTTTGAGTTCCACAAAAACGCTCGGGATTTGAAATATCGTGCTTTAGCTGCAGGAATCGAGTCCGAAACGGCAACACATATAGCGGTGAAGCGTGGCCTAAGCCCTTCAGCGCGCATAAGGAGGTTGCAAAGTTTCATGGGCTAACGTCTTATTACCGAAACTTCACCCATGGATTTGCTGTAGTCGCCGTGTATTTGGCTAATTCAGTGAAAACCACGCAGTTTATGTCCTGGACAAGGGAGGTTGATGTAGAAAGGACGCTTGTCGGCCGCATCACCACACTGAGGTACTTGGGCTGCCACACTACCGATGCTAGTGAAGTTGCGATGGATCCCGTTCCCTCCAAACACACGATACGGGATCTCCAAAGCACCTAATTATTGCTTGATATTGTCAGCACCTAAATCTTAACCGAGTAGCGCTATCCAGTGTGGGAAGAGGAGCCACGCTGTTTCCTGGCGCGCTGGAAAATGCCAGCACTATTATGTAGGCGTCGTTTTATTGTCGAGACCGATCATCAGCCTTTGATGTACCTCACAAAAAAAGCCTGATGAGCTTTTTCACTTGTAAACTGGTTTGCGGTATTGGCTGAGTGTTGTAGTACGACTTTGCAGTGGAGCTTATTAGGGACATTGCCGACTTGGTCTCCGACGCGCTCTCGCGACGCCCCAGCGACTCACTATTTGGCAGCGCGATCACTGTTGCCTGAGATGATTCATCTTTCTTTTTAATAAAATCTTTCATGTTTGATCCCATGCACATCCACTCCTATTGTCAAAATGCAGATTGAAAAAGGCTAAAGCACAAGCACGTTGTGGATGGCCTGCTATGGATTAAACGGAGCACGGACTTCGTCGCTTGTATATTACAATTCGTTCCACAGTGTCGCTTTGAACAAAGCACATGCGCATACCTTTCAAGATATAGGAAGTTCTATACGAAAATCGAAAAAAACTGCCACGACACACACGGCTGCCTGGGATAAAATACTGTGGCAGAAGAGCATGCACCATCATGCGCAGATTTTCAGCCACTGAGGCCACGCATTTCTCCTAGGCCCAGCATCCTGCGATGCCTTTCAGCTTCTGAAGGAAGAAGGAACGGTTTAAAGCTGTGTTTTATTGCTGAGCTGGCAAAGATCAAGGGTCTAATGGCACCTACTTCGTTGTGGATACACCCAGCGAAAAACTCATATCATCCCTTGCTCTCGCCCTGTCACGTATTAGAAAGTCGTTCAATTATTCTTAACGTATGTACAAAACCTTCATAGATTCTCAAAAATCATTGTTAGATATAAGGATTCATATTTTGCTAGTGCGTTCTGGCATGCCTTTGTGATCCGCCTACACACTGACTATTTGCGAGCACTGCGGATTACCGAGGCATTCGAGGAGACAAGGCACACCAATCGCACTTTCTAAAGTATTTTTGACTCTTCATTTCATAGGAATCCAGCTGCTTGGTTTTATTTTCGTCCGTCTGCCGGATAGTTTTCCGCTCAGCAGTATACTCAGCTACCCATTTCTCTCCCTCCTCCCTGCTCTACACTCAGGATCCCCTCTCCGATGCGGGCAAGGACCAAGTGTCCCGAAATCATGAGCCAAGCCATACTGTAGAAGGAACTAGAGGAATTAAGGCTAGTGTATGCTCCTCTCTTCAAAGTTTACGAAAGACCAGCATGGAATTCGGATAAGCGACGGTCGGCTGTGTATTTTGCGCTTGGAGATTTGGCTCTGAAGGATTGGCAGGCCTCTTAAGGTCTGCCACTAATTGACCAGGGAGATGATTGAAGCCAGGTGACTAGGACCATTTGCCGTTCTCTCACAAATCAATGCTTTTTCAAAATCTTTCGGAGCCCTCTCAAAGTTTGAGGTGCCACAGAATTATAAAAATTTGTCTACCTCGAGTTTTAATTCCCAAATTACTTGCAAAATTTTAAGTGACCAGGATGGAAGCGGAAAATTAGCATGGAGCACTAGAAATGCTAGGCTTGGGGACTACTTAGTACCAACAATACAGTACACTGGAGTTGCTAGTGAAATGGGTGGTCAGCGCCAAGCTCAGTGGCTGACGATGCAGCTAGTGCGGGCTTAGTTGACGGCTAGACAAACCTCGGCTCTGTTTAGTTGACGACGCTACTCTTCCTGAACGGTGGTCCTCGCTTTCCTGGATAATTGGTCTTCCCTAGCGCAGGTTCTGTGTGAAAGAGCAACTATTGCTTGTGAACTGCCATCTTCTATTTTTTAAGGTGTTCTCTACACTCAGCTTTATGCGCAGGCACTCTAAGTCATGCCATACTTATATTATATCTTGTGCCCCTTATGGGGCTCTCGAATCGACTACGATTGGTGTACTTGCTACATTGGCATCCGGATATCTGCTGTGAAAGGCGTGAAAGCACTGCTGGGCTAGTATGTATTTTGATTACCCATCCACATTTCACTCTGTTTTTTATCAGCATAGCAGGTTTTTTCTACATCTGACTGCTCCGACAAAGGCAGGTCATCGGGATATTGCAGTAATGTTTAGTTTGGTAACTTGTTTGCATTTGGTTCATGCTTGTCCTTCCTGTTTATCAAAATTTACGTTCTGATGCTCACTTTGCTTTTCTTGTTTACATTTGTTTCTTGCTTTCAGGTCTGCCTGGTAGAATTATCCTGAATTTTGCACGCAGCAGAACAAGTAAAGAATCCCAGCGCTTGTATTTTGGAGCGTGGGGAGGAAGATGTACCGGGCTTTGCTATATCGGCACTTTCCACTACGCTGGTTGTATTTAACTTAGTATAGAAATGACCTATCAGCTAGTTTTGTAGTATGTTTTTTGCGAGGTAACCTCAGCTTACCCCGGCAAGGCGCGATGCTGTATGCATGTGCTCTAGATGCTACGTTCACTTAGCTCTAGAGGGTGCAGCAAAGCGCAACGCTTACTCAGCATCCTATAAATTCGGGATCCCTGATGAAGCAGGCGGAAAAAAGAACACCTTTTTGCAAAAGCCGTCGATGATTTGAAAGGTTCGAATTGAGTCTGTGGTGAAGGGTCTTCCTTCCGCTACCTTATATGGAGCGTTACAGTTCCGAAGAGTATAAAGTATAGTGTAAAGCGTAATTTTTGTTTGATACACACAGAAGGGGCTTCAACCAGGCGTTGCAGTTTCCAGCATGGTCTGCATTCCCACACGCGACTTCATAATCGGCTATCCAGTGGCGAGCCGTGAAGACCCTGCACTTAGTTTATTCCCGCTAAAAGTCAGCTACATTATCTATAAAATCTTGACTTAGTCTTTAAACTCAGAGCTTAAAGCGGGTGTTTTTTGCTTTCGCCTCTAAATGTTGTGAATGCAATGGTCTCGCCTTTTCTTGAGCAGCGATGCTATCTTCCCGCCGTGGGACCCTGGCCGACCAGAGGATTGTTGCGTTAATCATTCCAATGGGGTCTTGCATGCAGCTGAAGCCTCCATTACACCTATTTCGAATTTTGAGTTGGTGAATATGTGATTTTATGCTCATGGAGCTGGGTTATATGACACCAAAATGTGCGTAAGGTGAAATTTAGCCCTCAAAGCAACATCTGTCGGCAGCACTGCATTTAAGTCCTACCGCAGCAGGGCTCATGATTTTTAAAATAGAGTTTGCTGAATTTTCTGCATTTTTTTGTAGAGGTGGTTTGGTGTCTTCTCAGTGTTGTTCCTCTCAACCAGCTCACTGCATTCTGTTTTTGGTGGCTCGAAAGACCACGGCAGGGCACGGGGTTAGGGCGTATGTCTGAGTGCACCATCGTGCCACAGTAGCTTTGCCTTTTTGTACATAGCAATTCACACAGCGCTTGATGGACACCGGACATGCTGCGGTGTTCTGTTATACAATGGCTGGTGCTGGCCGTCGCCGGTGGCTTGAGCTGTTCGCCAGTATCATGTCTGCCACGAGCCTTCCACCGCTCCCCAGGGGCTAGCGCTACAAACGGTGCATCCATGACTAAACCATTAGTCTCTTCAATTCTTTCTGGGAGCGAAGCCGAGCAAGAACGGGCAGACAACTGGGGTACGGAGAACGGTAATGAGGTTTCTGACAAGTGGCGCTCTGATTCTTCAGCAACCAGCGGTATTAAAATGATCCCACATAGTTTTAATCAGCAAACGGATGAGGACAAGACGACTAGAATGAGTTTTTACAATCCCCTAACAAAATACGAACAGACGCAGCCCAGGCGCTTACGCAGCGGGAGGGCAGTACAGGGAGTATTATCCCCTGAAGCAATAGCTGCGGAGGTCGAAGAGACAGCACTACACGAAGGAAGTCCTTCATATGTGCAAAAAGATGGCGATACCTTGCCTGAACTGTCACTTCCCGTAGCGGGGGCTTCTGCCGCTTCTCACCTTCAAGTAGGGGAGAAGCAGATCATTGATCAACTACTTACAGGCATGCTAGGCACCGGAGTCAACATGATGCAAGGAGGAGGCCTAGGAGCCCAGCCAGCAGGAGGAGCAGCAGCGCCTGCAGCTGCCTTTGGTCCAACTCCGGTGTACTACGCAGCACAAGAAACAGGAGTCTCCACGGTGGAAATAGTTCTCATTATCAGCGGTAGCATTCTCGTGATTGGCCTTGTGGGTCTTATGGTTTGGCTTTTGACTTCTAAGAAAAAACGAAGACGGTAGTTAAAAGATGCATTTCCGTGTTCTCTGTACGGTATTTTGCAGTGATGCATACAAGCCCCTTGTACAGGAACTCGTATCCAGGTCGACATGGCCGTCCATTGGCATCTTTAGCTTGTCCTTATGGTTAATTTGCTGTGATATTGCTCTCTGTGATGGTGCTTTGAGCCGTTGCAACGAAACTTGCTCATTATGGAGAGACATCTCTGGTCTGCTCCCACTGCACAGCACATTGCTGGAGGCTGCAGAAAAATCTGAAGGGTCATTTGTACCAACCACATGCTGCTCATGGATTTTCTGCAGAACTACAGGCGCATTGCGCCTGATGTTACCAATATATTGGGGATGAGCACGAAAGGAAGGCATGGGTGCTGCACTTTTGAACTGCTTTAGCCCTTGGGTGTGCTCCACCTGTCCCTCCCATTTTGCCAGTTGAACATGAGTATAGAACGTCGCGGAAGTGCCTTCCTGTTTTAAACCTTTCGTATATCCTTTTGACGGGGACTTGAGAGGATTCGTGTTGTTTCCCATTTCGTAGAGAGATACAAGACTTTATTCCTTTATAAGAGGCTCGCTCCTATGCAACTTAGTTCATCCACGGTATTGTTTACTACTAAGTGTTCGCGGTCTCCAGTGGTTCATACTAAATGGAATTGAGGATTGTTTGTTTTAGTTTTTGCAGGTAGAATCTGTAGATTGCCAGGTGAGACATGTTCTAGCTTTTTCCATGGAGCTACGGGAATCTAAATGTGCCTGCCTACATCGCAGTATTCCAGCTAAAACCTCGACAGCGGAGCTTTCTCCTGTTTTGGCACACTGTTATAGCCCAGGTACTGCACAGGGCGAGGTGCCACACATGCCTGTTCGAATCTTTACTGGACCCATGCTCAGCAAGGGCTGAAAGCGTCATCGGAAATCCGATGCCACTTTCCTTTTCTATGAAAGGCAGCATCTCCGTCTTCGAGATTCCTCGGCTTCCTGAAAGCCGACAAGTGTCCTTCGTGTAGCTTTGGTGAAATGCCGTTTCGCTGTCGACGTAGTGGATGTGCGGTGACACTCCTCAATCAATCAGTTTTCTTGAGAGCAGGTGAATCGTACGCAGGTGTAATGTCCGCTACGGCTGGCCCTGCTCCGACTCCTTCTCGGGGTATGGCACCATCGTTGCTCAGGGTGTCGTTGGCAGTTCCTACAAATGTAGCTTTAACGATGCAGTAGGATACGACTGGGGGATTCGGCGGCAGTGGTCCGATGATGCACAAAACTGCAGGAAGCAGAATCATGCCGAATCCAAAGGAAAGCAGCAAAACCTGAAAAAAGCGCAAACGGGAGAGTGCAGACGGTCAGTTTTGTCGAATGTACCAAGTATTCTGTCTGCACCGTGAAATCAATTCTCTCGGGTTAGAAAGTGCTGTGAGTGTAGCAACCTTACAAGAACCATCATTCGGAAAAAGGCGATAAGCACAAACTTCGTGGTGCCAACAAGGTAGAACACTGCGAGGAGGGTACTGAGCATTCCGTTTGCCACCGGGCAGCCCATCATCAGCATCCCCTCAGTCATACGCGCTTCCCGTGTGGCCCCGCAGCCGTGAGTGAATGCGTGAAGCAGGAATAGTGTGCTGTCCACCGAGTAACCTGGGAGAAAAGCACGGAAAAACTACAGGTAAAGAATACTGTACGGAATTACAGCTCTCGTACCTTCAACGTTCACCCTTGTTTACCCAAGTGCTACATTTAGAGGCAAGGCAGGGAATTTCAATCATCGGATGGTGTGGTTGCACTCTAGAAAGGCCTACCTATAGCTAGAAGAAGGTTTACCATAGTAATTAGGTTGAGGCGCAGACCCCAGAGGGTCATGAAGCCAAAGAGGCATAGATCGATGAGCAGCACCGTGACGGCCACAATCAGTACTGAGAGGAAGTCAGGAATGAGAAGCACCGTCATCTGCAAGCCCGAACAACACAAGTTCACCAAGTCACTCCAGATCAATGTTATTGGCAATCAAGAAAATTCTTCTTGCTGCAGGTCGTTGGATCGAAATTGCGTGTGGCACCGGGGTTTGTCGTAGCGACAGGCCACCCCCAATGGAGTGTTCTCTTTGTTGGAATCAAGAGCAGCCTATATGGGCTGTACAACGAATCCAGATGCCGGGGCATTTTGTTTATTCACCATGCCTGTGCTTGCGCAAGTCTAGAGAGAAAGTGTGAGGAACTCGCAACTGGCTCAGGTCCGTATGCTCACACAAATAATCGCAAGGAGGGCTGACAGAAGGCTGTTGACTGTACTTTTAACGGTAAACGGGTCGCTTTCCCATAACAATGCAAGCGGGGTGAAGGCGTAGCACTCGAAAAGGTCGGCTGAGTCTATTAGTAGTTTTTGCGTTTCCTTGAACCAGTCCAAAAGTAAGTCAGCGTCGAGACTGTGTGGCAGCCAGTATGTAAACTTCCACGCTAGAAGTAGAGGACCCGATGATCCTTCTGATCGGGTGCGCCACAAAAACGATGTGCGGAACTGACGCCCAACAGGGTCTCCCTCCAGCCAAGCGTAGAGCCTGTGTGGGCACACGAAATATTGTGTTCACACTCGTTGCCAGCAAGCTGCAATCCTGCCATGGCCAACTCACGAAGATGCAACTTATCTGACTAGAGCAGCCAAGATTGCGAGCACGACAAACGGTATGGTGCCATGAATACTAGCAAGCTCCAAAGAAATGAGCCCAGGCACCACCCTGCTAATTACGCCCCTATCTACTCATTTCAAACACACTGCTTTCGGGTTAGCATGCTTCTATCGTCAGTTGGCGTACTCATTGTTGAATGCTTGTTCGTTCTCAGCTTGCAACGAATCGCCCCTTTCCTCAAGGAACATTGCCATGCCATTGTAAAGCGCTAGAGCATGCCCACTAGCAGCCAATTCCCTATTTATGGTCAAAATACGCTCCCTCACGTCCCTCCTGGACCAGTCTTCTCTTTTGGGGAAGAAGACAGTTACTTCCTCGCCAAGGGAGCTGAAATACTTTGCGCGATCCTCAAAGAATGGCTGAGCCCCGGAGAATGCAAAACAAAGTATACAGCAAGTAGAGACCAGGAGGCACACACATACTCTTGGGGCAGTATTAGTCCTGGAACGATGTGTACAAGAGAGAGGAACTACAAGGACTGGCGTCGAACTTTATGGCTTTCTGCTTTAAACGTCAAACACAACTGTACAGGGGGAGCTCACAATAAGGTGCGAGTCGGATGGCGTAATTTCATCAGCAGTAATGCCAGTCCTTATGCGAGTCAGGCCGTAAATGGCGACGCTCACAATTGCAGCAAAGGCCACAAATATGAAACGTCGTACCCACATGTTTCCCATAAGCCTAGATACAGCACAAGACGGACGCCTGGCCAGGAGAGATAAAATCGTGTCACTCGTGATATGTATGGAGGCACCGTGCTCACAAACAAATGCCACATAAAATCACGCCGTAAGTACGCCTGGAAAGGCTTGCGACCAAGCTGAATAGGAGAAAGATCAGTATGCTGCATGCGCAGTGCATAAATGTTATTGGGAAGCCTTTTGTCAAATCATTTGAAATAACGCCACGGATCATGGTAGACTCAGTTTAATGGCAGCGTTGGACTTTTGAGACATTATTCAAAGCTAGCGAATTGGCCTGACAGCTACTTGCGTTTTCTGACCTGCAGTAGTACTTTCCTAGGAGTCTCCTGTAAATCTTCCCCACGTTACCTTTCGGCTCTGTCGTATATTTGTCGAGAACTACAAGGAATTCCTGCTCCGCCATTAGCATGTATCCATCGGCTGCATTTCCCATCCGCATTCGCACAATGCGAGGTCTTGAATGTTCAAGAGGGTCTTTATGTAGCTCGTTTTGAGGCAAAGTCTCTGAAGGTTCCTCCCTGCACAACGTCCAGGCTCACGATCATAGGAGGGCATAACACGTGATGACAGTGTCGTCTGAAATGACACTACGCACCCACGGGCAACGTTTGTTTTGTAAGCAAACTAAGGATGGAATTCTTTTCACAGTGATAGGTTTATCTAGGTGCGAGAAGCTCTTATTCTCAGCCAGATGTTCACCCAGCGCAAGGTTCTGCTGCAGCACTCGCTTCCCCCTGCATAACTCTCGAAAATTCTCTCGTCTGGTCAGCCTCCCCGTTAATCTGCTCCTCCCGAGAACTTCCTGCTTCCAGAGATGGTCCCCTAACCGGGAGCTGATCAGCAAATCCTTGCTGCGCCTGCTCCGTGGATTGCACCTTGGATCCTCGGCTGAGAATACTGAAAATTGTGGGGATGCCGCGGCGAGAGTTTTGCCCATCCTTCTGCTCGAATAGAGCTACCGTGGAGTTAAAATACTTCGCCACAATTTCGCGGTGCTGTTGCCATATATGCTGCATACGGAAGGTCATCAGGGAAGCCAGTTCGTACGTAGACAGTTTCTTTAGCGCCACCAGGAGATCAGATTTGTTAGGGTTGTGCACCACATTGTCACAGCTTTGCATTGATAGAAAGCGCTCCTCAGATGCTCCCTCAGATGGAGAGGACTCATCTTGATGAGGCACAATGAGTAGTCTTTCTGGAGATTCAGGTGCGACTTGTACTTGATCACCCGAAGCACTCGATATGCTTAGGTTCGTTTGTTTGTCTGCGCGGGGGAGGTGTTGAATGTTTGCGGGACTGCACAGCGACTCCGATCCTTGGTTGCTTTCGAGGCTTTGAGGAGACTTGACTACGCCATGTCCTGGAGAGGACAGTCCATCCATGGCTAACTGCCGGTGGTACTCTTTGTGCGAGTCTGCCGTCATTGCCGATTGCTTTTTAGTGAAGAAGGCTTCTCTCCTGGCATCAAGAGAGAGGCAACCGAGAAAGATAGTTTGGGCAAGCACGTAAGACCACGCCAAGCAGAATGCTGTGACTATAGAGAACCTGCTGATGCTGAAGAATGGACAAACTGCACCAATTATGAGCGCAGCAACGCTGGTCATTGTGGTGATAGTGATTGAAACCCCAGCATCCCTGGCCGTGCTGACGATCCTGGCTCGTGGGGTATCATGTAAGAATGTGAGGCAGTATGAGTTCAGCAGCACGAATGCATTATCCACACCGATACCTAGAACAAGGAAAGGCGTCGCATCTGCAGGAGGAGTGTGCTCGACCCCACAGAAGTATATGAAACCTGCACCCCCAGCATAACCCAGAAGAGTAGAAGCCACCGAACAAATTGCGGGAAGGGTCTTGGTCCGGTAGCTGGTTGTGGTGTTGACAACTACTGTGTACCCCAGCACTGTCAATGTCGCAAGGATGAGCGCGACAGTTTCCGCAGGTCCCATCAGGGAGGAGCGCATGAGTTCATCTGAAATAGACCTTTCAAGTTTGTATGTAAGCGTGAACCCTGTGGCTTCAAATGATTGTGCCACTTTTTCTATCTTCTTTTCCAGAGCGGCGGTATACGGTGCCACGGCAACATCACCTTGCAAGTCGAATCGCACAAGGCATGCCGTAGCACCTGTTACTCGGTGCAGCTTTTGTTCTCCGTTGTCAACCATGGAAACACGCATGTCTCCCAGGAGTGCATCAAGGTGGAACGCCTTTCTCGTGTGCAAGTTCACTGCAAGAGGCCAGTCTCTTGTTGTAATTGGCCTACCCCACTGACGTTCCGATGTGTACAGCTCCAACACAGAGAGTACGCTGCAGTCATCCCACGAGTCCCGGGCACATAAGTCTTCGTATGTTACCTCCAAAGGCATGCCCTCAGGAGGTTGTGCCCCAGGGGGGAGCTCGTTTCCGTATTCATCTGTCACTACTTCATCTCGGTTAAGGGTAAGGCTTTTTACTGCGGTGATGAGGTTGTTAACCTGCTCCATGCCTTCTTTAGTGAGCATGTTGTCGTCGCGTGTTATGAAAAAGTAGTTGAAACGCCTTGGGCTGAATGTCGATTCTAATAGCTGGCGCACATTATGACTGGGAGCTCCTGGATAGCTGTACAACTTGAACATGTCATACTCATTCTTGCGGAAAAAGATGCCCAGGGCCATAGCAGCGCTGAGGACTGCAAATCCAATGATAAATTTCCATGCGTGGTCATACACAATCATTCCATGCCGCGCAAATGCTGCGTCCAGAATTGCTGATCCTCTCTGCTTCATGCGAGAAAATCTCTTGCGCTTCTGTTGCGTTGAGCCCGGCGGCGCACTGCACTCGCCTTCGTTGCGCGATCCTGCTGCATTTCCGGAGCACAGATTCTGACGAGGAGAACAATTAATAGGGCTGTCATCCAAGGCAGAAGGGCTGGAGGAAGCTGCTTCAGCCGGCGTTGGCGCAGAAAGGGCTTCCGCGTTCAACATTGTGAGCTGGCCGCCACTGCCGGATGGAGTGGTTGAGGCCTTAAAACGCAAGTTTCACCCGTTGTTTTAGCAGTGAGTTAAAGATTTGGCTGCATTGAATATATGGAGGAGTGACTATGCGCAAAAGAGAGAAGGTAAAAGACAGTACCTTTCTTTGCAGATACCTATTTCGTACGGATGTCTGTACTTGGAGGCGGCACAGTTTGCGGCTCCCGACGTGCAAACCTGTACAAACGGGTATTCAAACGATATGAATCATTGAATACCTTGCAAGTACATTGGATGCGAGCTAGAAACGGACTGCTAGTCATGTAGGGAAGATTGTGATTTCTGCGACGGCTTGTGCCGCAGGTGACCCGCCCCAAGGCACTTCAGAACCTGAGGGATTTCGTTCACACTTGGGAGAAACCGTTCCTAATTTCGCTTGTCTTTTAATGAATAAAATAGGTGAAAGAAGATAGAGAGAAGGCAATGAAAAGAAGGCCACAAACAGAGCCCCTAAGTGAGTGCGCTGACCAACGGTGCTGTAGTGTTGGCAACTGCCATTTATCCCGCTGCGAATAGGCGCACTGGTCTGCACAATGTGACCCGCCAAAATATTCTTATATCTTTCCTCTTCCAATTCGATTATTTATTACATTTGGTTCCACTGGGATGGTGAGGGATAGCTTCCATCCCTTTTTCTGAGTGCAACTTTCGACGACATACCACGTAAAACACGTCATCAACGGCCACCCACAAATAAGTGTGGTCAAGCAGATGCGAGCAGATGCTCCCACGTAAAATAAGATTTTATGCATACAGCCCATTAACTACTAAATGCAAATGTTCGACTTTTGGTTGCGGCTGCTACTTTGGCAGAACTCACCAGCGTTCCGATCCAGACCGAAGTCTGCCACTGGTGAGCACTATGAGACCAGGAGAAGAATTTTGCCAAATCTAGTTTCCTCAACTTTAAACCTTTGTCGCTTTATCTCAAAGGATTCAGTACTTGTAAAGCAGCAGCTTTGCAATTGACTTGTCTCCTGGGATGCCCGAATGGACACCAGCACGTAAAACGGCAGTCAAAACTTTTAAACATGCTCGAATGCACGCTAATACACATGTATAGCCCTCACCATCGCCTTTTGATTTCAATTTCCCGCGTGCAGGTGCAAGAATATCAGAAGGGTTGAACAGAGTAGCAACATCTGAGCAATCAGGGCAATTGTACGTGGTCACACATGCTTGGCGTACGGGCTCGCAATACACACTTAAGCTGCTTGAAAATAATGCTCAATAAGTTGGTATCAGGATAGCCTAACTGAACACGTAAATTTGAACAACGTAAAGTGTACATTTGTAATGCTTTTACTAAGTTCTCTGTAGGGAGACACTTGCCAACAGACCCAATACAAACTTACTAGAAAGCTACTTCAGTGGTCCTTGCATAAAGCTCGTCTTTTTCTGCATGCGCCATTCAGGATTCTAACATGAGGGGAGGGGGATACCTAGGATGTGCGCGGCTGCGGCGCAATTCAAGCATGCACAGCTAGCTGCGCAGCGTTTCTAGAGCAGACGCACAGAATAGTGCACCCTTTCGTTCCAGATTAATGATACTCTGCAATTACAAGGAATTCTGCCTGAAAAGCCGATACTTCAACTCATTTTAATCTGTAGTTCGCATGAGTAATGTGGTAGAACGTGTTAGAGAACGATTAGCGTTCCAGAAGAAGCATCATTAATTATGAACGATGTGGCCACTCTTCATGGTAATGATTCATCATAAAACCAAATTATCAGCTTCCCGATTCGATGATAGATATCCCATATTTGACGTCAGGAGAGCCTGCAGCTGCTTTTATGGATTCATCGTTTACTGCGGGTGTTGTATTAACTCTCCTTTAATCTAGTGACTTGTCCAAGGGGAGCCTCGATAGCTAAATAGTACACGCATACTTTGTTCTTAAGACTAGTGGCTTACGGCTTACACGTGACTCCGTAAACGCTCAAGAATAGAGCTCTTTGAAGCTCACTAGTAGGAGCAAAGATAGAAAGCCACCGTACATGCTCAACGCGAGCTTAAGAATCCAGGTCGTCCTGTACTATAGACCGAAAGCTGATCGTTGACAGAGCAGTTAAATCAGGAGAATAATTCAAGAGCGCCCCTGCCGGATTTCCCATGAAGATAGATGCCGTAGGCGCTTCGTGTCTAGTTAGATCTTTTCTCGCTTATTGTTATCTGGGATCGAGCTTGTATGAGTTTCCTCAATCAGTAGACCAGAGCGCCTTGGTTACTGTGCATGCAGAGAACAAAAAATACGTATCCTGCAGAAAAGCTTATGCGGTTCTCCATCTATCAATTTACACCTCCGCTAGAGTCCAGAGTCCTTTGTGTGCTCTTGTTGCATATACAACGGATGCTCGCTGCCAGAATCTGGGGATGGCAAAGTTGTAAGAATCTGAAGTAGAGATAGTGATCCACCACAAAATGACTTGCCCACTGGTGCATTGGGTACGAGCTGCCTGCCTTCTTTTGCTTGTTTCTCCATGCCTCAGGGAATAAGTGGGACAGCAACAGTGATAAAAGCAGTTTGTTGAGCATACAGAAGGCGAAAATCAAAGGTGGTGCAAAAGCATTGCATTGCTACCGCGGACATACACGGCAAGCACTAAAAAGGTATGTAACGCTACCGCGTTGGGGGTGAAGACAAACGTTCTGAGTGTTGGTCTTCTCTCCATCCTTGTGAGCGAGTAGCCCCGCCGATACAATCAAAATCAATAAATTTTAAAGACCCCTTCGACCACCAAATAACATGCATCTGTAGTGCGCTGAACAAGTAGCCTGAAAAACAATCACACAGACAGGTAAGCGAGCAAATAATCAGCAAAGCATAGCTACATACAAAAAACGCCCCACACCACAACAGATGACGTATTATTTGTATGCTGACCTAATGTAGTGTTTTAATTTCCACCCCCGGCAGAATATCTCTGCAGTAATGCATCAGAACCTGTAGCAGCAAGCAGCACCGCTAGAGACGGCTAATCCATTCACATGCTGGTACGCTAATACTCACGAGCAATGGCTTACCCACAAGGCCGACACAGCAGACGGCATTGAGCGCAGATATATACCCTAAGAGCGCCCAACAGGCATTGCAGAGAATGCCCATCAACACCAAGGGCAGCGGTAGGCAGTTGTGAGACTTCGCTCGTATCATGAAGCACTGAGAAACGAAGAATGAAGCACATAAAAAAGTGATGAACTCAAATTCATGCCGAAAGACAGGATATATGCAAAAAGACCTATCTGAGTGCTACAGAGAAAATTTTATTTTCAGGTTTTGAATAGTTCCCGCTAGATGCACAGAACCTGAATGCACAGATGCGTATGCGTATACTAGCTATGAGAAAGTCTTTATGCATCTGCATAGATTGGCTTAAGTGAATGCTGCCCTCCGATAGAATTATCCAGTGGAAAACCTAAATTGATTCAATGTGTAAGGATACGAATTACCAGTCTAGGAATGTGCGCGGCAAAGAGACAAAGGGATGCAGGGACCTGCAGCCACGCCACAAGGGCAACAGGGAGAAGCAGCAGGAAGAGGAACACTGGGGCCGTAAAAGCCAGTAGCATCCCCAAATACCGAAGGCAACACAACACTAAAACAGGAGACAGTGCACTGCGTGACTCCTGGTGCGAACGCCGTCTCTTTCTCAGTCTGCTGTTGCTGCTGCGCCTCCGGTTGTTACTGCTGCGATCAGGTTCTGTTGATAGGTTGGTGCTACTATTGTTCTTGGTCCCTTCGCTGCTGCTGTCGCCGCTGCTAGGCCGATTGAGATAATTGCTCACACTTGCGCTGCGGTGCAAGGATGAATCAGATGCGCCTGTATTTGCAACCGTTCCCTTGGAAAGTACGTATCGATCCCCGACTAGTGCTGCAGCAACACTTGGATGCGGTTTTTGCGGCTGCACAGGCCTCTTGTGCCGGGTGGCTGCACCCAAGCCTCCTCCTTTCTGACGGGGGCTCAAAGCAGCTCCCACTGTTGAGGCCAAAGGACCTCCAAGACGAGGACTCGAGGCAAAGTTTAGCCCCGATTTGCTCTTAGCGATTCTTTGAAGGCCTCTCCGCTGGAGAGAGCTAAGAGCGCCCCTAGGAGAATCGGTGACAGTGGGATTCGCGCCCGCAGCGCTTTCCAACCGCACCGAGGGTCTCGCAAGGGTCCCTTCATCTGTAAATGAACTGATAGCCATGCCTCGGGATTCTGTTTGCTCCTGCGATGCTGAGGCCCACACTGCCATCCAGCATAGCTCTGCCAGGAGACCTAAACAGCCAAGAACAGGGAGTGACAGTACAGAAAAATCAACGCTAGAAAAAAATATAGTGGGAGTGACAGTTCTTCTGGAACACGACACGAGCATACAAGCAGCAAGAGAACAACGCCAGTAGGGCAACTCAAGCAGCGAGCGGCAGCCAAAGCACCAGGTGCAACATGTGCGACAAGCCTTCCGCTGGGGGAAGCTTGTGCAGCAAGCTCGGCAGCAGCAGTAAGCCCAGACCAGCCCTGGCACGTATAATACGAGCAAAAATTACCTGTTGCATTGGTAATCAGGATGGCCTTGCTATCTATTTGCATTCCGTAAACTATTGCCACAATACACGAGACGGCCTGAGCAGTGAATACACCGATGGGGAGACTGCTTACGTCTCCCTCATTCAGTGCCTTGTGGGCTGCATTAGCAGGAGAGAAGAACAGCAGCACAGCAGCAATGGGGGCAGCAATCTGTAGAACTCTCATTGCACTCGCTGCCTTGAGTTCCAGCAGAGATGCAGTCGAGAACAAGACACAAAACCACACTGCGAGGGTGCCTAATAGCCGGCACCAACCGATGGCCTCCTTCCACCGTCGCCGTGTCGCATTAACTGCAGCAGTTGCTGCTGCGTGTTTCCCCTCCCCTCCAGCGCCACTGTGCACACTTTTCTGCACACACTGCACGTCCAAGGGCTCGGGGGTGTTTGAAGCAATCCAGCTGCTAGAGGGCCCCATGGCCTCAATCGGAAGTTGGGGGGAAGTGATTGAGAGGCCACCTGATAGACCTCCTGGGGACCCCGCATAGCCTGTACTCCACATAAGATACTCTTTCTTGTTCTTTGTATTGGACATCTCAGAAGGGATTGCTGTGCCGTCAGTGCTCCCAGGCATGAAGACCATGGGGGTCATTGGAAGCCTTGAGCTGGCTGTAGCAAAATGTGGATCAGCCAGTGCAGGCTCAGAGGCCACAGGGGAGGTACCATGAAGGCCCCCATCATAGGCGGAGCCGCTGATAGCACTGACACAGGAGCGTGTACAAGCCGCTCCTAATGAGGCGGATATTGGCTCTGCATGACTCATAGACATCGAAGTCCGGGCAGCGGCTGGGGTGCTGGAGAAACAAAAGCAGTCCCTGTCTCGTGTTTCAGATGGAGGCAACGTAGAGGGATTTCCCTGGGAGAACAGGTGAAACAACACCGGTAAGGACCCTCCTGGTGACAGAGAGTTCCCGACTGCGGTGCCCTCCTCAGAGCTTTGTCGTAGTGGCGAGTCTGCACGTTCGTGCATAGCCTCCAACACCAAACCATTAGGTTATTGACCATCATGCAATAATAATCAATCTCGAAGGGCTTATGTGAGGCTCCATGGGCCATTGGGAAAAAGTGTGGATTAAACGTGCGTTCTGTGATTGCTTACCACGCAGTTGCTGGTCTCGAGAATCCACCGACGAGTGAAGCATGAAGTCCTCGTGGGAACTGTCCTGTGCGTGCTGATGCACCGTAAGTGAGATCGAATCTGGCTGCCCTCCTGAGCTCTGGGGTGTATCTATGGCAACAGGAAGAGGTACCCCAACAAAGGTGGGAAGGGGAGCGATGGGCAAGGGCGCAATCATTTCGTTCTGGTTAATGGCTTCTTCCTGCAACTGCTGCAGCAAGGGGAAGGACGCGGGAGCCGAAGGGCCTAGCAGCGTAGAATAATGGCTTGCTGCATGCGGGGGTGCCTCGCTCCGCTCTGGCTGTGGCAAGACTTCGTGAGGTAACGGCACGTGCTCTAGGTCTACCGGTCCTTGGCATTGCAGGGGCCCTGGGAGTGGCATAGAGAGAGATTGGAGAGTAACTGGCTGTAGACGCGGGCGCCTCGTTGACTCATTGCGTTGCCCACTCTCCCCTTGCCGCAACGGCTTCTGCTCTGCGACTGTCTGCTGCATTCTTTGCTGTTGCTCCGGCTGCACCAGTTCGTGCTGAAGATCCAAGATGCTCTGAGATATATAAGGGTGTATGGAATCCATAGGAGTTTATGTTCGATGTAAAGGACTCGGTATAGCATACGAGCTACTGCCAATGCAAGTTCCTTTCCCTTATTGAGTTGCTGCCTAGCCGTTCCTCTCGGGAGGGAGTGAAAGCAGGGCAGCCTCCCTTCAGGATTCAGACGAGGACAATTTGGATTGCGAAGGCCCCCGTTTCCCAATGGACCATCTGCACGTTGACATGTCGTGCGCTGGCAAGCAAAGGAAAAACTGATCCGCTGATGCCATATTAGGGCAGCCAGCCTCTCTCTGCGAGGCCCGGCTGGGGTATTGCATGAAATAAAAAAGCTAGAAGACTCCTCAATAACTAAAGGGAGGCTAAGTTTGGACATGTGTTCTATGTTGTTAGGTCGTGCTTGCAGACCCGCTGTGGTAGGTTGTGCACAGCATGCAGGCACTGCAGATGGGAGCGAGTAAAACTGGGTGCCAAACGCTGATCAAAAGGCATAATTATGGAAAAGAAAGTTTATTTTCGATAGTTTCATTCTTTTCTCTCCCAGCAAACAATGAGTTCATTAGGACGAAGGAATGGCACTGCGATAGTAGGTGGCCTACTGGTAAATCCATTGATACACATGGGCTAGGCGGTTCCAATTTAGCGTCACAGAAAATTAGAGGCGCAAACGGTTGTATTTTCTCCAGTATGAATTCTTTGTTTGAGCGGCTTTAGACTGTACTATAGTCACGCATTCTTATTACAAGACAAGCGATATTAGAGCGTGCATTGACCCCTAGCAGGCACGGAGACAAAAAGCCCTGGTAGCTTTATGAGCAACTGAGAGGTAAGTACTGTGTAGAGGCCGTATTCAAAATCATGTTTTAGGTATGCAAGTATAGCCTTCGTCAGAGTTTCATGTTTGTTCTTATTCGTGCTATAAGATCTTCTCAGCATGAACGAGGGTGGGTTAGTCTGCAAACGAAGAGCAAGCAATGGGTTTTGTACTATGCTATCAGCACTAAGCTATTGCACTTGGACTACCTTACACTACTAAGTGAAATCTTAGAACGGAGTGCATAGTTTGAGTGATAATGTATTCTTTTTTGTTGGGCATCATAGCTCGCAATAACGACACACAGTGTGGCGGAGAACACATCAAGACCTCCGTACTTTCGAGCGTGTTAGCAAAATTTGATTAAAAATTAGCTTAGAGCTGACTATGATTTGTGTGTCTGTTCAATTATCTTGTCTGTTGTAGAATACCGATATCTCGATACAACGAGAGGGAATGCTGTGTGTGCGTGCCGTAGATGCAAAGTGCATAAAGGTGTGAATGCTCGAAGTGCCTAGAGTGCAGTGCTGCAGACGTAGCTGTCGTTTTCTTTCCACGCTTAGAAATATAGGGGCAGAATAAAAAAAGACAGTAACTTTGGGAAGCAAAAACCTTTTTATACGACCGTATGGAGTCTGGCATTACCTTTGTCCCCATGGAGACATTAGATGAAGCACTACACATGGTTGCATCGCAAGGTTCACTGAAGCTGTTTCCTGCTCATCCGCTGGCTGTGAATGCAGCGAAAAATTTAGGTTTTGTGACCATAACTCTCCGCCTAGAATCTTCGTAGACAGAGGCATAAATTCAGACTCAATTCAAATGCAAGTAAGGTAATGAATGATTTTTGAGGGAATTCGCACATTCTTTGCCCGTGCATTTCCTGATATGAGGAGCAAGAAGCAAAATAAGATACACATATTTCACTTTTTAAGAACTCCCAGCTTTCACAACCCGTCACGCATTGCATCGAGTGCAGATGTACACCGCATAATGTCTTGTTAAGTCAAGCCAAGAGTACAATGCGATAAAGAAGGTGGACTGCTAGACAAGCTAGTCATTTACATTTTATCTAAGCATTGGTTTGATACCACTAGTGCAGTAGAAGCTGCCATAGTATAGCTTAGTCCGATGGCTTGCCTGCCCCTGCTTCATGTCAAAAAGCAGACGCTCTCATGTTTCTTACCTATGCTCCAACAGCAATTAAGTGCAGGAAATCGGAAGGGCTTCCGCCCTACCGACACTTCTCAAGCAGACAGAAACAATGCAAACAGTACAAAAAATGAACTAAGAGAACGAAGTCGACGTATTTGACACAAAATTAGCCAACAACGAACGAGGGACAGAGCCAACAGGAAGGCGGTGGGGCGATGGCTCGCCGTCGTCGGGCCATTCGGATATGTGAACTTCTTGCTACGGGACAAGAGAGCAAGCAAACGGAGCAAAAGAAATAAAACACCACACTACTCGGCAGTGCCTCCGCACCTTATTAAACAATATATGTGTGCAAATACAGCCAGTATGTGCAGATGTGTCTATTTTCAAAGCCCCAGGAAAGGCATAAGGAGGCATGTTGGAACAAAATAGCTTTGAGTGCTGGTATATAAACACTATGAGAGTAGAAAACACCTGAACCAAAATAACAGCAACTTTATACAGCTTTATCAGTCTCCGTATATCAAGGTGAGAAATTCCAGGCAGAACATGCAGGAGGAAAGGACATTTGCCCAGAAACGAGAATAATTCAATCCATGCCTACCAGCATTGTGCACCAAGGAAATCCGCGCTTTCTGCCGCAGGCAACCAAACCCGCAACTACTTTTCCGTCAGTTACTGGGGTTGGCATTCCTTATTCCCTTGAAGTATCGACTCCCATCTAATGTATTCTCATCCCTCAATAGCTCTAGAATCCAGCACATTTATTGCTGCCTGCTCAGCCTCAGCCTCCACACGGATCACCTCTATGTGCCGCACAGCTTGCAAATTATGTTGGGAGGTTCGATTACTTTTTTGGAAGCAAATATTGAGGGCTTCGTGGCGCCTTCAACTTTTAGGACAACCGACAGGGTAAGAAAGGGCATTGATTCATAAAGCATAATAAAAAGTGGTTCTATACACCTATCGGCAGCCTTTGTCTTTGGTCACCTTCTGGTACACTTCGTAAAGCCTGCTCATTCACCAAGACCAAATCTTTAGCCTCAAAATAAAGATCAGACCATCGCTTATCCTATTTGCGCATTTTTCTCTTCTTAGTGTTGAGCATACATTCTTATGCACTACCCAGCGTTCCCCTGCAGCCATCGTGAGTTATGGGTGGTTGCTGACACCTGGACCACTGGGTCGAAGCCCAGATCGAATAGGGGCTCCTCAGGGTAGAGCAGGGATGCAGAAGAACAACGCATAGACAAATGCAGCGCTGTTACTTAAAACCATTCAGTACAAGGGAGAGACTCAAGCTAAGCACTTGGACTCGTCTACGCATAGAGTCGCTGGTACTGCAGAGGTGTGCAGTGCTGTCTGCAACTGCCTCAAGGCGGTTCGCGAAGGCCATAATATCGTCAACGTGGTTTAATGCAGGCCACTTTAAGATGCAGGCCAGAATGCACTAAAGAATTTCACACCCTCATCTGTAATATTACTCCTGGAGCTCTGGTGGCATTTAATTAGTCACATATAGGTGATTGGGCTGCACGAACCGTAACAGAACTTCGGCAATCAAGTAAATAAAGTTATGTGTGGATTCTGCGTACAACGACATAGGTGCCAGCCTGACCCCTGACGTAGGGCGATCCAGAAACGAAATCCATGCTTAAAGCACTCCACCTTCACGAGGTAACCCGCTTTCTTCGCAGAAGGACGTGAGACTCACCATGGTGGAATAGCTCCCACGGCCCTTTTGGTGCCCTGGGATGCGTCCCGCAGCATACACTGTCATGCCCACGTTGTGTGCATTGCCTGCAAGACATAATCCTGTGCTTTCTGTAAAGCAACTTTTTGGAACGAAATCGGAATGCACGGGAGACAGAATCCATGTTTTGTTTTCCTCACAACGGGCCATCCTCAATGTGGTGGTGCTTTACCCTTTTGGACTTCTGAGCTTTGGCAATATGTGATACATGAGTGTCAGAAGCATGAGATTCTCGCAATTTTGATAGGAACGGTGAATTCGCACAGCTGAGACCGGCTGTGCTACACAACAGTGATTCTCTGGATCGTCGCGAGAGCCCATCGGGGAGCACGTTGATGATACCTTTTTCGTACTTAATTGTACAGTAGTAGTGCAGACAGCACTCAAGCCAGCGAACCACTCAAGCGGCATGAAAGCTTCAATAGCCCCTTGCCAGGTACTCTATAGACTGATGCCAGTCTGAACAGGAAGACGAGACCTATATGACATAGTGCCTGCAATTTTCACACCCCATCATACCGCATAGACTCCCTTTTCGCGCACTGGATCACGCTGCACAGTTTTGATGAGTTGATGAGAATAGCAAGCAGTCAGTGCTCTAGATTACCCATAGCCTGTTGGCAGGGTAGTGCGGGGGCTATGCTGCTTGCAATGTATCTTTGGAAGCAGTGACTCTAGTAATCAGATAGTGCAAGTACCAGAGGAGTGGTAATTCATGGACTGCAGTCGTGAGAGCATCGATCTGATCAAATTCAGAAAGCGAATTTCAGCTGTAAGACGCAAGTTTACAAAACTTCTCAATGCCTTTGGTGGGTACATCCAGGATGAGAGTACGTTTTCTGGCTTAAATATTGACCGGATCTGATTCCCTTCGTGCAGCCGGAACGAGTATTTCTAGAAGCACAAGTATTCCCACGAAAAGAGGACAGTTGCGTGCCTTTGCATGCCTCTAGTTGTCGTGCAGTAGCTGAAGTGTACGCTGTTGTGTTTTAAGTTCTTGTATGTTTGGAATCATGCCAAATACGTTGTTCATGTGGACAACCAACAAACCCTTCTCAAAACACTCACAAATAGCCAGGAAAACTTGGCGCTGCAGCTAAGCACAGGCCTTATCAGGTTTAAATGGCACACCTGCATACTCGAGTTTGCGCTTGCGATCGTGAAACACTGTTTGGGCCTAGCATTAGGTTCGAACCAGGATTTGTCTGACAGCATCAGTGTGGAGCATGGAGCTTGTGAAGGAATTCGGCAGTATTAGGCGTCGAAAGCTTCTGCACTACAGTAAACTTGCTGAAGGCTCAAAGCTAACTCATATGCGTCAGCTTCCGTCCTGTTTCGGCAGCAGCAACACCAGGCTATGGCTAAATGGACTGGGTAATGCTTGTATAATGCCACTTCCAAGTGCTCAACCGCTTGCGGCTCAATGTGCTCTTCACGCTGTAAATGATTTTGCTACCCCTAAACATTGTTCAAGACTAAAATGGTGTCTAGGTTAATACGATGCGCTGGGATACCAAGAGGAGGCCAGCCTGCTGGCAGCTCATCATTGTCTAGCACGGCCGTAAACTCCTGCTCGACATTTGCATATTTCTGGTGTCTCCTCACTGACCACTGGACAGCGTTTCTTAATAAAGAGCGTGTTGCAGAGCCACGAAGACGGCGTGTATGCTCAAAACCTTCACTTCCAACCTTGCTGAGGGGCCCGAGTCAAGTGTATGACTTACTTTGTTGAGGTATTGAATCTATTCTACTCACCATAGGTAAAACGAGGGTCACTAAAGAGACACGAATGTAGTTCTGCTTGGGGCTACCTGTTTCACTAACCTCCAGAATGCGCAGCTATGGCCGCATGCCCGCCTCTCACTGGGCCCCTCATGGCATTCCTAATCACGCCGCGGTGCACAGGTCCAGCACAAGGGTCATGGACCATGATAGGACTCTATTCCATTAATAAGTAGCATTTAACTGCCTGTGGCTTACTGATTCTTGTCCTCTGTTCCCTCTTAGCGAGAATGAGCCGTTGGGAATATGCTGGCGAGTGAACAGGCAGAGTGCACTTCTGCGCCGCCTTCTCGTACAGATCCATCTTAAATCTAATGCCAAGTATCCACTCCATCGATTCTTTCTTATAATACGAGCTTATATTAAGCCAATATTGATCACTGGTGGCTCCCAAGTGCAGCTCTTTCGTCTAAAGCCCTTTTCATTGCGACGTAGCCTGCGTGGAAACTTTTCATCCCCCTAATGTGCGTTGGTTGCCCGCCGAACAGCTTGCTTCAACTGGCGTAGTCCCCTTATTCAAGCTCTCGCCTTTTGTACACGTTTGCCTGTCCAAATCGAATAACACGATTTCCCTCTGAAATGCAGCTGCGTTGTTGAAGACTGTCGGGGGCTACTTAAAATCGCGGATTTTCTCTGGACTAGTGTGTTTGTATAATCTCAGAGTGTAGGTTAGGCCCAGTCGGCACAGGCCTGGCCCAAAAGATTTTAGGCGCCAGTTTGACTCTTTGTTGAGTCAAAGACTCACAAGTCGTGCTCGTTTTGTCCTCAAACCTAAAGATGCCCATCACTTGCACGAGACCCATATGCTGATTTATTCGCTGAGTCCTTGCCCATGCTGCGGCCACCTAACATCACCCTTCGGGTATACCCGAGAAAAATCATTCATAGCGCAGCTGTTCGTCTACGCTGTGGCTTTTTCCGGGGAAACTTCATTTTCCTCTATGCAACGACTTATTGATAGATTCTTTTGTTTCAGCTCTCCACCGGCCCCCAAAGCTTGCTGTGAGCTGACCCTATAAGAGCCTATGAGCCACGGCCTGTATGAACGTTTGAACGATTGTAATTCGTTTAAGCAAGCGACCACTTCTCCACCAATAAGCCGCCAATTAAGGATTTCGTATTTTTAAAAATCCAGCAAGGTACACTATTGTCCCTTCGGCTAGCGATACAAAGCAAAGTGTATCGCTGGGCAGCACATGAAAATTTCCAGTTTTCAACCGTCTTTGCAGCTTACATACTTTTTTGGTCAGCATAACATCATTTACGTAACGTATCCATCAGCATTTGAACGGCTGAAAAATACTGCCTTTTTACCACTTGTGAGAAACTCCGTTTAGAAAAGCTTGCAGGCTGACCTCTGGCGCACCCAAAGGCGTTGCGCCACTGTTGATTTTTATCGCCAGAAGGCATTTTTCAGACTACTGTACAAGAAAGAGCTATTGCTATGCCTAAATGCTATTCAAAACCAGGCAATAAGTGTAGGGAAACCTGGTCTCCCACTGCACACACAGCAAGTGGATAAGCAGGGAACAGCTGCATAAAGCATACGTATTACCAGCATTATGTCTCCATCTATGGCGTCTGTCCGATGATACGTGACTCCAAAGACCATACAGACTTAAAAGAATTCGGAGTGTTCTCCAGAAAAATTTTACATTCCCTGGACATGCCCCGCAAAGTTCTTTGCACAGGGATGGAGGGCCAGGTAAGGCGAGCGTAGCTGCATCCTCTACACAGTCTGAGCATTCACATGTAATTGTACATAGCATCTAACGCACACTCACACAACATGGCATCTTGTTGTATCAAGGTTATTGTACTGAAACAAATAAAACATACGCAAAGCCATACCGATATCTCGATTCTTTCCAAATTCGTAGAGTAAGTTTGTGTAGCAGGAAGTGGAAAAGTGTAGTTTAGCCCTCTACCAATTAAAACGGTGCGTATTAATAAATATGACCTAGGAGCAATCAGAGACAGATCGAAATGAAGCGTTTAAAGAGTAAGAAACGACTTCAGCAGCAGAATAGGTGCCTAGGGAATCCAGTCGGTCTTACTTTAAGAATTGAAGATAATGGAATAGAACCATCTCGAATGTTCAAAAGCCACTCGGCAACGTGTAATTCGTCTTGATGGATGTGAGCATGAGCCACCAGCAAGCCGATAACTCTGTCTATCTAGCGCGACCGGCGTGTGGTGGTTCACCTGATTGGCCTTCGCAAAACTAGAAATTTGCACAAAGCCATAGGCAATGGCGCCTTGCATCTCAAACGCCTTTCTCCACAGCCCCCCTAAGTAGGCTAGTTTAAGGGTCATCATACTGTCTGTTTCTATATACTGAATAAACGGCCTTCAATCATGGACCCTGCTGAATCTTAGTCGCTAGTCACTCCTTGCTGCTCACACCTGGCCTCAACCGTGAAGGCTTGCAGTCAGTGCCGCTTCATGACTGCAGCTGTATACCCAAGCCCTGATGCCACATTATAGGAGGCCAGTTTCGCATACAAAGTTCCCTCTTGAAAAACTTGGGCGACCGGCCCAATGTGCTTTGTAATTTTCAGTTGAAGAGGGACAAGGCATGCCTTTGAAAACCTATCAGCTCTGCGTGTACTAGAAACATGAGATTTCACAAAGAACATTCCAGAGTGGGTTGAAGTGCAGGCACGAAACCAGCTGGCCCATAACGTTCCGTGCACATCAAAAGAAATTCTCCTCTTAGCCCACACAACTACGAGTAGACGCTAGCTTCGTTAATGTTGATGGTTAGCCTTACCCTCAATTTTGCGCATTCATAACAAGTTGACACGCTTCAATTTTTGCTTTTGTTCAGCTTCCCATTTTCCAATGCATAGCGAAGGCCATCCATCGAGCACTGGGGCCAACAACTTTTCGACGGATATGTGGGGCTTCGACAGGGGAATCCCTCTAAGAGATACCACACCAGGTTTACCACTCTGTTCGATTACATTAAATAAGGCCTAAAGATTGGTCAAACTCTTTTGCTTTCAATACAAGTCACCAACATTAAGAAGCTCGTGATGCATATACGCTACCATTGACAATGACACTTACACTGACATCTGGTACTTGCTAAATATTGCATCCTGGGATTTCTTGGTGGCATTTATCTAGCGTATAGCTGTACCGTTGTGACTATTTAGGTTTTCTGTAATGGCTCTGCCACATCATCGGGAACAGGCGAGGCCACAGCTGAAGAAAAAAAGCGTAGACGGCAAACAAAATGTGGTGGCCGAAGCTTCCGCAGCGAAGCCTAGCTCTCCCTATGCCCCAGGAAGCTTAACGGCCATGCTTAATTCAGCGGCGGCTGCAGGTGTCTGCACAAGCCCAGGGGCAGTGCTCGCTGGGTTCAAACGGAAGGGGCTGACTCCGAATACTGGAAAGTGTAAAAAGCAGCTGGCGGAACATTTGGCAACCGAAGCTGATGGACTGGAAAAACTGAGGGCCTTGTTTGACAAGGCCCCGGAGAAGCAGCACACAAAATGGCAATGCACCGAAGGGAGCTGCACAAACAGCAGCAAAAATTCCGTTGCCATTGAAACTCTTGTGGAGGAGCCCGAAAATAGGAATTCTACGAGCTTTGGTAAGTGGTTTAGTGCAACTGCTGACTCCTCCTCCTCTCAAAATAATAGGCGGTTGCGTGTGTTTTTGCTATTTCCTTGCGCCTTCCTTGCTGGTTCCCTGCAAAGTATCACCCAGCGCATGGGTGCTTGCAAGCCCGCCAGCCTAATACTTCTTGTGCATATGAGCCGATGAACATTTACACGTATGTTGCTTTCTGCAGTTCCCTATTGGTGGGCTTGACAAAAGGCTGGTAGAGGCAGCTAGGGTTGTTGATTCAATGTGGTCGTTTTTTTTTGGTGGTTGCTGCAGCAGTACGGATTCGGACCACCAGATCAGCACTGCAGTCCGCTGTGGCTGCATCTACTGTTGCTCCTTCTAAGAAGAGAAAGATGCGATCATCCAAAGCAGCAGGAACGGCAGAGGTTTCTAGCGGTAGCGAATCAGATGGCACGGTCGAAGAGGTTCTAGCCCAAGGAGGACAAAAGGAGGCACAAGAGACGCGTGAAGACAAGCAACGACGAACATTATTTGTCGGAAACCTCCCGGTTAGGGATGCCTTTAAGCCTATTGAGCTGTACAGACACCTTGGACTCCAAAGAGCGCAAGTCGAGTCGGTGTGTCCAGCTTCTTCTGCCGCTGCAGTTGGCGCTGCAGCTGGGCTTATGTCACCACTGCTACAGACTAATCGGTTTTCATTTCTTGTTATTGTAGGCCTCTCCTGTTCGTCGATTAGGTAGTATGCTGCCTCGAAACACATGCATAATTTGTTGTGCTGTTTTATAGCGTTTGTGTATGGCTCTGCATTCTTACAGATGCGGCTTCGCTCAGTGCCGGTTGCCGTGGGTTTCCAAAGGTGTCGCCGCGCAGCAATTGCGAGAAAAAAGTTCAGCGTACGTCATAGCTCTCTCACTACTCCCGGTGCAGTAGCCTTGAAAGGCTCTAGTGCTTCTGACACATTTACTACGGCCGTTGCTAGATATGCTCCTGCTGGTGCTGTCATCGCCAGTCCTGCAATCTGCCTCCAGCAATCCATCTGGTGCTCATCTTGGCTCTCGCCGTCTTCTAATAGTGTTATTGAAGCGTTTTGCGTTTAAGGGTGGAGGTTTGGGGGTTCGTACTATTGGCATTTGTTTCAGTCATGCGACGTTCAAAACGCATATTTGGTGTTGAAGGATAGAGGCCTCGTAGAGGATGTTATACAGAGAAAGGTATGGAGCCCTCACACCGTTGATTTTGGGCTAATGTGTCTTAAAAATGGAAGCATTCGGCATGCATTGCACGGCAAGAAGCCATCTGCCTCTCGCTGCGTCTCGTCCTGCTGTCTTCTGATTTGCTTTGCCTCCTACGTTCGCAACTTGTCCCTTGCCGTTGCACTGGCATGGTGTATGCAACCTCCTACTGAATAGTCTCTAGTATGATCTTTTAACCTTGGATCCGCAGTTGTTGGTTCGTGCGCAAGTCCCGTATTGCGTGCGATGTCGCCTTTCAGGTGGACCTGTTCAAAGGCCGGGAGCTGCGGCTAGATGGCGCCTCACGCAGCGAGTTTTCACTTTTTGATAGAAAACGCTCAGTATTCGTTGGGGGCGTGCCAAGGGAGGCAGCAGAGACAGACCTTAAGGAGGCTCTTGCCTTTTTCGGGCCCGTGCAGAGTCAGACGAACACAACCAGTGAAACATGTATAGCCTGCAAATCTATAGTTCTGTGGTTGTATATACACTCCGATGTTACTACACAGGTACTATTCATTTGTGGGTGTGGAAAGGTGGATAGGTTCCCTTTTGCATGTATCTGCGCTCTGCATTTCTAGCGTTGAAGCCTTGGTCTTCTCTCTAAGATATACTTTCTAGTGTATGCGTATTTATCCACGCGCACTTACTGCTCAGTATATGTACAGTACGAACCGTCAGGAACTTCATGCCCATTGCTCTCGGTATTCCCCGCGTGCTTCGTCTCTAGTGGCTGTGTCTGCAAGCACTAGCACATTTAACCTAGTACCTAGATTTACGCTAATGCATAGGAATGCCGTTCATGCAAAATTACTATGGTAGAAAAGCACGCAACGGGTACATGAGAAAAGATGGGAGGATAGGAGGACCGTGTGATTGTCAGCACCGCACGCGAACCCCCCGTGCAACATTCTAGAAACCGGTTGTCTTGCAATACTTTGTGCTGCGCTTTGCTGTGTTCCTCCAGAAACTCGCATTCTTCGCAACAGACTCACTCGCACCAGTTTGGGCGTTGGCTTTGTCTGCTTTGCGGACAGGGGTGCCGCCACTAAGGCCCTGCTCGCAGGGACGTGCACTATTCTAGTGAGATGGCACAGGCATTACGCATGGAAGCCTTATTCTCTTAGGGCTGTCCCAAAGCATGCATCGAGCTGGCGATCGAAAATGGCTGTGCGCGTTGTTTTGAAGCTGTGACCAGCCGAGTTGTCTGAGTGTGCAGTTCCTATACTTCGGGTGTAGTTTTCTGTATATGGTGGGTACTGCAGCCATACCTTTTGTATCAAATAGTGGAATGTGGACGCGGGGTTTGAGCGCGCAACGTTTATTTGCTCATTTGTCTCCTACTTGCTTTCTGCAGGGCCGGTCGGTCCGGCTCATGCGGGCATTGGCTGAGGAGGAGTGCAGAGCCCAACAGGAATCTAAACAAAAATCAAAAGGCAAGGCAGCCCTATCCCATGCATACATTCAATATCTCTGTCTATCTTTGTTCCCTTGGAACTCAAGGCTCTCTCTTACATACAAGCCTTCTTCCATTCCTTTCCAGCTTGACAAGAAAGAGCCTCCTCTGTGACTCACATCTGTCATTTCATGCCGGCTACTCTTGGTGTGTTGCTCATTGTATAGTTCGCTTTGTGCTTTGGTTCATAGTCTGCTTTATTTGTTCCATTTACGTATCTTTTGATGTATCTGTTTATCATGTGTGGTCCCACAGGCAGGGCTAGGCTGCCTCCAGCCCTCCGACGGATTCTGGCTCGCAAGGTGATGATTCTTCCACCGCATATCCCCTGTTTATCAAATATATTCATGCTGTCTCCTTGCTGTTTTCTGGCTTTGTATCCCTTTCTGCAAGTTTAATTTCCTAGTCATCTTCTGACTTGTGTGTGTATTCTTCCAAGTGCTACCCTATCTGTGCTCCACCGCTCGTACCTCTGCCGTGCTCTGCGTCAATGTTACTGCGTTTCCTCAGTGCCAGTGTTGTAGCATATCGGTCCTTTATGCCTTTCTCCCTGAGTTTGTCTGCCTCTTTCTATGTGAGTTCACTGAGTTGTCATGTTTGTTTGTGTGTTTTCAAGGAACGCAAAATTCAAAAGCGACAAAAGTGCATGGCACTTATCGTCAATAGGGAGAGGATGCCGCTGCGGGCGCTGCATAAGAGGCGATGACCAGGCGCCTTCAACGCAACAAGAACCATCGTGGAAAGGACAGCAAATGTACTTATGGCAGAGATTGACCGAGTTATAGGGCGATAATGAAGTAGGCGCACAGAAAACAACAAATGCAGAGAGGCGCACGCAGGAAGACGCGCAGATGTAGAGACAGATAGACGGACGTCATATGGGAAAGGGCTCCCAACAGCAAAGTCGCGCAGAAAGTTTCAACTAGACTAGACGCGTCAGCCTCTCCTGTTTGCCCTCTGGTATCGCCAGAGAAACGAATGCGTTTAAGCTCGATTTTTGTTATAACACTAATTTTGTGCTCCTCCTCGGCGTCCCCTTTCGCCTTTCTGTGTGTTTGTAAGCCTGAATCCACTCCGCTGTTAGGCTGTTGTGTCTTCTTGGCTGGCTTTCTTTGCGCACATTTTAGGCCGTTTGGCTTACTAAGCGTTCTTGGTATAGCCGTCCTTGACGATTCAGTTAGGGGTGGGAGCATTGGACTCAATGCTATGAAGTTAGAACAGGCAGCCTAATAAGTGCCAGAGTGTTTCTCCACACGTGAGTATCTGGATGGCGGTAGAGGCACTGTTTGCACCTGCATTAGTCCTTTAGCCCGGCTACTTTTATAGGGACAAGGCTGGAATTTGTGCGGCGCTCCCGATACCCAGGAATTGTGAAAGGGCAGCGACATACTCATACTGCAATGGTAGAAGAATAATTCCAGCTGTAAACCAAAGATCGAACTGGAGCTGGTAGGGGACCGCCTGTGCCTGTAGCTCCCTACAAGCACAGCGTTCTAGCGTTACAATTGGACAGGACAGCTTTCAAGATGATGCTTCTAAAAACTGTTTATGGTCAAACGCAGACAGATCTGGTGAGAAGTAGTGTGTTGAACTCTGGATTCTATAAACAGTGCAAGACGGCCATTCTAAAGCTAACGAGGTACTTGAATGGGGCTACGCTACTCTTGGGCCATTCAGTTACAAGTTTACATGGAATTCAAAGTTTGAATCGGCTGTCCGTATACACTTTTAGTAGCAGAATACAGTTTGCTCAACATATGAAAAGGGTGTGTGTCTGTGCGGTAGATGCTCGGTGCGATTGGCGGCGGAGTAAGCTGTACTTGTACACTTTCTATCGCACTAGGCATGATCACCGAAAGAATTATTGAAGGCTTGAATAACTTGTTGGTATGGTCGTATAACTGATTTATTGCAAAGTACTGTCTTCTTGGTAAAAAAATCATTATTGTGTACATGCGCACTAGATGGTATGCTCAACTAGCTGCACAGCTTCTAAGTGTTTAAAGCGTGTAGCTACCTTTACGCTGGCTACCTCTTTTCTCTAATGCAAGGGGCTCTGAAGGTCACGGGCACGGTAAGGGTAACTATTGTGAGAAACACTCAGCGACTTTCTATTGAGCTGTTATTGAGTCAGGGAATAATTGTCTTCGTACGGTAACCTTAAATGAAGCAATACAACTGGTACCGCTGCAGAGTTAGAAGCAGCTTTTACCTGTTCATCCACTTGCTATACATTTACTGTGACGTCAGTTTACCAGCTTATTTGGTAGTTTGGCAATTTTTTCATTTACCAACTGGGTAGAAAGCGAAGAGTCCTTCTGGCGATGGAAGTAGGCGGTGGCGTAACGCCTGTTGGGGCGCCAGAGGCCAGCCTGGAAGCTGATGTAAACGCAGTAGTTCCACACTTGGTTGAATGACACTTTATATCAGCCGAAGCGCATGGATGTGTCAAAAAGGATTATTCTGACCAGAGCGATATCACGGGCGTAACGATGGGCAAAAAACTAGGAATCCATCTGCTATTTGGGGATATGCTTTTCTTTGAACTCCCTGAACTAATAGAAATGATAGCTCCTTGCGAAGTGTGCATTGGAGGGAGAATTTACCTCAAAGATGGATCTATTCATCCAGGGGTGGTCGTCTACCTTTAGGGATTACCATAGTCCGAGTCTTCATACACGCCCTTATTCAACGGTCTTGGCAAGGATCCATTCAACCGCAAGTTTTTGGCGACTTAAGCAAGCTGAAGAAATAATATTATCAGCAGCTTCGTGTAGCGGGAGCTCCGGAGCCTTGCTTTGCAACAGCCACACTGCAGACGAGCGACTGCCTGGTCAGTGGTGTGACTTGGGTATCGAACGTATGAAATCAGGTCGTCGCAGGAAGGGGGAGCGACTCAGGTATTAAAGATTTGCCCGGCAGGACATTTACAAATGAGGGATGAGTTGGGGCTCTCTCGCAAACGAGCACAAGCTGGGATTAAGGGAGGCATACCTTTACGCACCAGAAAAGATGTTGCAGAGTTCGATGGGCCTGTATCTTAAGACCAAAAATACACTTTTAGATTTGCTTTGTATCGCTTCTCCTTGACTGAACGGCTTAAGAACGTGCATTCAATGGCCTGTACAGAAAAGGCTGTCGCAGCAAAGACGTTATCCAGCGCCTCGCCGCGTCTCCGATAGTTGCGTTGCCCATCTTGTGAGTGTCCATGCTTCCAAAGACACAGTGTCAGTGACTTAGTGCTGGGTGCTGCTGCCAGCAACCTAGGCATGACTTGGTTTTTGTTATAGCTTTAAGATCGATCAGCTGTACTCAGTGGGGGAAAGGGAGTTCTATGCGTTGTGGTGGGGCGCGGAAAAGTGCTGGCACTACCTATGTGGGCCTCATGCTACTGTGTAGTGTACCATAGGTCTTGACTGTGCACTACAGAGCGCTTTGAACGCTGCTGCTCCAGCAGTTTTTGCTGGCTTGGATGCTTCTCACGGAACGACTTTACAAGTGATGCATATTTAGTGCACACCAACGTCGTTGTGGCACACTCTCCCACATCCTCGCGGCTTACTACTGTGCAGCGCAGCCGCTCTTTTTTGTGCTCATTCACTCTTTCTATCAGAATTGCATAAGTCATAAGCTTTCCAAACCCACGCAGCAGCTAATATTGTCGAAAATTCGGGACGACTAAAAGGGCGAAGCATTACCACGTCGAGGATAACATGCGTTTCAAAATAAAGTGAGGACATATACGCGTGTACATTCCGACCGCCCTCCGCAGCATCACTTCAGGTAAAGCACGTGGTAGCGTTCTTTCGAATCACGGGGGGACTCGAATTATAGTGCAAAAGCTTTCATCAGCGTTATGGCGGCCGTGCGATGCGTCGCGCAGCAGAGAAATGTGCAGGGTCATGCCCAGTTTTTCAGCAACTGACGATCGGAAATCGTCCTAGATCCGGCCTTTTGCAAACCCTTCTGGCTTCCGAAAGAATCTGGACTACTGTGGCTCCGGACTTTGATGTTGGACTGATCGAAATTAGGAATCAGGATAGCGTCTCCATCTTTTTAGACACCACATACCCGTTTCATCCGTTGTTCCAGTTCTGTCACGCCCCAGGAAACCGTCCAACTATT